AAGTGTTATTTGAAATAAATCTATCTGAATAGGTCCCTGAGAATTAGCTAGTGTGCACAAAATTCAGCCAATCCTTTCCGAAAAGTCTGTCTCCCAAGATTACATATTGGCAATTGCTGGAAAATTACTATCTACTGCCCTCCTGTGGCACCACAGTATTTTCATTTGCACAGAGTGCATTTGACTGTAAGACAGGGGTGTCAAACTCGATTTCATTGAGGGCTGCATCAGAGTTATGTTTGACCTCAGGGTGTGGCTGGGGTAGGCGTGGCCAGCTTGACATCACTCGTGTTGGGGACACCCCACACAGCCATCGCAACCAAAAACAGAGCTTGGGATGGCTGTGCATGGCCCTCGCAAGCTCCATTTTCACTGGCAGAGGCATCATGGGTCAGTCCTTCGCTGTTTCCAGGATGGCTCTGTGGGCCAGATCTAAGCATCCTGCCAGCTGGATCCAGCCCACGGGCCTTGAGTTTGACACCCCTCCTTAGTAGTGAAATCCAATTTTTTTTACTACCGGTTCTGTGGGCGTGGCTTGGTGGGCGTGGCAAGGGAAGGATACTGCAAAATCTCTATTCCCTCCCACTTCTGGGGGAAGTATATTGCAAAATCTCCATTCCGATCCCACTCTAGGGCCAGCCAGAGGTGGTATTTGCCGGTTCTCTGAACTGCTCAAAATTTCAGAACCTGTTGGATTTCACCCCTGCCCCTGCTGTAAGGAGTACATTTTAACTGTAAACTGCAGGAAAGTTTTCCTCAGAAAGAAAGAAGAAATGAAGAGAAGAAATGATACAGCTTTTGACAACTTTCATCCACAAAAAATATTGAATTTATCATTTGTGTAGAATACCGTAATGTAGAAATGAATTGATTGCTGAAAATCTTTGACGCAACTCCCAGAAATCTCTATTTTTTAAGGTTTCATGTGATAAAAGGAAAGATTCTTAATTATATAGTTGATTAGACAATTATATTTTAAAAATTATGTTTTGTTCCATGGGGGAAACATGGGGGAGACTGGTTCCATAAAACCATTCTAAATAGTAAAATTTGGGAAAACAGAATCACCACCAATTTTACCAAAAGGGGTGTCCTATGAGCCCTTGTCCCAGAAATTAGTGCAAAGCTCAATTGTCCCCCCAAATTGATCAGTACAGTTCAAGTTAGTATGAGTTTGAGAGATGCGATATGGGCTGAGCATTGGGTCTATAATGGAATGATGAGGCTGTGGGGAAAAACCAGGTGTCTAACTTTTCCTGCAATCTGGCTTTTCCTGCAGTACTGATGGCAAAGGGTGCAATGATTCACAGAGGCTTCTTTGGTGTCATCAACCTAAACCTAATAGGAAACTTGTATGGAAAGCAATACAAATTGCCAGCCTACAACAATTTATTTAAGTTTCTATTATTCCCCCTGGCCCTAAATGGCTTTCATGAGCTTCGTAGAGAATTAAAATAATGACTGCCTACCTTTGGGAGCCCACCTGCTCAAAAAGGACAAAGTTATAATAACGAGAAGGTTCTGCTGGATTGCTGAAATGTGAGAGAGGCAGCATTTGGCAAATAGCTGCTGTGCAGCTACCTATCTGCTGCATGGCAACAATTCACGAATGGACAGGTCTCACCAACAGTCTTTGGGGGAAATACACCATCTTCCAAATTTCCAAATGTGCCCACCATTCCAGTAAATTGGAGATCCCTTTGATAGCATGGTATGTTATCTACTGTACATTTTATATACCACTTTAATAATTTAACCACTATTTCTTGCATAGAACATAACAGGATTAAAACTTCACCTCATATTTAATATCCCTCCAATTTTTTTCATGTTTTTCTGTGGACCATAGTTTTCATTCTTGCATTCCATGTTCCGAGTTTGCATTCCATCAGGGAATGTTGAAGAGTTTCCAGAATTCTTCTGTGATTCCTCTCTTGTTCTTAAGAACAAAATGAGACAACTCGCCATGGCTAACTCGCTGCTGTCAATTTGCCACACTGTGGGATAACTCATTACTGGATAATTTAACAATTCATTTTAATTATTTTAATTTCTGTCATTCACATTTCATTTTGTTCTTCCTTTTTCATCCTCTCATTAATGATTCTATTCTACCATTTCTTTCACATTAGTGTAACTCTTGTCCTGTGGCGAGTTGGCCATGGTGAATTGTCATAGACCTGCTTAAAAAGCCTGCATCAGGGCACGTTTTTCCTGTGTTGCCTTTCATCTTTGTTATCAATGGTATCAAACTGTATTTGTTTAATTACAATAATCTATGCAATCTGTTTATATATGTATTTGGTGGCTTAGTCCTCTAGCTAACATTGCCTAACAACTTAATATAAATCGGGGTTACAATATCCGAGCTGCAAATGTTCAAATGTTTTTCTCAGCTCAATCCATGCAGCAAAACCCATAGAAATTGATTCTTCAATTGCTACATCCTCCAATCTTATACATTTTGACTATAGCACCCCAAAATTCTGAAGTTCTATTTCCAGCCTGGATGGCTTGATTGAGCCAAGAAAACATGTAGCTAGAATGGGGCAAAGTTTGGTAGTACTGTTTGGTGGTAATACTGTTTTATTTCTATTTTTTATTGTAAGCTGCCAAGAGATGTTGTTTATATCATGGGCAGCCTTATAACACAAATAATAAAATAAAAATGTAAATAATAAAAGGCAGAAAGCCAGTTTGGTCTAGTGCTAAGGGAATCAGGCTAGAGACTAAGTTGTAGTCCCACTTGAAAGCTGGCTGGGTGACTTTGGGCCAGACTCCCTCTCAACCCATGATGTTAAGCTTGGCCAACAAGCCAGTAAACCAATTCCTGTTGCAACCAATGGATCAACACTCCCGTGATCTGAAAAAAAGTAGGTCTTGCATTTGGGGCAGTGATGAAATGTAAAATTACTACCGGTTCTGTGGGCGTGGCTTGGGGGGGTTAATGTGACTGGGGTGGGCATGGCCAACTTTTTTTTTTTACTTTTAAAAGCATTTTTTCTACAACTTCTTCGGCTGAAGAGATTGTAGAAAAAAATGCTTTTAAAAGCCTCGGACGATCAGGCAACTCAGCTGGGATCATCCGAGGCTTTTAAAAGCATTTTTTTCGGCCAAAGAGGTTGTAGAAAAAATGCTTTTAAAAGTACAAAAAAGCCTCTGATGATCATGTGGCTCAGCTAGGCATGGGGAGGGGGCATAGGGATTTTTGCTACCGGTTCTTCGAACTACCCGCCGCCATCGCTATCGGATCAGGCGATCCAGTCCGAAATGGGAGTATTTCACCCCTGATTTGGGGGTAAATACTAGGACTAAAAAAGAAGGGAGGGAGGGAGGGAGGAAGGGAGGAATTTGAATATATAAACAAAGGAATATATATATATTCCATTTCAACATATTTCAATATAATGAAATATATTTAATATTTATTTATTTATTACATGTATTTATATGCCGCCATTCTCCCGAAGGACTCAGGGCGGCGAACACAAGTTAAGAAACAAGTACAATAAAATCATACTTTAATCCAAATAATTAATCAGCTCTGCTTGTAAGTAAAAACAATCTTGCTTTTCCTGTATCGTGGAATAGAATTTTTTAAAATCCTTGCCATATTTCCTTCACACTTAATTATTTCAGTGTGCCTTTTCTCTACTAGCATTTTTGTTGAGGTGATATGATTGAAACAGATCAATTGATACGGGAAAGTTTAGTCAAATGGCTTCCCTTAGAAAACAGAGCATTCAGTATTTCATTTCCAATTGGCAACTATATGTGGTTTAACTTTTGATTAAAATCTTAAGGATTCCATAGTAACTGATAAGAGGCAGTGCAAGTCTCTAACAAATCATTTACTCCAAAGAAACTCCACAATAGGAAACATATTGATGTCACTATGGGTTTTTTTTTTGAAGCATAAAAATATAAGGAATAGACAAACAAGTCCAAAGGATGTGAATTCTATGTGTTAGTATATTTTAGCTATTCAGACAAAGTTAGCATCTGCTATCAAGTTGTATTCCTTTAGAACTAACAAGCAGTTGCCTCTAATGCTTTAGCTAGTATGCAAGACTTTCAGCAAAAATCCAGAGTTCTGCTGAAAAAGACAAAATTATGTGTGTCATTGTACAGGTACAACTTGCTTAACAACTGCTTTGTTTAGTGAGAAAAAAATGCAACAATGCTGAAATAGTAATTTTACAGCTAATCTTTGCATTTATGACCATTGCAGTATTCTCACAACCACATAATAGAAATGCAACTGGTGCGTGCACTTACGACCATCATCGCACTGTCCTGCAGTCATGCGATCACCATCTGTGCACTTCACAACCAGCTTCCAACAAGCAAAGTCAATGGAAAAGCCAGCAGTAAAATTTCAAGTCACAGGCATATGTCTCAACTCAGCAACCATGGCAATGAGCTGCTGATCCCAATTGTGGTCTCTAAGCAAAGTTTATCTGTATGTCGTTACATATATGTGTGTTTATATATACAACCTGCATCAGATTGTCCAACCATACAAAATACATTATTAGTTTTACTCTTGATTTTTATTCTGTAAGTTATTTTAAAAGAACAACAAAACAAACTAAAACTAATAATGAAAAATCCCCTAATAACAACAGGCAGAGATAGCAGGCAACGTATTTATCTTGCCTTTAGAGTGACAGTCTTTCTAAAAAAAGAGGCATTGAGAAGTTACCTTCTTTTGGAAGTTTTACGCTGACGTGGACTTTTCGTTGTTCCCATCAAATGAGCCTTTGCCATTGTTGGGACGTAGAGAAAATTCTCTTCTAAGATTTTAAAATTTAAGATGGACAGAATAGAAGAAAACGATCCAATGTTCTTTAAGCCCTTTGGGACTTTGAAGGTCAAACACTAACATTGTGTAAAATGAATCATAACAGTATAGACCGTCTGCTTTATAATTTTAGAATTAAAGTTTCCAAATAATTCCCCGATTCTAAGTTGCAAAAAAGAGAGGATACTATCATTGCTACATTTAACACTTTTACATTTTTATTTAATTAAATCAGCCATTGTACACATTGCAGCTATGTATTGTTAGTGCTGTTTGTTTGTTTGTTTTACATCTTTAATACATGCCCTCATAGATATATTCAGTTAAGTGTTATCACCATGGGAACAAGATGCCGATTTATCAACTTAAAATCACCTTCTCACAGTATTCAAGTTCTCTGATAACACAGCAAAAATTCAAAACTGAAAAAAGGAGAATAGCCATTATGCTGTTACACAGAACATCATCTGCACCGCAAATAACACAACAGAAATGCATTTCTTGTAGAGCCCCAGTCTTGAAGGTTAAACAGTGATGTTCTTGACAATGAGAAATGAGCTATTGTGTGTCCTGCAATTCGGTCTCCTTTCATTTTGGCAGTCATTAAGTGTGTGTGTCCTGCTTTGCCAACCAAACGAATTTGCATGGCACTGAGTACGAGTTTTTTTTTTTAAGCAGGAAACCAAAACCTCCTCAAATGTTTCTTTTCTCTTGGCATTGTTGCTTAATGAGGAGGTGCCACTTGTAACATTTATTTTCAGCATTCTGAGCACTGAGTGAGTCGGGTTTTGTTTAAAGAAACAAAGGCTAGCAGGGTTTTGAAAAATATTCAGCCCTAGAGGACCTGACTCATCATTGCTGAATATGCTTTGTGTTTATCAAATAACTGACTCAAAATGTATATCATTTCATATAATATATATATATATATTATATATATATATCTAATTACATATATATGTTAAAATGCTACAGAGCTTCAGACCACTATTAGAATTAGGTACAGATCACAAAATAATTCCAGGGTCATATATGCCTTCTTGGAAAATCAAAGTGCAGACATTTACATGAATAATGCTTGAAAGGTGGTTAAGGACTATAAATAAAATAGCAAGAGAGGAAAAAAAAATAAACCAAACAAATGCGTAGTGGATTCCTGTCTCCTTATAAATAAAACTCCGGAGAAAACCTTCAAACACAATGGTAATAATGTCTGCTCGCTCAGTGCTAGGAAGGGTGAGAAGCAATTGGCATGATTATAGACAGGTCATATTTTTATATTCCAATGCCACATGCATGTGCCAGATTTAAGAGACAATCTTGACAGAATGTGAGAAATCATTTTTTTTTTCCTGAAAGGGAATGGTTTCTTTTCCTCCTTCTATAATGTCTATAGTGCAGTGGCCAGCAGAGACAACCCCATCAAAGTCAGCGTGGTTTGTTAAAGGAGTGATCAAAATAGTATAGAAATCAGAACTATTGAATGCACCCATTTCATGTCCCTGATCTAAAAGATTTAAATACAGTATGCAAAAGTGCCACAGATACAGCTGCTAGCACATTATATCTAACTGGGTATATTTTTTCTTCAGGAAATCTTGAGGTGGCTTTCCCAGGAAGCAAAGAAGCAGTAATGGCTGCAATCAACTGTCTTGTAAGGGAAACAGCTGAAATTTGAGGCTTTGTTCTGACTCTTTTTAGTCAAGTAATTTATTACACTGGAAGTCCTATGAACACAGAAGGATTGATTTGCTTCGTTCTTGATAGATCCGTGTCCTAGTTGTAATGGATTGTGTTAGCAATATTACATGAATTATTCTTCAACAAACCTTATAGTCCTGATGCTAAAAGTAGTCACAATAGGCAGTCCTTCTTTCTTTCCGTCTTGTGAATCCACATATTTTCTCTATTTACAGTTTGAAGTTAATAATATCCTTTAAAAAACACATGTACACTGTCATTTCAAGAGGCCTGTGGAAGAAACTTATGCGTTTATGGATCTGGTGCAAAAATAAAGAACAATAAAAATGCCAAGGGTGACAAGATAGTCAGGAGAGGGCACAAAGTCTATGACTTAGTAGATAAAACCATCCAGAATGAAGGATGTGATCTTTGGTCACAAATTAGCTTACAGATATTTAGAAACAAAGAAAATGAAATGGAAAACCTGCTCTATATGCTCAAAGTAGAAACAGCAGTGTTCCCTGACGATTATGTTAAATAATAACACCTATGATAAAAGAAAGTTGGATAAAGCTGGACAGTTAATGGATATGTGTGATGGTCTAAGGGTGAGATTTAGCAGCATCTCATTTGGCCTCTTTCTTCTGCTCATCTTTGCAGAAATGCCTTAATAATTGTTGAAGGTCATGCTGAAGATCATCCCGGGGTAGCGCGTCTGGTGTGTCCTCCAGCAGCTCCACATGAATCCGGTTTCCATACTGGTCCTTAACCACAGTCCTCTTCTGTGTACAAGCTTTACTCATCGTTGTCCTACAAGGAGTCAAAGAGAGATAATGAGTGAATTTGTAGGATTTTTTTTAAAAAAGGAAATTGCATTCTATTTTTCATTTTAAAATTCTAGCATGAGTTTTGAGCTCCTGTAGGTGAAAGGACAGTGACTGCATGTGACTTTAAAGAGCTAAGAAAAGTGCTAAATATTTATATATAAAGTATCAATAACATTATTTTTTTAAAAAGTCATTTCCTTTCTTATGCTACACATATAACGCAAGCCTAAATTTACAATCAGGTTTAAACTGGTAGATTTGTTAAAATGTCAGCAACTTGTAACTTCTTGAGAAATTACTTGTGTGTGACATAAACTTGCACAGGCAGGGAGAAAGGATTGCTTAAAGGGACTGTGGATCTGGGGTGAAATCCAGCAGGTTCTGACAGGTCCTGGAGAACCGACAGTGGAAATTTTGAGCAGTTCGGAGAACCAGTAGTGGAAATTTTGAGTAGTCCAGGGAATTGGCAAATACCACCTCTGACTGGCCCCAGAGTGGGGTGGGAATGGAGATTTTGCAATATCCTTCCCCCAGGAGTTGGGAGAGAATGGGGATTTTGCAGTATCCTTCCCTTGCCACGCCCACCAAGCCACACCACACCCACCAAGCCATACCTACACAACTGTTAGTAAAAAAATTTGGATTTCACCACTGCTGTGGGTGTAGGCTATAGCCTGCTAAGATCAAAAGTTAAGTTGATGCATAGTTCACATTGCTGTGTAAAGTTAGAATGGGATAGTTTAAACTGTCCTTACGTATGGTTCGAACTTGTATGTAAACATTGTATCAATCAGACGCTTTCAGTTATGTGTTTTAAGTTCTTTTCCTTCCTGATACTAGGAAAATTATTCTGAGAAACATTATTGTTTTGTAACATCAGTCTCTGTAACATCAATGCCTACATTCATATGTTTTAAACCAGCAACACTGATCTTTGTATGAAAATCCTGCAACAGGGAATCATTAACAAGATAAATGATAGGAGAACCATTCATATCCCCCACTACAAACCTGCTGGTTTTTGTCATTCCTGCCCATACTTACAATATTTAACTTCAACGAATCTCATTGCTAGGAAGATGGAATACAAGTCAATAAATAAATATGTTTGTCATTCAGTATTATACATTGAGACAAGGGAAGGGAAGTAAGCTCTATTGTATACATATTTTTACTACTACTTCTCTTCAAGTAAGGGTTTCTGCAGTGATGGGAATACACAAAATTACATCACAGAAATAATTTATTCAGTGGAAAAGACAGCTTATTTCTTTCGGTTATATTCCTTGAGAACCACAGACAACTGTATAGAGGTAGTCTCTGCTGACTTTTTAGTTCTTGGAGAGGAATATCAGGTTCATAGTAAGCCTCAAGAAACAGATTAACTAGGCTGTTTAACTATTTGATAACCCAAAAAATCCCATACTTTTGTTATTTATATATTGTTAAAACCTTTTTATTGTTCCTTCTATTTCTGATAATCAACCCATGAATGATACTCGTTATATTGCTAAAATGGTGCCATTCACACACAAGAGGGAAGGTCCATAGCTTAGGAAATGTGTGTGCTATTATATGCACAGACATTCACACCTGTGAGAGTTTATCAATCTTTGTGGAAAGAGGAAATAAGAAGCAATATGCTAGATGTTTAATCAGCAGCATTCCACACTGCAACAACAATAAAAAACATATCTGTTGCCCTCTTCTTCCTAAATCAGTTTTAAAAAAGAACAATAAACACTGTATCATTCCCCAGAAATTCAGGCTGTATTCCCAACACATCTGCCTGGTACAAAATATGGGAAAGATATAATCTTATTGTCTATTTGGGGAGAACAGACATGTTCTAACTTCAAAGGTGGAAATGCAGCATCAGATTCCCCTTTGAGAACTGATTTTGTTAATTCTGACACCAGAGAAGGAATGTGACAGTGAGAAACTGGAATTTTTGCCAATTATTGGACTGGCTTTAGATGCATTACAAATTATTGGCAGAGAAGTAAACAAACAGTTGAATCAAGAAAGGAACAGAAAGAATAATAGGTTTTTCCCCTCATTTTGACTTTTTTTGTTGCTGGCAGAGTTTTAAAATTGTTAGAGTATAATTTTTAATATTTAAATTATATAAGTCTCCCAGGGTCATTTGGGAGCTGAGGTCCTATCAATTAATTAATTAAAACATAACAACGGGATTGTCCTGTCCAAGAATTTGGTTTAGAAGGAAGTACCTTTTTTTTACTATGTCTGAAGCACAGTCCTCAAAGATCTAAGAGGCAATTTAAATATTGAAGAAAATGGGTATGTATAATATGTATAAAAGATAATTAAGACCATCATCTACAAATATTATACTCCTCTTCATGTTGTCAGAGCAAGTATATTCTTTGTTTCAACAAAATTTAGGTTCTGAATCAATAGATCTCCATTACAAAAAAAAAAAAAAAAAATGGAATGTCAACAAATGTTAAAAGGTGAAAGCTTTGGGAAACATGGATAGTCCTTCATTAAATTTAAACAAAAAGTAAAGCCAAAAAAGCAATGGTATCCAGATGGAGTCAGCATAGGCAGAATTGGAAAAGTTACCCTCTCCACACACACATTTCTTATATAGTATCGCAGGGGTTCCCAATGGTGCTGTTCCGGGGCTTGTTAGGAACCGGGCTGCACAATTGGAGGTGAGTGGCAAGTGAGTGACCAAAGCTTCATGTGTATTTGCAGCCATTGCCCAGTCACTGCCTCAGCTGCACCTCAGACCATCAGGCATTAGATTCTCATAGGGGCACGAACCTGTAACCTGTAAATTGTGCATCTGAGGGATCTAGGTTGCACTCTCATTCTCTCCCGCCCTCCCCCCATCTATGGAAAAATTGTCTTCCATGGAACCGGTGCCTGGTGCTAAGGAACCACTGCAGTATAGGACAGGGGTCTCCAACCTTGGCAACTTTAAGACTTGTGGACTTCAACTACTTCAATTCTGGATGTTGAAGTCTACAAGTCTTAAAGTTGCCAAGGCTGGAGACCCCTGGCATAGGATATATTCTGCCTACATAGTTGTGGATATGAACACAGCAATAGTAATAGCATTGAAATTATAATTAATCCCAGATAATTAGCTTCAATAGCATGGACATTGACTGGGGGCCTTTGTTTAGTCCCTCGCCGCCAAAACCTGGGTCTTTTGGTATATGGATCTAGAGCCAAAACATTTCAATTAATTAATTGTCCAGATCTTTTCCTGTCCTCATGACACTCTGACTTCCCCAAAACGTTATTTTAAAATATGTCATGCAATTTTTTTCTACATTTAGAACTTGGAATCAGAATTATAACCCAGCTATTTCCCAAACAACTGTTTGTTCCATCAATTGATTCTCCCCTCTTCCACAGTGTGTTAGTTTCCAAGTAAAGCTTAAGACACTGAGACTGTAAGTTGACATTTATTCAAATACTTTTATTCCAATTTATTCAAATAGTTAGTCTGTTAAATCTTTGGTCACTGCACAGGCTAGTGTCATGCCAACTCAAACCTTTTAATAAGCGACCCATCCTCTTTCATGACCTCTTTCTCTACTAATGGGGGAACTTCCATTTTCACTTTGTTACCTATGTAATTCAGGGCCTAAAGTAAAACAGGAAGCATAACTGTAGCATAAAAGACCCAAATATAACTTAATTATATTAACCTGCTAAAGTATCAGAACAACCAATGAGACAAATAATAGTTAAGCATATATGAAAAAAGTATTAATTGCATAATTTGCAAATTCTGTACTTACTAAGAATTTGAAATGTGTGACAAAACAATAGAATCTACTTTTACTGAGAATTCTCATGCTGAATTCCTGATGGAGACAAACAATCTCTTATGAAAAACAAAGTCTTTTCTTTTTGAAGGAACCCAGAGAGAGTGGAAAGAGCTCCAGTCTTACTAACAGATGGGATTTGGTTCATTAGGAAGAAGGCTCTTAGACAATAAAAGTGATTTGATCCAGGATTATCCTTGGGATCACATATACATTTCAAATAGGGTAGCCATACATCGTATTTCATATACCTTGAGTACCCTACTCTTTGGATTTATAAATAAAATAACCCCACTTGCAAATTGAGTTATATTGTTAAGAGTACATTTATACTGGAGATTTCTTTCCTAAAGTCCTCAACTATGTGCTTTCCACTGTGTTCTTGCATACTATGTTTAAATGTATCCAATGTAAAGAATGGAGCTTCGTGTTCAAACTGGAAATATGGTAGAAAGAAGATGTGCTGACATCACTCCCATCTGAACAGAAATTATCTATATTCTATTTATTCAACCAATACCGAGTCTTATTTTTAATCAAATAGGATATGGTGAGTTTACAATCCTGCTCCAAATGCGTCTGGAAAAAAGTTCATATTTACTAATCGATAAGCTTCTGCTGTACAATATTTCCAATCTGAGGGAACTTCAATTCTCCTTACGTCTGGAAAAATATGGCAGTTGTGAAAAGTTCCTAAATTCACTGTATAATAATGGATTTCTCTGTACAAATTGGCCCCAGTTGGCCTTGCCAAGCAGACTCAGTAGGTAGAAAATGGTCTTGTTAATGTGCCTCTTCCTGTATCACTTCCTTTCAATGAGGTACTGGAAGTAAACTACTGAACTAAGGCTCCTGCATAAATATGGGCAACCGCAATATAGAAGTTCCTTCAAGGTGCTGCATATCCTGAAGGAGACCATCAGGGTGACAGTGAATGAAGGATATAATAGTTTTGCTTTGTTGTCTAGAAGTCAGATGGCAGCACTCCTTTTCAAAGCAGCTTCAGATGAATGCTTTGCTTAAAGCATTATCAAAGCACAGCAAAACAACTTTTTACAGTTTTGTATAAGACCTAAAATTAAGACTCAGAGTAATCTCTCCCTGGGTTCCATTAGATCAGTGGTTCCCAACATGGGGCCCACACCCCACAGGGGGACAATTTGATTTTTAATGGGGGCAATTTGAACCTTATTTAAACCAAGTTAATGGCCTTTTAGGCTTCCTCCGCGTGAGTAGAGTTCCCTTTTTGAGTAAAGTAAGAATTATATGTCACAGGGGAAGCATTAGGATTTTAGAGATGCTTAGGTGGGGCATGGCCAAAAAAAGGTTGGGAACCACTGCATTAGATGATACCTCTCAGATCTTTTTCAGAAGGAAAAATTGTTCTTTGTGAAGTGTTGAGTTTTTCTAAACATACTGGAAAAAAATAAGAATACATTTCTATAATGATGCTTCATTACAGTTAGCTATTTCTAATTTTTCTATATGTGTTTCTGCCCTTAGTACTATTGCAGTTCTAACAATGTTGCCAAAACCATACAATTATCTCACCTCTTCGAAGTCATCTTTGGCTGATGGAAGATTCACTGCTAAACTAGAATCTCCATGATGTTTTTCCATTCTCTCCCCATGTACTAAGGTAGTTTTTATAACTTTGCTGACCTTGCGGCCTTCTACTGGTTCAGCCTGGAATTCTGAGGCACTTGGTAATACACTTGGCTCAGAAAAGGTCACCTGTGAAAGAGATTTCATGAATAATTGCATATGTCAATAATTGCTTATTCCAGAACCATGGTTATTGGCTGAGTAGATAATGCCCAAAAAATTATTTTGCTACTTTCCTGTGAAACGTTTGCGCTAACGTTACTGATTCATTCATTTCTTGGAAAATGATGAAGTTGGGGGCTAGACATGTTAAAGAATTGCTCTACAATTCTTCATTGAAAGAGCCATCTTCCAAGGGAGCTTAAACAAGATATGTGAAGTGAACCTTATGAAACAAAATTTACAATTAAATGTAATAAACAGAATAATTTAGAATGGGTAATTCTAGCGCCAATTTCAAAAATTCACTTCAAATAAATAAACTCTGGTAGGGAAAAAAAATTAATCTAACCTCTGATTGTTCACTTTCACTTTTCAACACCACCCGCTTTATGACTTTGGAGTAACTGTCTCCCTCTTCCACTGTAACAGGATCTTGGGGTTCTCCCTGCATCACAACTTCTTCTTTTTCTGTTCCATCTGGTAAAACGAATCGCCTGATGATTTTCCTAGTGACCTAGCAGGGTGGCATGTTCATCAAGAGTTATGTTAGCATGTAGTTGAATTTTAAACCATGGTAGTCATCTTTGTCCTTTAAAATACCTAGCATTCTCTCTCATGTGCATACACAAATAAGCCTTAACTTGCTATTTCGTTAGCAGGTAACATGAGGCACAATTTCAGCTAACAGATTCTCAAAATACTATTTCAAAGCAATTTTAATATATCCATCACATGATATGTATTATTAAATACATTACAATTTTAACATGTTCTCTCTTAAAATGAATAGATATTTTTGTGCAACAGTTATATGGGATAAAATATTTTCCTTTATCCCATGTGGTGTGAAATGCATAGAGCCTAAATCCTCACTTTCCATAAGAGATTTCTTTGTTACATATACAGGTAGTCTTCAACATGAGACCAGAATTGAGCCCAAAATTTCTGTTGCTAAGTGAGACATTTGTTAAGTGAGTTTTGCCCCATTTTACGACCTTTCTTGCCACAGATGTTAGGTAAATCACTGCAGTGGTTAAGTTAGTAACACAGTTGTTAAGTGAATCTGACTTCTCCACTGATTTTGTTTTTTAGAAGGTTGCAAAAGGTAATCACATGGCCCTGGGACACTGCAATCATCATAAGTACATGCCAGTTGGCAAGCTTTTGAATTTTGATCATATGTCCAATGGTCATGTGATAAATGATCATAAGTTACTTTTTTCAGTTATGTAACTTCAAAAGGTCACCAAATGAACTGTTGTAAGTTGAGGACAACCTGTATTAAAGTATCCTTAAGCTCCTCGATTTAACTCTGGAAATCTTGAAATGGGTCAAATGTACTAAAATGCTCTTTATATTCTCGTAATAAACCATCAGCTGAATACCTTCTTCACCACAATATGGCCATGTTCATCCACATACTGTTCCTCCGTTACAGCTTCCGGGGGTATTTCAGGCACATCATCAGCCTATTAAACAAAGAACAGAGTTCAGAAAAAAATAACTGGCTATTTTAAATAAACTGCATAACAGAAGTTAGTTGGCTCAAAAAACAACATAAATTAGGCAAGAAGCACTGAAGCAAATTGCTCCAATGCTATTAAACATTTTGCAAATAGATCCTTTTTAAAAAGCATGCAAACTTGGAACAAGAAAGAATTTGGCTAGTAGGTGGTGCTGAAGCAGCAAATCAAACTGTCCTCTAAGAGAGATAGTTTCTTTCAAAATGCAAATTAATTATCTACCATTTGGATTTACATTCCTTGAGTTTCCAAATGAAATTGGAAAAAAAAATATTTATGTTAATCAATTGACATGCATTACCCAGGAACATGCCAAATTCATCAGTGCATTGCCAGCCAAGGGGGTGTTTCAGGAACAGGATTTTAGGAAAAGGGTGGGTTTTAGAGGTATAACCAGGGCATAGTTGCCACTGGTACGTGCAATAGTTCAACACTCCTGTACCTGAATAATTACCCGGCGGCGAACGACCCTGGTAGTTACCATCTCTTCCTCATCTGAGCTGACCTCCAGCTCACCTAATTCCTCTGCTAGCTCCTAGTGGAAGCATGGAAGCATTGCTCTCATCATACTGGTACTGTACATGTGAATGAATAATTGGGCCCCTTTCTAATAACACAACGAACACCATACAAATGCTTGCTGGAATGAGATACACTGCAAAATATGCTGTACTACTTTCTTTCTATTTTGGGGCCGAATGTTTGAAATCTTCTTTGAACATTTGATGTTACAAGCCGAGGAAACCTGCCTTCAACTTTCTTTTAATACCATGTACTACGTAAAAGCAGCGCATCAGTTGAATAATGCAAATATAGTTACAACTTCATCTTTCATAAACCCAATTAGACTAAACAGATATGAGTTTCCAACTATTTTCTAATTATGAACTAGATCAGTGGTTCTCAACCTTTTCTTCACCACGGACCCCCTTTAAATACCTTTAGTGGCCACGGACCATGGCCACAGACCACCACGACTTAACTCAAGATTTAAATTGTAATATTTCTTCAAGCCTTCGGCGACCACCTGTAACAACATCACAGCCCTCCAGGGTCCACAAACCATCGGTTGAAAAACACTGAACTAGATTATATTGCAAGTTTGAGTTAATTAATAATTACTATATTTGCTTCTGTCTTTTAGCCAGTAAAAAAAAAAAAGATATAACTCCTTTACACTTAGAAAACATAGTTAGCTTTGATTTAAATAGTTCTGGGATATTTTCAAAATCCTTTTCACTTTTGAAGCAACAATTTCTTCAGGTAAAGATACTGGAAATAAAATTTGCTCACTACATATTTACTGTTGTGATTCTTCTGCAATGGGACTTGGGACATGTTTCTTAAAGGCTCATAATGACCACTGAGTTGCCATGGTAGCAACTTTCAAAGTGCCAGGGAACTATAGGTGGCACGCAGTTAGGTTACTGCTCTATTGGTCAATCCAAACATCATAACTTATGCATTTTCAATGGGAAAAATGAATTATTTTCTAGAGTTGAACAAAATCTTCAAAAGAAGTGGTTTGGTGAAAGACCTCTTTTTATACTGTTAAAGTAACCATTCTTTGTTCGGACTTGTTTGATAGCATCAAAAGGTGTTCTTGGGTGTATCCAAATTTTCTATTGCTCAGGGAGACATTTGTTAAGTGAGTTTTGTCCGCATTTTATGACCTTTCTTTCCACAAGAGTTAAACGGAATCACTGCATTTGTTAAGTTAGTAACACAGTTGTTAAGTGAATCTTACTTCCCCAATGACTTTGCTTGTCAGAAGGTTGCAAAAGGTGATCCCATGACCCTGAGACACTGCAACCATCCTAAATATGAGCCACTTGCCAAGCAGCTGAATTTGATCATATGAACATGGGAATGCTGCAACGGTCATAAGTGTGAAGAACAGTGATAAGTTATTTTTTTCAGTGCTTCTGTAACTTCGAATGGTAACTAAACAAACTGTGGTAAGTCAAGGACTACCTGTATTTCTACTTGTTTGTTTCATTGTTTTCCAGTGAGTGAAATTATTGTGTATGGTCAAAGACAGCTTGTGAAGCATCCATACAAACCTGCTTTTCCAATTAAAGACAGATGTTCCATGCATGCTCCTAAATATTCCCAAATAGTTTTTTGGAAAGAAAAATGTGCAGCTCTATTATTTTCTGATTTAACTGATTTTTTTAATGAAAAGTTTTGTCAATTCTCAATCGCCATGGGACAAAAGTACATTTTCATTCACAATCTAATTCCTAACACATTCTTTGTAGGAATTAAAATGTGGAAAGTATGTAATTTTAACGAATCCTTATTTTGCTGCAAATATATATGTTTGGAAAAGCTTTCAAAACATTTCTTGCCTTTTTTTCTTTCCATACAGAAATCATACAATACAAAAATATTGTATCTTAATCTTGCTAAAAATTCTTTCAAATAATTCTTCTTACATCCATTATCTATTTTTCAGTTCAGGCTTATTCTGTTCTTATTCAGATGATTGCCTCTTTTTAGTTGTATTTCTCTCTATTCACTTCTGTGTTAATGCTTTACATTTTTCAGTGCATTGTCTTTCAGTTTTCTTTTCCTAGAACTGTATTTTAATCTAGAGTGTGTGAATACCTCTTATTTCTTATTATCTGGGTGTACTGTTCCAAGTATTAAATAAGATTACATTAAAGATTTTCTTCTTCATTAATTCTTCAAAGGCACTATTTCATGAATCATGTTAGTGTTACAACTTACTTTTTCTAACAATTCTTCTTCGTGTCTTTCTAATTCTTCAGGCGGTTCATCAGTGGATTCCACAATCACCAGGCTGTTTTTCCTTGGATGCATATCTTCTTGTTGAAAGTGATGGTCTTCAGGTTCTTCCACAATGGGAGAATCAGTTCGATCACTAGATGTTGGAGTATGCAATGGTGGCCTTTCAAGATCTTCACATCCTGTGGTGGAATCCCCAGACTTGTCACTGGCAATGCTGACTGTTTTTACACTTTGGGGCACTTGTGTCAAATCTGCTCCAGAAGTTGTGATACTGTTAATAAAAATTGGAGAAAACAAATGATTAGTTCTTCTAGTCTGTCTCTGAGGAATAAGGTTTATTCTAAAACTACTTGGCTTTGTTTTGAAAAGTGGCATGTAACATTCTGAAATGAATAAATCGGGATACAGTTGAGTGAGAATACCAGTGAGAATTCAGTGACGATTGTCATGACTACTAATCTAATATGGTTCAAGTTCTCATATTAGAACTTATTTTCAAGTAAACTGGGTTTCATCAGACAAAAACCAGTATCTAGCAATATTTTGTATAGACATTTGTGTTAAACCAAAACAGTCTAGCTTTCCAGGATTCCATTATGATATATTTTGATTTCAAGTAGTGGACATTTCCTCCCCCTTTAAAAGAATATTTGGCCTCCTAAATTCTTGTCAGCATTCATTCCATTTGTTCCATTGCCACCACAGGCTAACAGCAGAAAGAATGGAATAGAATTAATGGTTTTCTTTCCAGTCTGTCATGTGTGTCATAGCAATTGTCTCTTTGTGACTATTTAATTCAGACTAGTATTACATAAGTGCCCTGATTCTAACTCAGTGGTTCTCAACCTGTAGTCCGCGGAACCCTAGGGGATCTCAATGTCATCACAGGGGGTCCGTGAAGGCTTGAAGAAATGTTATGACTTAAATCTTGAGTTAAGTCTTGGAGGTCTGTGGCCATCCCCAGTGGCCACAAAAGGTATTAAAGGGGGAAAAAAAGGTTGAGAATCTGTTGATTTCCAGGAATAGGAATAGGCAAGCTCAAGGATTACCCACTTTGGGAATCTTTGGCCTCTTACTGATTGATACTCCTCTCATGGAAGCAATGTCTGCTCCTCAATGAAAATTTCACCCAGTAATTCAGTATTTAGACAACCTTGGCTGATCTCACCATGAATTGAGCTTCATTCAAAAAAAAAAAAGAAAAAGAAAAAAAAAAAACCATTATCTAACCCAGTCAATATTTTGCCATACTAAGAGTACGCTCAGAAATGACAAATCTTTGTAGCTAATTCGACGATCTATTTTCATTTAAATTAATAAGTCTAAGAATATTTTAAAATGATATATCGGCCATATACTGTATTTGCTTTACTCTAAACTTTTAGAAATTATTTAGCTCACTGATTTTTTTTCTTGACAAAATTGAAGGGTTTCTAGTCTTGCAAAATTTGTATTTGTTCCTTGCTTATGAAACATGATCTCTATGCAATAAATATTTCCTATTGCTATATATGCCATCCTATTGTAGAATTCTTACACATACTCCTGTGTAGTAGGTGAACCTTCTGTCAGCTCATGAGGCTTTCCTGAGAATTCAGCTTTCACATGATCTTTCTGTATTTGGTGTAGTAGTTCTACCACAGATAGTTCAGTCTCAGCCTTCGATGTGCCTTCATGCAAGGGTGAGCAACTGAGAGAAAGGTCTTCTTCTGAAACAAGAGGAGGATGATCTGATTGCTCACTGTCTTTAGAAAAGGAATATTCTTCCTCTTTTTTATCTTTTGTGCTGCATAGATCTTCATGAAGTGCAGAGAACCCTGAAGGCAAAGTAAAACAACAATTATTTAATCTCTATAAATGAGGTAATTGCTATCTAGATGCAGATTTGTAGCGATGTGATGTGGAGCAAAGATTTCATGCTAAAAGACTATATAGCTGTGATGGCGAACCTATGGCATGCGTGCCACAGATGGCACGCGGAGCCATATTAGTGGGCACGCCAGCTCAGCTCTGGGGCGCATGCACGCGCCAGCCAGCTGATTTTTGGGCCTTCTGGGCCCACCAGAAGTAGGGAAACAGGCTGTTTCCTGCCTCTGGAGGGCCTGGGGGTGGGGTAGGCCCGTTTTTCTTTCTTACCTGGCTCCAGATTCTCTCTGTGTATCTGGGAAGGATAAACAGCCTTTCCCACTCCCTTGGAGGCCCTACCAAGGCTGAAAGGGCCCATTTCCCGACTCCCGGTGGGACAGGAAGTGACTTTTTTCCTGTCCCCAGCCTCCAGAGACTCCTAGAGACTCCTAGAGAGGCTCCTAGAGACTCCTAGAGAGGTTCTGGAGGCTGGGGACAGCAAAAAATGTCACTTCCTGTCCCACCGAGAGTTGGGAAATGGGCACTTTCAGCCTCCAAGGGAGTGGGAAAAGCTGTTTTCGCCCTTCCCAGATACACAGAGAGGATCTGGAACCAGGTAAGAAAGAAAAATGGGCCTACCAGGCCATCATGTGCCAGGAGCGGGGGGGAGGGGGTTGCGCACGCATGCGCGTGGGCACGTGCGCGCGCGACCCTCCCCCGCCCCCCCTCTCCTGGCACGCGATGGCAAAAAGGTTAGCCATCACTGCTATATAGCATGCAACTCAGCAGTTTCAAAACATAAATTAAAGTTTGTTATATTTAATCATAGATAAATAACCATGCCATGTGTTCAAATATAAGAACTTGCTAGTGATTTCTACGAATCCTATCTACTAAAACTCCATATAGCCAGAATTTCAATAAAGGAAAGTATTTGTAACTCAAGGTTGAAGTGAGGGGTTATTAGTGCTCACTAAGCTTGATTGTTTTCTTGCAGACATTTCATTACCAAAGCTAGGTACCATCAGCAGTGCTAGTAAAGTTCTCAATTTATATTCTAGTGTAGAGATGTCAAACTCAAGGCCCGCACGTGGGCCTCCCGAGCTCCAATTTTGCTGGTAAAGGGTTGCAGGAGGTTGTCGCAGCTGAAAATGGAGCTCAGGAGCCCGTCTTCACTGGTAGAGCACACAGGCCACCATAGGCGCCCCCAACGTAAGTGATGTCGAGCTGGCCTTGCCCACCCTTTTCCCCCCCCAGGTCAAACACAACCCTGATGCGGCCCTCAATGAAATCGAGTTTGACACCCCTGTTCTAGTGCAAGGGTGTCAAACTGATGGCCTGTAGACGATGCGTCATCCGCTGGCCACCCCCACGAAAAAGCATCGCAATATGTCACATGACATTATGACGTGGTGAGTTTTGATATCCATGTTCTGGTGGCTTGCCCTGTCAGTGTTGGAGGGAGTGGTCTTGGATTTTTTGGTTGGGTTGTTTACTGTTAGCTTGTTTGAAAGTTGCTTGATTAAGGTATTGTTTACTTCTTGATTTTGGTCTGATGTTAGTCTTGGAGTTAATCTGTGCTCATCTGGGTGTTGATTGCTGGGGGGGATGTTTTGGTCTTTTTGTTCACATTTTGGGTTGTTGATTGTCTCTTTCACAAAGTACGTAGACATTGTTTATATGTATATGTCTATTGGTGGCTATAAAGTGTTTTTTGACTTGGTTTGGTCTAGGATGGTCACAGTTTTCCAACTGAAACTATAATTAGGTTTGTTCATATGTTGTGAAAGTAAAGATTTCATCATATTGTCTGACTGCTAGTTGGTGTTCATGGATGCATTCTGGCAGTCTTCTTCCTGTTTGGGCTATGTAGTGGCTGTTGCAGTCATTACACTATATGTTGTAGATGATTCTGTTTTTTTCGCCTTGGGGATACTGGGTTTTTTGGTTTACTTAGTTTTGGAAGACTTTAGTTGGCTTGTGTGCTGCACTGATTAGTAGTAGTCAATGGTTTCTGAGATGTTCTTGATGTATGGCAGTGTTGTGCTTTTTATGGCGTGTGTTATTTGTGCTATATCGGTTTGAATGGTCAAGCACTTTTTGATAAAGTTGCATGGATACTCATTTTATTAGATGATGTTGTTTAGCTACTTTTATTTCCTTTTTCTGCTGTTCAGTTTGCTGTAGTGAGTTTGTCCTTGTCTAAATAAAGTTTTTATACAGTTTCTCTTGTGGGAGGTTAGATTATTGCTTTGGTAATGGAGCACTTATTAGTGGTGTGCATAGTTTTCCTAGTTTGTGTTTCTAGTTTCCCATTGTGGTTTATGCTGATCAGGATGTCCAGGAAGGGTAGTGAGTAGTTTTTTGTCTTCTTCTCTGAATTCCTTCTCTGGATTCTTCGGAAGATATTGATGGTTTTGTGGGTGGTCTCTAATTGATGCTTTTTATTATGGTGAAATGTCATCTACATGAATTTCAATATGCACATCTACTATTGATTTCTCAATATTCAGTGATATAGTATAGGATGATTCACTTCTGATCATCACTACTACAATGTTGAAAAGCACTATATTTATTCCTATATGAACTGATGGGAATGCTCTCCTTGGTACAGAACCACTGGTAGTTATCTCAGCTGATGGGTATTATTTGATAACAATCAGTTACTGAATAGTAATCATGCATGTGTAAAGTATATTCTCACCTTCACTGTGATCCAGTACCATTGTCTGTTCAATCTCTGCATAGGTGCGACTATGATCTCTGGACTTTTCCATACTACTTTCCATTAGGTGAACAATATCCATTCGGTTAATTTTTTTAAGACACTCTGTGAGACCTGAATCTGTGTTATGGAAGAGACAGCATTTATTTTTAATAATTTGTACATATGAAGAATGCCATCTATTCAGCTTTTGGATAACCGCTGTGAAGTCAGCCAATAGGAGGGTAAAGTGTGTCTCTAATCACTTGAAAAGCAGTGGTTATTTGTTTTTCTTTCTTTTTGATCCTTCTAGTTGTCCTGATAATCACACTTATATATGATTTATTATATTTCTGGGGAGGGATATGAATTGCCTCCTGAAATAGTTTTAAAGCAATCTTCCAAGTAACAATGACCCACTAAATACTGTATATTCAGATATATGAAAAGGGTGACTATGTGGTAGCTTCTGTACAAGTTATCAACACTTCTGAGAAAAGCAACCGCAAATGTTGCACTATTAATGGAATGTCTCTTCATTCCAATAGTAAGTACTTAACTAGGAGTCTCTAGCAATATACAGTAGGTAGTAATTGCTTAGCGACTGCCTTGTTTAGCGACTATTTGCAGTTATGATGGTGATAAAAACAATTAACTTTATGACCAGTCTTCACATTTACAATCTTTTCAGGTCTGTAAAGGAAAACTGAAGTGACATAATAAGCGTAGTCACAATTTCACTTAGCAAACTCTTCAGTTAATGATATGGTAGAATTGCCAGCCCCAGTTGTGGTCACTAAATGAAGATTACTTGTACATAATACGGTAATAGAAAGATACTAATTATCTTGGTTGCTTAAATGGAATTATTTCTTGTGGATGAAGTAGCTAATAACAGTACTGGTACTGTTTATGTTTTATTTATAAGCTGCCCTGCATCATGAATATTAGAGGAGTACTACTAATGTTTGGCAATCATATTAGGAAGGAAAGGCATGTCTATTCACAGAGCTGTCTTATTCTTTTGAATATATACAAATACAGGATATTCCAGAGAATACACAGAATTTACTTGCAAATTATGCAGGTACAGTTGCTCTGAAAATGACAATTGTATAGGAAAGTAAATTTACCCTTCTTTATTTGAATCATTTTTTAGTTTAAAACAGGGGTGAAATCCAAAACTTTTCCCTACGGTTCTGTTGGCGTGGCTTGGTGGGCGTGGCAGGGGATATTGCAAAACCTCCATTCCCACCCCACTCCAGGGGAAGGATACTACAAAATCTCCATTCCCACACTGCTCTGGGGCCAGCCAGAGGTGGTATTTGCCGGTTCTCCGAACTACTCAAAATTTCCGCTACCCGTTCTCCAGAACCGGTCAGAACCTGCTGGATTTCATCCCTGGTTTAAAACCATACTACCTTCAAGTTATTATATGTCCTCCAAGAAAAGCATATAAACAGAATATGAGCATGTTAATTTATATCATTGAGATATAAACAGTTCTATATAATTGAGAACATGGAAAAAAGAAACATTAGAAGTCCTTTTCATCAGTACTGTAGTCTCAGTATACAGTGTAGCTACATTTAAAGGCAGATTAGATCATAGATAATTATCACCTATAGAAGTCCATACATAGTATGGGTGTCCTTGTGTGTATATAGGATTTTTATATTGTTTTGCTTTTGTATGACACTTGCATTCTCTTATATACATTGCTCTTGGTTGTCAGAATGGAAGAGGAGTGAGGGATGGTAACTACTAAAATAAATATACCAGTGGCATGCTTCCCATCTCTTTCCAGCCAATATTTCAGTAATGCATGACTCTGATCCTGAAGGGAATTAGGATTCTCGATCCGAATTTGATGAATTTGTTCTTCAGTGAAATCCAGTTCTCTTGCTAGCTCTGTAAGTACAAAGTATTCAGATAATTTTGACCAGTTGCAATTCTTTATAAATATCACTTATTGCTATCTTATTGCTATACTTATTGCTAGATCGATCTATCTATCTATCTATCTATCTATCTATCTATCTATCTATCTATCTATCTATCTATCTATCTATCTATCATACACACACACACACATACATATATATATAGGTAGTTCTGATAATATTTAACAAATTTGCCAAAATTGTAGACAATATTTTTCTTGAACTATAATTTATATGGTTGCAATCCAGTTATAATCACTATTACAATAATTATTTAATTGAAGAATTCTCTGTAGCTTCAGGATCAGGAGTGGCACTCTTTCTACCCCTCTTTTTCATTCTCTTGGGCTCCCATTCCACAGTCATCAAATTTTGTGGACAAATTGCTAGATTATATGGGTGTGCAATTCAAATAGGTGCATTAAGGCTCCAATAAGTTTAATGCTTCTACTTTTAATGTACTTTTAAAAGATCTTCAGCGTTTTAAACCTTGATCAATTGTAAAACAATTTCATCCTGCTCTTCTGGGAATGTCATTGCATTACCTCTATGCTCCTTGTAAATTGTAAAAAAGTTGCTATCTCGTTCTTGGCATTTTATGAATTCTGCTTTCTTATGAGACTAACATTCTATGGATTTTATGGAAAACTTACGAATGGGTTCAAACTACATTTAAGTATTTTTTTTGAAATACAGCCCAGTTTCTATTAACATTAATTCGAAGCAACAATAATACATCTGCATTACTCCTTAAGTACATAGATCAGCTGATCCTCCTACTATCTGCAAAACAGATCATTCACATTTAGTACATCTCAAGAAGAACTGAAAGATCTATTATTAGAATTGTTATCCTCTTTGTGCCTTTTCTTTTTATTCTAACAATAAAAACATAATTATATTTATGCTGCATTACGGTAGCCCGATTTTGCACTGCATTACGGTAGCCCAATTTTGTGGCATTTTTGTGAGAAAACAAAAAATGCTATTTTCCCCTCATATTTGTTTATCAATTTTTTAAAACTATCCACGTTCCTCACAGAAGGACTGTGGGGGACATGTTAGCCTGGTCTCCGTGGCAACGGCTTTTTGGAGATTACTAAACACTGAACTTTTCCAAAACGTTTTTGGAAAATGATACATTTTGCTATTTTGCTTTCCATTTATTTATTTAAAAATACTAACTGATGTTCTCAGGTGTTTTTAAATGAACATATGGTGCTTTTTATTTACTGTGGGCATTTTATAGTATTTTGGCATTTTGTGAAACACTGTGAGTCAGCAAAGATTGTTAGTAATAATAACAGTGCATATTTATTTTAGTACATATGTTTTTTAGAACCCAGTGTTATAACTTCATGTGTGCATATCGTATTTATATAGCAAGAAAGCATATATAGATATACCAATTAAATCTATACCATGCTAATAGTATTAAAACTTTTTACTGAATAGCGATTCAGAGAAGAGCTAAAATCAAGGGAGTGACTACTATTAACGTTTTTGAATTGCAACTGTTCAGTCAGCATGTTCAATGATTCTGGGAGCTGTACTCAAAAAAATCCATACAACCTTGCACTTTCAGATTTTTTTGAGTACAGCTCCCAGTTTCTGGCAAACATACAGATTAACAACTGTGATCTCTCCAAGGTTATACTTTACCTGTCCAGCTGAATCCAAGATGATCAGCAATATGTGCTAGTCTTTCTTCTAGTCTTTTCTGATCATCTTGTTGTTCTAAAATAAGATTAATAGAACAGTTGTTTATTTGTATGAAAATATTTTTTAAAAATGAAAGGAGTCTCCATAAAATAGGCCAGTGTTTTTAGAACAGTGGCTGCTTTTAAGTGAATTAAAGGCCTTGATAAATGACTAGATTTAAAATATTCTACTCTTCAGCAATTCATTAAGAATTTCTTTCAAAAATATGCATTAATGTGTTATTGGAAACACTGTCCTAAATTTTATGTAAGTTCCCATCTATTTTAAATAAAATAAAACAAAGGGAAACTAAATATTTTGCTGGGGCAGAGATTTCATTTTTCCATGCTACTTTGGCTAACAAATTAAATGGGTAGTATTTGTGGCCTCTAGAATCACTCTGTGTCTTCTTCTCAAACACTGAACTACATTTTAAGCCACACAACTTCTAACAGTTAAAACAAATTATGAATTATTATGTCAGGATGATATATTAAATCATATATTTAATCCAACATTTCATCTTCCCCCCCTCAATTTTTCCCTTCTTCACAAAAGTAGGCATGGAAAAGGAAGCACAAACTTGTTTGGAGAAAATATGCATAAAAGCAGCAGGAAAAATAGATATATAGACAATATCAGCAGAGTTTGAGTTTTTGTTTTCCCATAGACGCATTTTAGATCTTCAAAAAGTCTATTAGGAAATATATTCAGAATCCCACTATCATTTTTCCTTAGTACTCTATAGTACTACTGTAGGAGTGGATTCTTAAGAAAAAAATATACATGAACATTCCTCTCTAAATTTTAGAGGACTGAATCCATAAATTCAGTATTTGAAAATAGCCTTCAGTTAATTATGGAAGCAAAATTCAATGTGTTTCTAGATTCTGATAACTTTGACGCATATAAATGGATCTACATATCCAGAATTATAGTAATCTTACCTGTCTTTTTCTGTGTCAAAAATATTTCATTAAAAAGATTCAAGCAGAGTGATGAAAAATCAAAAACTAAAACTTGCATTGGTCAGCTGTACTACAAGTGAAATAATGTTATAAGTTTATTAGTGTTAAAACAACATTAAGGAAGTGTGTGTTTTTCATATGAGAAAGCTTATTTTGTTATATTTATGCTTTCCGTGAACATTTGCATTGTGCAATCTTGAGATTGTTTCAGAGACAGTAAAACACATAAAAAACACAAAACAAACGGAGCTCACACAAAGCACATTAATAAACATAGGAAGCTTTTTAAAACAACACACGAACCATACACCAAGAGCAGGGCAAGGAGTAAAATAGAAGAAACAGGCAAAACCTTGCGATTTATGACATGCGTAGCAAAGGGAACCCAGTGGCTGGCAAATACCTTCAACATGGTCAGGGACATTTTCATCAGGAATACGTTCAATCAGAGTCTCAATGGACTCATCCCAAATGGGCCTGGTGTCAAAGATGTCCTCGGCAAGTGACTGTTGGGTCTCAATGGATGGCACATTTTCAATAACCGAAACTTCTAGGGCACTACTACTTTCATCATCTGAAACTAATTCTTGTTCTCTCTCTGACTGTGTAAGTCTATCCACTAACTTGGAAGCTTCATCGCTAATCTCCTCAAAGAATTCTATAGAATTTTTGTAAAGGTCAAAAAAATGTTCCTTACTTTCTTTTGAGGGACTAACAGCATTTCGGGAAGTTGAGGCACTTCTGCTCTTAACAGGTAATCGTGAAGAAAATATCTTTGGTCGGGCAGTCATCAGCTCATCTGATTCTAGTTCAAGCTTCATCTCACCCACCCTCTCTCTGGTCTCTGCTTCTGACTCAGTGCAACTTCTAGCTTTGACTGAATGCTTAGCTTTTGAGTCCATGGAGGCACTGGCATCAGATTCAGATTTGCTCCTAATGTCTTGTTTCATAGGTACTTTGCAGGTTACATCAGGGACTTTAGCTGATTCTGACTGCCAGGCAGGTGTTTCTGTCTCTAAAGATTCTTGCTCACCTCTTTGAAAAATTGCCTTAACTGGAATTTTAGATTTTGGTTTGGAAGCATCATCCTGTGGTTCTTCCAGGCTGTCTATGAAGCCAACAGAAGGAAGGCTCTCAGCTTCTGACTTATCTGATGATGGGAATGTAGATGGAGTAGCCCTAATGGGGATTTTGGATTTGCTTTCACTACAAGGCACACTCTCCATGGCAGCTGTGGGGATTTCAATCACAGATTTCTGCTCCTCTGGGGAGGAATCTGGGGAATCATCTTCTTTTTCAGCACAAACAGACCTAGTGACTGTGGAAAAATTTAACTGTACATCAATCACTGTCTGATCAGGAGAGATAGGACAAGGCATCTGGGAGCTATCAAATGTATCACTAGAGGGAAGGTCATGATCAGCTGCTGTTATTTCTTTCTTTGGTGATTTTGAAGAGGCTGAAATACCCATTTTAATAGGAATTCGAGATTTAACATCTTCTTTTGTGCTACATAAAGCAGCGGTTTCATCCTCTGATACAGATATAAGGGGACTTTTCACAGCTGTTTCTGCTTTATTAAATTCAGAAGGTGCAACTGAAATGAAAGATTGTTCCTCAGGGGGACATTCTAGGCCTTCAGCTTCTCTCATTTCTTCAGATAATGACACTTCTTCCTGAGATGGCTCCCCCATCTGGAAAAAGTCTAAGCTTTCATCAGAATAATTCCTTTTCGTCATATCAATGGCACCACTCCTTGTCATTTCAAACAATTTTCCTTCCTGGAAAAGAAAGGGATTTGGTTCACTGGAAGGAGTCCCATCTTCAGTAGGTGTTCTGGCTGGTGTTGTATCAGGTGTGGTGCCTTGTGATCTCCTGTCTACCATTAAGCCAAATATTTTTTGTTCTTCCTCCTTCACTCTAGCCTCAAAAGCATCATCATCTTCACGAATTTGACTCCACTTGTCAGAATCCACATCTGTCCTAGTTATAATTACTTGGCTAATCATTTCTTCAGCTTCATGCCTGATACCTTGTAGAGCAGCTTCATCAAGTGATGTAGAGACTGATGTTGAAGATGGTCTTTTCTGAAAGTTGTCCATTTGCTTGGATTCTATCTCTATACAAACACCTTCTGGGACCTGAACTTCAGAACCTTCTGATAGTGTTCTATAAAAAGAATTCATGCTTGTACCTTCAGCCATTTTAGTTTTTTCTTTATCAGAATAATCTTCCTCAGATGACTGGTCTATTTTTGTTTTTAAATTAATTTCTCTACTAATTTCATCATTAGTAAAAAAATGTTGTGAAGGGACATTTTCATAAGGGCTTGTTATAGGCAAAGCACTGCTTTTGCCAAATTCTTCTATATCACTTTCATATTTACTTTTTGGGGTTGTTGGAGATGAATATTTTGTGGTGTGCTCTATGCTAGGAAAAGCCCTGTCTGTCATCTCTAACCTGTGATCTGTTCCAGCCATATCACTTCCCAAAGGGGAGTGGTCAGGTGAAACATTAGTAGCCAATACATCATTTTGTGAAACACAGCAATGAGAAGTGCCAGATGTACAGGAGCCCTCTGAAGTTCCTCCCATGCTAACTAAGTCATTTGGTATTACTCCTTCAGATGCTACACTATCTTTTAAAGAATCATCCTGCTGGTATGATGCCACTGAAGTTTCATATAACTCAGTTATTTTTTGAGCATCATCATCAGCAGAATGGTAGAAAGATTCCTCAGGTGGCATCTTAGGGCCATTAGGGCTAACTGTGTCACTCTCATCTGTACTATAGCACTTTGATTCGCTAGCCTGTGCGATGATGCTGGCATCAGAAGCAAGTGAAGTATCACACGACATTTTGGTTTCCTCAGTTGGTTTATCAGATTCTGTGTTATCCTCCTCAGTACTGAATGCTTGCTGCTTAGACTCAATAGGCTGAAATCCTGTCTCTTCAGGACTGGAACTGGAATCCATATTGGAAAGATGAGGTGAAGAAGGTTGCAGTCTCATTGTAGGTTCCATTAACAGCCCAGAATCAGCTTCTTTTTTCAGCTTTGTTAATTCTGGCTCACTTTCTGAGGATGAAGAGCTCTTTCTAGATACAACTCCAGAAGTCACTATTGTAGATAAAGCATTATCTTCTAGAGTTGTTGAAGGCAGCCTTTTAGTTTCAGAAGCACCTTCTAAATCAGAAGCTGAAATAATATCATCTTGTTTGAAATCCTTTCTATAGTCCCTCTTCTGTTTTTCTTCCTGTTCCATCTCATCAAACATCTTAATTTTGGCCACCATTTTAAACATCTCTTCTTCTGGAGTGTATCTTCTCTTTGGTTCATCTTCTGAATCATCTTCTGGCTCTTCATTAACCTCGGGAATTACTGCGGACTTGGGTATATTTGCAAGAATCTGTGATTCAGTTATTTTTGGTGTGATTTCATAACTAATTTCTTCAGAGCTAGGAGTCTCAGGTGAAAGAGGACTTTTTCCTGAGCTCTCCAAAAGAGATGTTTGTTCTAAACTGTCATCTTCGGCGCTTCCATCAGGGTCACGTAAGAGTCTAGATCGTACAGGTGCTAGTTCTGGGAAGTTTTCAGCTTTAGCAGGGATAGCCTGAATTGGACCAGGACCTGGAAAGAAGCCAGCCTTTGATTTCTGTTCTACAGGGCTACTTTCCAGAGAATCACGACAGGGGGATTCTTTGGTTGGACTAGGCTCAAGGGAATCAGGTGTTTTACGTGAAGAATTATCTTCCAACACTGGGCTTGCTTCCAATGAATCTTTATGACTTATAGCTATGGATTCATCTGCAGCTGGGCTAAGACCTTCTCCCTCCTGGCTAGGAAATGAAAGCTCTAGTCCTCTGCTAATGGTATATGGCTCAAAGGATGTGTCCTCATCTTTTTCAATAAAAGAATCAGTTGATTCAGTTAATTTAGTTAAATGTCTTTGATCTGCCAGCACTGATGATTTATCATGGAGAGCATCTTTATCAATCAGAGTTGAGCTAGAATCTAGGTCTTTGGAGTGTTCTTCTGAAATATGATGGGAATGGGATTCTGTGGTTTCTTTTAGGTCTTTGTCACAAATAGTAATTTCCTTTTCTGTTGGAGAAAGCCCCCTTTGTGAATGCATTTCTGATGTCCTCTGCTCTGCACTGGCTAATATAGTTTCTTCCGTCTGGTCAGCAGTTTCTGTTTTCTTAGATGAAAATGGAAGGCTCTCGGGGCTTGTTTCTGGAGTTTCTGCCAAGCCCTCATGCTTATAACTTTCCTCAGAGCTGTTCTGGGGAGTTCCATCAAGCAGGCTACCAATTGGAGAGTCTGCTATGCCTTCATGCTTAAGACTTTCTGAGCTGCCATCCAAAGCACCACTTTGCAAGGAGAGTGTGGGCAAAAACCCATCTTTCACATATTCTGATGGAAATGTAACATTGAATGGACTGGTCAGAACTTGATCTAAGTGAAGCTCACCTTCCTCTGTAATTGAAATATGCCGCAACTGTTGGTATTTATCATTATCTTCCAGCTCTTCTTTTATGACATCAGAAAAATCAGTTGATGTCTTTCTATTTGGACTAATCTGAAGTTCAGTATCTCCTTGGTCATCAAATGTCAGGGCTACATCTTTGGATTTTTCTTCAACAATGACAGGAGGTTCTTTTTTTCTGTCACTCTGTGATTTTGTGATTAAATCTTTCTTCAGGGTTATATGAGGTATACTCTGCATGATTTTTTTAGATTGCAAACCTACCTCTGTCTGAGGTTCCTGGTTCTTTTTGCTTTTAGGACTGTCTTTTTTATGTGTGTCTCTAGAGGTTAATGCTAGCTTCTTTTCACTTTCTGCTTGACTAGCTCCTTTTTTAGTTGTCCCTTTGTCAGCATCCTGTTGTTTCTGCTTTGCAGACTTATGCTCAAAAAGTCCAGCTTTATGCTTTGATGGGTCTTGACCTGATTGGAAAGCTTTCATTAGTTCACGAACAGACATAGTTTCTTCAATTCTTTCTGTTTTAGAAGATGGTGACACAGAAGGCTTCTTGGATGTAGGAGAAACAGGAGGCTTTTTAGCTGTGGGAGAAACTGATGGCTTTTTAACTGTGGGAGAAACTGGTGACTTCCTTGACGTGGGAGAAAGAGTTGGTTTTTTTGTGGTAGGAGAAACAGCTGGCTTCTTAGTAGAAGGAGATGACAGTTTAGAAGGGGAGGAAGAAGCAGCAGAAGTTTTTGGAGAAGGTGGAATCTTTGTGGCTGGTGGAGAAGCTGAAGTCTTTGTGGAAGAGGGAGAACCTGGAGGTTTTGTTTTACAAATGATCTTTTTAGTCTGTGATGGCTTTGTAACAGGCTTCTCAGCTCCCTCTTTTCCTTGAAGTCGAACTGGCAACTTTGAACGGCCTTTCTGTTCATCTTCTACTCGCTTCTGAAGAGCTTTCACTTTATCTTTAATTGATCCAATAGGGGTTTCTTCTATAACTGGAGACACAGCAGTATCTTTCATAGGCTCTGCAATAGTTAATAGTTGTTCTTCATCTAAAGATTCCTCTGAACTGACTCTGTCTAGCCCTAAAGGCTTATCCTTTCCTTGGGTTTCTTCAACCTTTAGATTTAATTTATCTTTTAATTTCTTTCTAACAGGTTTTTTAATTTCCAGGGTAGGTTTGCATTGATCTTGCTTCTTTTTGTCTTTTTTATCTGCTTCAGAACCTCTGCTTACAACAACAGCTTCAAATCTTTCTTCTACTATGTCTTCTTGAAATGTCTTCGGTTGCACTTCATTCAAAGACACATAAACTTTTAGATCTTCGCTGAGATAATCAATCATTCCTGTCATATCTTTTGTTTCTTTCTTTGATTTTCCTTTGCCTAGTCTATTTTCTACACAAATAGGCTCACAAACTTCCAAAGGAACATTTTGCTTGGCCTCTTCAATTTCTTCATCACTTAGAAGAACCCAATCTTCTTCCACCAACTTTTTTTCCGAAGCAGATCTCTGCATAGCTGGCTTTTCTTTGGGGCAGCTCCCACTTCTTAGAATTTCATTCACTTTTTCCAAGTCTTCTTTAACTCTTTCCACAATTTCAAATGGTTCTCCAGGCTCTTCATCTGCAGCTTTTGTAAGATCTTTCACCTTAATAGAATCTGTTTTTTCAGAAGAGTCTGTTGTCAAAATTGCAGTCATTTTTATCAAATCTTGTTTCATCTCAGAGACTTCAGACAGCAAATCTGGACTTGCTAGGACAGGAACATCATTGACAAGATGGCTTTTCAGGACAGATGTTTCTGTAGATTCTGTTTCGTCATCATCTTTGATGGAAATAGGGGAAAACATTGGAAATAAATGGAAATCAAAAATAGAGATTGTCAAATGTAATCAGGATTGAAATGACTGTTTTTGATTGCAGCAGTAGGAGGATCAACAAAATGGTCTGGGAATGGTGGGTCCACAAATCTGATGGTGGAAAAAAAAAAGCAAAGCAAAGCTAATAGGGAAAACTGAAAAGGAAAGTAAGCAGGAAATAACTTGCTTAGTTTTTGCAGTCCAACACATCCATACACACAAACACCAAAGCTTTTATAAACCAAGACACCATAAAAACAAATTAAGGAAAGGAAAAGAAAGTGTGGAATTTACACAAAAATAGATATCTCAAGATTGTTCGGATGTTACAGATCAATGCTCAAATAAAAACAGAACAAAAGAAGGATTGTAATTGGTTGAAAACTGATATCCTCAAAGAGAAAGCCAGTGGTAGCAAACTTCAGAACCATAAGTCATTATTATATAAACATTATTCAATAATCAAAGTAAAATATCTATATTTACATTTAATTCTATAATACTTTACAATAAATGAAATACAGTGATATCTGAGGTAGCTGCAAACCGGCATTTCATCTAAGGGGAATCTTACATCCAAATAATGACACAGATAAAAGACATATTTCAAGAGGCATGGTCCTACTTTGGAACATCCTCATATTGAAATAAATAAGTAAATAAGATGGAAAAATAAGGGGAGGGGGATAATTAAAACACCACCATCACAGAACAGAGAATTCAAATGTTCAGGGAGAAAATGTAATGAATGGCAACCAGAAACATTCATACTGAGATATACAGACACAAACATACACACGATATATACATACATATATTGATATATATGTAAGCCAAGTTATTTCCATGCAAAGCAAAGCTGTTGCATACATTGCAGGGTAACTATTCTTACATTAAAAGAAGCCCAATAAAACTTAAAGGTTAAAAATTAAAATGGAATTAAATCATGTGGAAAATACTGTGGTGAAGTTTGACTTTCTATATCCAGTATATCCTATATACTTCATATCTGATTTGGAAAAAACCATTGGATATGACAAGAATAAAGATTAAAAAGTTTTGCAGTAAGGCTCCCCTTAGAGAAATCAAGGACTATATAGCTATTTCTAATTTAGTTTGTTAATCTGTCTTTTTTCATGATCAACCAGCTGTGGCTGTGAGCTGTGGATATTAGAGATGTGCCTAATGCTATTTGTATATATTCAACTTGTTTTTCTTAATCTTTTTTTCTGGGTTGCTGTGGATCTTTTGTGATATTGAAGAGTTCATTGTAACTGCTATTGATGAAAGCTTACTAGTTCTCTGCTAATAGAAGAGGTCATGAAAGGAAGAGGGCCTTTCTAAGGTAGGTAAATTGAGGACCCAGTTTGTGGGGGCAATAAACTGACTTTGTATAAAATATACAAAAGTATGAAGGCTATTGCTTAACACACTGTAAGCCGCCCTGAGTCTCCGGAGAAGGGCGGCATATAAATCAATTTTTTTTAAAAAAAATGGTATATATGATTAAAGTGGATTAGGGACTCAGTATTCCCCAAATAAGAAGGTGTGATTTAGCTACTGCAATTGTCAAATAAGATTTGACTGAGTTAGCGGCTGATTGACAACCTTATAAGGTAAACCAGACAGCAAACACAACCAGCTGGGCTAATTCTACTTTACTATAAAGTTATCTTAACAAATCTTGTATGTATATTTCTCTCCCTTTACAGTCCAAGAAACTGGGGAGGGATTCTTCTCAGCCTCTTACCCCATCCACATTCCTTCTGAAGGCTCAGCTGCCTTTATCTAATTGTTCCCTACATTGCTCTCTTTGCCTTGTCTCCCAAGGTCACTCCCACATACTATTACATTGATTTAGATAGGGTTGTTGGATTACTAGTCTCAACTACCTATTTCTGTAATGTGACTTAATTCTCTGTATACTTTTCAGCAGCTATCTTTAACCTCATAAAGATACCTAACTTTATCCTCATTTGTGGCAAAAATAATTCATTTCCAGCAAACAAAATTCTAAGAGATAAAAAATCTTCACAGAAATACTTCACCAGAGTATTAAGACATAGATAGATGGTTTAAAGATCTTTGTTACTTTCAACAGTATCACTTTTATACTAGCACCTAGGCATTTTCATGTGAGTAATTTCATGACGAGTTTTGACAGTTTGAATATTTTAATTTTTAAAAGTGATACTGTAATTAGTTTATGAAATGAAATGAATTCAGGTCATGTACTTAAAATAAGAGGGAGAAGGTGTTACAATATAGAGGGCTAACAGCAATAGCAGGGTTACCAGGTAATTAAAAAAAACCAAGAATGCTTAGATGAACTAAATATTTTAAATATTTTAAATTATTAATAACAAATAACAGATTTCATCTAAAGACTATAATTAGGGTATTATAAACTTATATTTATAAAGTTAATATGATCACCCGTGGCAATTAAAGTTTGCAATCCCTTTCATGCTTTATTAGATAATTCATGCACATCATAATAGTTTTGTTAAAATCTTACGTTTTTCTGATGTCATATCAGTCTGAAAGAAAACAAAGAATGAATGGGTTATAAAAACATGATGTTACAATAACCAATGGAAACTACTCTGAACTAGACCTAGGCTACAATCTTTCATTGTAGAAATGCACATGACATTAACAGCTCAATTCTCAATATTCTCATACAAAGAACCAAACTGAATTCATTTTCTTCTTAATAAATATTCTTAGGATTGCAGTTAAGTTAGTTACTTAGAGTGATGGAATTAGCCATGCTTTTACGTCATTAGAGATCATGAATTCAATTTATACACACAATACTAATGGTTAATTCACTGTATTTATTATACTGGATGTTAAAAAGTGAGGGCACAAGCCATTGAACTGGACAGGGTGAGATGGTAAATAATTCAGAAATGGAAAGTGGGTTATTTTTAACCTGCACTTAGGAAAGTATTTTGAGAGGTTAGTAGCAAAAATGGTGACATACAATAAGCTAGAAATAGTCTAAAGATCTTTTAAGATTCAAAGCATTTATATTTATATTTTTGCCATGTTTTGCTAGAGAATTTTGAATCATCTATTTTACTAAAAGTTTTTTAAGTATAAAATACTATATTTTTACATGCTATTTATTCTTCTATATTTTTATTCTTTGTATTTTCTTTTACAAATAATTACTTTTGAATATTCTATTTTTATTTATATGCCTATTTATTTATATGTTCTTTACTAGTCAGCAACTGAAGATGTTAATTCATGATTTTATATTTACAGAGAATCACTTCCCACTAAAATTTTAAAACTTTGCCCCTGCATTTTTTAAAAACTTTTTTGCTTTTAATAATTATCCATTGTCTGCATGTTGCTATAAAAGCCTTATGAGAAAAATTATTTCATCAAAATAACTCAATAGGGAACAGTTTTGCTAACTGCAATTCAGGTCATTTTGCACTGTTGCAAAGGTAATTATATTGGAGACAAATTACAATAAATGACTCCAATTACCTGAAATACTCGACAATTGCAGTTAATTTTAGAAATTATAAAAGATTCTAAGAACTTAAAGAAAAGACATCCTTTCTTTCTAATTATTGTTTGCTTGACATTTATTCCTGGATAAAATAGCTAAAAGAACAAACTCACCTCAACTACAAGGATGTAAATATAAAAAGTTAAATCAGCTGTAGCTTGAACTTTCATTATCCTTAGAGGACATCACTAATAAATATGTAAGCTTTCACTTCAGAACCAGTGGAGTGGACTAAGTTGTATATGCGCTATGTTATTAAAGTAGCTTAGCTAACTTAGAGATATAAATTTTATATATTTAGATAATTTACTTGTAAATTGTATATGTGTCTCGTTCATTGGTAATATATATTGGTTCAAATTAGCAATTAACATTTACTGCTTATAAATATATATTTCTTTTTCCCTTTCAGTTAATCTCTTCTCTCTTTCCAAAACAGAAAATGTAATGGAATAAATATGGATTCTAGATAGTTTATAACTGGATTGATTGCAAAGGGCTTATGAAACTTGGTCAATATTTACATGAAATAATTGATTTGAGATGGGGCCACTTCTAGTCAATAGGCAATAAGTTGTTCATACTTGACATAAAGTCATCTGGCATTCAACTGACTGCTCTTTCCCAATTTAGATCCTTATCCTAGCAATTTTACAGCAGAATTAGCAAAGTTACCTCTTCTTCCTGTTCTTGATCTGATTCTGATTCCTTTAATCCAATATGCCATGCAAGAAAAGAAAAACAGAGCAAGGAAAGATAGGATGCAATTAAAGGAAAAGTATGATTTCTGGACACATTTAATTGGTAAGAATACATAATGAAAACAATTTTTGCACTTTCTCCTAAGAAGGAAAGAAAAGAGAACAGGAAAGTTGGTTTAGTTAAGAAAAGTGGGGATTCAGGTAAGTTCAAAGAAGAAAAGCTATTTCATGTTGGGATTTTTTGTTTATTATGTATTGAACTTACAACACTGTTTCTCAAATATGCCAAAATTCAATCTGTGTAGAAAGTTTCTTAAAGATAACTTCTTAAAAATAACAACAAGAAAATGTAAGCATTAGTATAGATTTATATTTGTATCACTAGTTAAGTTTCAAATTTAATGTTGCTATGTTCGAATTACATTGAAGTTAGAATATTTGCATGTGGTTTCTCATACAATTTTCCTGTTTATTTAACTAACTATACAAGTCATCTATGAACAACATAAAGCTGGAAAATAAGCCAATTAGTTTGGGGCTGAGTAAGAAAGCTATAAATAAAAAATGCCAAATACCAAATCTGTTTTACAGTTTTAATTTTTTTAAAAAAGAAAAAATTGTCCAGCATTATCCTGCTAATCAAGTTCACTATGCATGCAAATGCACACAAAAATGGCTTAATGAGTGAGTGTTAACAATGTTGGTTGTTACAGATTATTGATAAATGTTAACTCATCCTAATGAGCCATTGCTTCCATATAGTGTTGAGACATATACCGTATTTTTCGGAGTATAAGAAGGACCTTTTTCCCCCCTAAAGGGGGGTGAAAATTTAGGTGCATCTTACACACCAAATGTAGCCCCGCCCATCCACTGGCCCCCACCCTTTGGCCTCTGCCTCGCAGCAGTTACCTCCTTGCAAGCAAACAGCAAGAAAAAACAGCTCCTTTCAGCTTCAGCACAGCCTAATTAGCACAAGTTGATTGGATTGGCCTGCCGACTCTCAGCTGATTTGTTCTCAGCTGTTTTGCACAGGGCTCTGCTGCTTGCTGCAAAGAGGTAAATTGCTGGAGCAGATTTTTTTCCCCCTTGGGCTAATCAAGCTATGCTGAAAATGAAAATGAAAGTAGAGCAGTATGTTTGCTGTTTGCTGCAACAAGACAAAATTGTGCAGAGGGACATTTCTTTTTCTTCTTTTCCTCACCAAAAAAGTTAGGTGCGTCTTATACTCCAGTGCGTCTTATACTCTGAAAAATACGGTATATGACTCTCAACACTCAAGGAAACTAGAGATCCTCTGACAGGAAAGAATGCTACATAATTTATGCACCCCAAATATGTGATATTAAATCATGGATATTTACATAATGCTATGTAATTTAAAATTTGTGAAAAGTACAAAACTATAGAACAAGTTTAGTGTATCTTAAATTACAATGTAGAAGTGTAAGTGTATAAGCAGGTTATATTTTAACTGGGGAGTACCTTTGTGTATATTGGTAATGTGATATTCAGATTGCAGATAGCTTGATGTACCAGACCTCTTGAAGATTTAGGCTCTTTCATAAATGATAGACGTCCACAAGATTCTTGTGTTGTATCCCGAACCTAGTGCAGAAAAATAGCAGGAATTCAAACCCAACACTCTGAACATGTCAGTACTGCATGTATCTCTTTGTTGGTGAATATGGGCAATAGTGTATTGGATTCCAAAGTCATATCTTAAGGAGAAATCCTAATTTGCAAGGAATAAAGCTGGGTTTTAATTGTGATATGCTGGCAAAAAATATGCCAGAAATAATCAGTACTTTTCTTACTCAGCAAGTATTACTGCATGTCACAGATAGAATTAAAGGTGAAATCTTCAGCTGACTAAAGCATGATGAGTGGTGGAGGGCCCATCTGATGACAACCGTTACTGTGTTGTCATTTAGTGTGTCACTTAATGTGACTTAAAATGAAAAGATAAAAAGCATGGCTATGAATGAGACCAGGCAGAATTAAATACTATAAATCTGAATGAAGATAGTCTGATCTTATTAAGCAGTGTTGCTCCCCAAATTTTCATGTGCCTAAGGCTGCAGGTCTTGTAAACTATTATGCTTGAATGTATAGTGAGAATATTTGTACATCACTGTATCATAATCAGCTTAGACATAGATTACCAGAGAGCTAAACTCATGTATTTTGTCAAAACCCTAACACAACAAACTTGTATAATTTACCAGAACAGGACTGAACAGATATACTGCTTTAAATATTTAGTAGTAGTTTTTCATGACAACAGACCCTGGAAAGTCTATAATGAATATATTCAGCAAGTCATGATTTCAACAGGCTACGCAAAGTTTACTTTACTCCAAATGATATAAACTGATACAGCTAAAATACTAGTCTTTTTAAAGCTAAAATACTAAATATTTTATGCAGTTCAGGTTTACATATGAAGAAAATGCCTCCCAAAAATACAAACCAAGTTTTAAGGTCATTATTTGCCATACTATATGATACCCCAACATTGTACTCAGGCAACATTGTACTCAAGCATGTTGGAAATATTTGGACTTCCTTTTTCTATAGAGTTGCTATTGCTAGTTTTAGCTGCTGATTGTTTCTCTTCATGGACAAAGGCAATAGAACAGGAAGAATATCTGCGAGGCTGTAGATTTCTTATTAATTTTGGACTATGCTCTGGTCAAAAAGCTAAGATTAAAAATACTGAGCTACATCAAACAATGTTCAATCAGTTAACTCTGTCAGAGTTTAGGATATTGCACACCCTAACTTTCTTTAGCCTGAGGAAAGTATTTTTCAGGGCCAGGCAAATCCTCCCATCATCACATGATATATTCTTCAGTCACAAGGAATTTGATCAGTATGATGCTACATGTCCTTTTTTCTGCTAAATTTTATAAGCATCTTCAAAAGGACCATCTCTTATTAACTGCACCTGGGAAAATGTCTGGTTTTTATATCCAACTTGTATTTCCAAACTCGTATCATAAAACTATCTACATGGAAGTCAAATGTAATGTTGCAGATATTAAAAAGAGGCAACAGTTAACTTCCAACCTCACCTGACAAAATTTTCTTTTTTCTGATTTTATTTGGTCATTTGTATAACTGGTCTTCGGAAATAAAAAAATGCAACATTTGAAATTGAGTTAATGAATATTTACAACAAAGTGGAGGTGAAGGTTTAATTATGAATCAGAAGATAAACTGTGGTTATCCAGCTTGCTACAAGTAGGTTTGAAAATACAAATACATGGGTTGATAATGGTGGCCATGTCTAAAGAATGGTGATAATGAAAGAACTAGGGATGAAATCTGGAAAAAGTTATGCAGTCCTAGGAATGAATGGAATTCAGAGGAGTGTGGTGGGAACTTTGCTAGGTTCCATTATTGGCTGAATAAGAACAAGTCAAGAGACTTCAAAAAATGATTGGGTCATTCATATATCCAAGAACAAAACAGCATTATATCTATTCAGTGAGTATGTGTTTAGAAAAAGTTCTGTTTGTTTCAAAAAGACCTAATAAAGGATACAAGAAAAGACCTTAATATAGGATACAAAAAAAAAAAAAAAAGATTCTATATATGGGACAGAATGTCAAGATTGTCTCCTGGAAAAAAATGGATATACTAGAAAAGGAAAGAAACATGAGCGAACGTAAAAAGATTGCAAGAAGATATCGTCTATCTTCTATATAAAACAATGTTAAAGACAGACTAATTTCCTAACAGAATACATAGAAAGTGGATATATGGGAAGAGGATTTGAAACTACTTAGAACAAAATCAAAATAATTATATTACAAAGTGCCAAAATGTGTGTGGAATATTTTACATATTTGAGTGGGAGTAATATGTCAAACAATGGAAATTAAACAAATGTTGACTGAGAACCTTAGTGATTGCATGATTCTATACAGAGCAATATGGATCTGAAAATTATAGTATCAAAGACTAAGGCAGTGGAATTTGATGGGAAAATGGAGTGAATAATTGCAAGTTATGTATAAATGGCAAAAAGCTTAAACAATTACGTGGATTTGTATATGTTGATAGAATGTTATCAGGACAGACAATTACAAACTCTACAAATGCCAATAATGAGTAATATATGGCAACAAATGAATGTTTATTAAAAGAAGCAGAGTATAAGGATTGTTTCAGCTGACTTTGTTATATGAAAGTGAGCATTGGTTGTGCCACAAAAACCACAATAAGCTGAACATACTGGAAATAAGATTCTTAAGAAATCTATATGGTAAAAATATGAATTACAGAATGTATGGATGTTGATTGAATGTGAACTGAATATAATAATGAGTAGAAAAAAAATACACTAAATTGGTCATAAAGGGACTGTGGATCAAACTGCAAAGCAAATAGATGAAAGAAAAGTTAATTATTCAAGAGGAACAGGGTATCATTCTGAGACGGAAGAAGAGAACCCCAAAGAAATTAAAACACAGAACAGGTAACTAATATTTTGTAATATTGGAGAGTTCCCCTGATATAGACAGTTGACCTTTAAAAATTTAATTATCATAGTATTGGGGTTTTTTTTTGTCACTTACCTCCACCTTTTCCCAATGGTAAACAACAGAAACCAACACAATATAACTTTATTACTGGTATTGAAATAAAATAAAACCAAACTCAACATATATATTTATATCAAAATTATACATATTTATATTTATATCAAAATTACCTTGACAAACAATGGAAGTCTGTTTTCTTTGAAGGCATAAAAACTGAATATATGATGTTGGCCACTCTTTATTAATGGTACTAAATTCCCAAAGCAGTCCACAAATATAGGTTTTCCTTCTAATACCTACACATAATTAATAAGAAAATAAAACGTTCCTTAATTTTGTTCTTATATTTATTTTTGCTAAATTAGAACATATTGTTAGCCTTATTAAAAAAAAAGTTATTAATATAAAGAAAAAGGTTTCCCCTGTCCCAGTTGCTGATGGAGCCAGTGTTCAGAGACATTTTCATGGTCATGTGGCCAGCAAGACTATAAGCCAACATGCAAGAGCTCACCCCATTGCAATTGTAAATAAACAGCAGGAGCAAATATGGATTAAAATGTATGCAAGAGATTCTAAATATATATAAACAAATTATTATTTCCAGACAATCAACATTTCTTAGTAATTAAATAAAACATTTCATATATGCAATATGTCCTCAATCCAATGTAAAATGCTCAAACATTTTAGGAAATTGTGTTTTTTCTTTCCTAATTTTTTACACAGTTTGTCAATAAAATCTATCTATCTATCTATCTATCTATCTATCTATCTATCTATCTATCGATCTATCGATCTATCTATGAAAATTATTTAAATCTGATTAAATTCAAAGCCTTTATTGTCATTGTACATCATGTATACAACAAAATTGGTTAAATAAATTTTAATTGATTAAATCAAATGTAAACAGAATACCATAAATTAGAAAAGCTTAATAGGATTACCTCCCTATGTTTTTAATTCATGTACTGCTTTGTAATGGGCAACAACCAAAAACCATAGTAAAGCAAAAAAGAAACTGTCAAAAATACGTAACTAAGATAAAATATTCAACTTCTGATGGGTTCTGCATGCAGCACAATAGATGTTCCAACATTTAAAGAGATTCTGATTCAGCAATAAATAGTAAGGATAGACTGATAGGAACTTAATTAAAATGTGGAAGTATCTTTTCAAAAATCAAAGTATGAAAGTAAAAAGAAAATTTAGTAATACCTACTCCACATGAACAAAGGTGGGAAGCATATCCTTCCTCTCTGACCGTTCGCAGTTTGTGTTGGCAGGGGGGCAGAGGTCGACCTCGAGGCACCTTATTTGTGGGGTGCCACAAGGGTCAGTCCTCTCACCCCTTCTGTTCAACATTTATGTAAAACCGCTAGGCGAGATCATCCGTGGTTTCGGGGTGAGTGTTCATCAATATGCTGATGACACATAGCTATACATCTCCACCCCAGACCACCCCAATGATGCCCTTGCTGTGATGTCCCGTTGCCTGGAGGCCGTGCGGATCTGGATGGGGAGAAACAAGCTCAGGCTCAACCCCTCCAAGACCGAGTGGCTGTGGCTTCCGGCGTCCCGGTATAGTCAGCTGGTACCATCACTGACAATTGGGGATGAGATCTTGCTCCCCACAGAGAGGGCCTGCAACTTGGGTATCCTCCTGGATTCATGGCTATCTTTAGAAGATCATTTGACGGCCGTGGCCAGGGGTGCCTTTTATCAGGTTCGCCTGATCCGCCATTTGCGTCCCTTTCTGGATTGGGACACCTTGCGCACGGTCACTCATGCCCTAGTCACCTCCCGTATGGACTACTGTAATGCTCTCTACATGGGGCTCCCCTTGAAAAGCACCCGGAGGCTCCAACTGGTCCAGAATGTAGCCGCGCAGGTGATTATGGGTGCAGCTCGTTGCGCCCATGTAATACATCTTCTACGCGAGCTGCACTGGCTCCCGGTGATCTTCCAGGTGCGATTCAAGGTGTTAGTTATCACCTTTAAAGTGCTCCATGGCTTAGGACCTGGGTACCTACGAGACCGTCTTTTGCCACCAATAGCCTCCCACCGACCAGTTTGTTCTCACAGGGAGGGACTACTCAGGGTACCGTCAGTCAAATTATGCCGACTGGTGACTCCCAGGGGGAGGGCCTTCTCTGTGAGGGCTCCAACCCTTTGGAATGAACTGCCCTCTGAGATACGAAATATCCCTGATCTCCGTGCTTTCTGCCGTGCCCTCAAAACTCTGATGTTCCAACAAGCGGGGCTAAACATATGAACATGTGAATGTTTTTAAAATGTTATCTAATTTTAGGTTCTATTTAATTGGGCCAAACTATGTTATAATAATAATTTTAATTAGCAATTTTATGATGTTTGTGTATCTATATTTTTCTTGACTGTACACTGCCTTGAGTCCTACGGGAGAAAGGTGGTATAGAAATATAATTAATTAATTAATTAATTAATTAATTAATAAATAAATAAATAAATAAATAAATAAATAAGGAATTATATTTTCCTTCAATACAGCTATTGGAAACACACCAAATGCTAATTGATTAATTGAATTTTAGCTCTTTAAGCGTTAGCATTCTAAGTTGATTTCACTGATTTGTTAGCTTGATATTGTAAACCTGTTTTCTAAAATACTGTATGTCTCTTGGTAGGTAAGGTCCTGCCACATTCCTATACTGCTGTTTTAAGAGCAGTTCAGTCAATGTGGGTTTGGGGGATAACCCACTAGGGGGAGAGTCGGGCTTGGCCAGGACGTTCGGCGGGGGTGGTGGGGGATCCGGAGGGGGTCGAGCTGGTCCAGACTATGCTTTTACCATCGGTACTGTGTGTGGGAGGGGTAGATATGGCGGGAGCAGGGGGGCCATATCATGTTAAGGGAGCACGCACCCGCTGTCTTCAAGCGGTAGAGTGCTCCGGCCCCCAAGGCTCCACCCGTTCTCCAGGTAGTACAGACCTTCAGGGCCCGGGCCTTCGTCTGATGTTGTGCAACGCCAGGTCTGTAGTAAATAAAGCCCCCCTCATCTGTGATCTTGTTTACGAGGGGGGAGCGGACCTGGCGGGTATTACGGAGACCTGGTTGGGCCCAGAGGGAGGGGTCCCTCTGGTAGAAATGTGCTCACCAGGTTTCCATGCATTCCATCAGCCAAGGTCACAGGGGAGGGGCGGGGGAGTAGCGGTTATTATTAGAGAAGGCCTTAAGCCGAGGGAGACCACTGTACCTCAGACAGCTGGTTGTGAGTCCCTCCTTGTGAAGTGGGGCCACGGGGTTCAGATGGGTTTGCTGATCACGTACCTGGCTCCCTGCCACGTGGCGGCAGCCCTGCCCGAGCTACTCAACGTTATTGCCGCGGTGGCGGTTGATACCCCCAGACTTATGGTCATGGGGGATTTCAACCTGCCATCCGTGGGTGAGGCATCTGAGGTGGCTCGGGAGTTCATGGCTTCCATGACGGCCATGGACCTGACCCAACTAATTCGTGGCCCTACGCACACTGGGGGAAACACACTGGACTTGGTTTTTGTCTCTGGACAGTGGTTGAGTGATCTCGAGATAGGGGATATAGTCATCGAGCCCTTGTCATGGTTAGACCACTCGCTCCTTCGCCTTGACCTTCGAACCGCAGCACCCCGCCGCAGGGAGGCGGAACCGGTAAGATGGTACCGCCCCAGGCACCTGATGGAACCTGATAGGTTCCAGATGGAGCTTGGGCCAATCCCGGAGGTTCTGGCTCATGCTTCATCTGGGGAACTAGTGGCCGCCTGGGATAGGGCGGCTGCTGGAGCCCTGGATCGAGTCGTGCCTTTGCGGCCTCTGACCCGGCGCCGATCTCGCCTGGCTCCTTGGTTCACCGAGGAGCTGAGGGAGATGAAGCGCCGGAAAAGACGCCTAGAGAGCTGTTGGAGGGCTAGTCTTTCTGAATCTGACCGAACACTGGTAAGATCTCATATTAGGAGTTACCTAGTGGCGATAAAAGCAGCAAAATGTACTCATTTTACTGCTCTTATTGCGTCATCAGATAATCGCCCGGCCACCCTGTTTAGGGTGACCCACTCCCTGCTCCACCAGGAAGCGCGGGGGGACCCCTTGGAGGGAAGCGCCGAGGATTTTGTTCAGTATCTGTATGACAAAATCACTCAGATTCGGGCAGGTCTGGACTCTGACGGGATAGATCCAGCGAGGGTGACGGAGACAGGTCTTGAGACTGTTATCTGGGATGAGTTTGATCCTGTGACCCCAGATGACGTGGACAGGATTCTGGGTAGATTGAACGCGACCACATGTTTGTTGGACCCGTGTCCCTCCTGGTTAGTGCTGGCTTCCTGGGAGGTGACGCGAGGCTGGCTCCAGGGGATTATAAATGCTTCGTTGGGTGAGGGTGTCTTTCCCGCCACCTTGAAAGAGGCGGTGGTAAGGCCTCTCCTCAAGAAGCCTTCCCTGGACCCGGCAGTATTGGCTAATTATCATCCAGTCTCCAACCTTTGCTTTGTTGCGAAGGTTGTTGAGAGTGTGGTCGCGCGACAGCTACCCCAGTACCTGGAGGAAGCGTCGTATCTAGATCCGTTCCAGTCGGGCTTCAGGCCTGGGTACAGCACGGAAACGGCATTGGTCGCGTTGGTTGATGATCTCTGGAGGGCTCGGGACAGGGGTTGTTCCTCTGTCCTGGTCCTGTTAGACCTCTCAGCGGCTTTTGATAACATCGACCATGGTATCATGCTGCACCGGCTGGAAGGGTTGGGGGTGGGAGGCACCGTTTTACGGTGGTTCTCCTCCTTTCTCTCTGACTGGTCGCAGTCTGTGTTGACAGGGGGGCAGAGATCGACCCCGAGGCCCCTTATATGTGGGGTGCCGCAGGGATCGGTTCTCTCACCCCTTCTGTTCAACATTTATGTAAAGCCGCTGGGCGAGATCATCCGTGGTTTCGGGGTGAAGTACCATCTGTACGCTGATGACACCCAGCTGTACATCTCCACCCCGGACCACCTCAACGATGCCCTTGAAGTGATGTCCCAGTGCCTGGAGGCCGTACGGATCTGGATGGGGAGAAACGGGCTCAGGCTCAACCCATCCAAGACCGAGTGGCTGTGGTTTCCGACGTCCCGATATAGTCAGCTGGCGCCATCGCTGGCTATTGGGGGCGAATCATTGGCCCCCACGGAAAGGGCTCGTAACTTGGGCGTCCTCCTGGACTCACAGCTGTCTTTAGAAGAGCACTTGACGGCCGTGACCGGGAGGATTTTTCATCAGGTTCGCCTGATTCGCCAGTTGCGTCCCTTTCTAGATCGGGACTCGTTATGCACAGTCACTCATGCCCTTGTCACCTCTCGTCTGGACTATTGTAATGCTCTCTACATGGGGCTCCCCTTGAGGTGCACCCGGAGGCTCCAGCTGGCGCAGAGTGCGGCCGCGCGGGTGGTTATGGGAGCAACATGGAGCTCCCATGTAATGCCTCTCCTGCGCGAGCTGCACTGGCTCCCGGTGGTCTTCCGAGTGCGCTTCAAGGTTCTGGTTACCACCTTTAAAGCGTTCCATGGCTTGGGACCTGGTTACTTAGGGGACCGCCTACTACCATCAACAGCCTCCCACCGACCAGTACGCTCCCACAGAGATGGGCTCCTCCAGGTGCCGTCGGCCAAACAATGTCGGCTGTCGGCCCCTAGGGGGAGAGCCTTCTCTGTGGGGGCACCGACGATCTGGAATGAGCTCCCCCCAGAGATACGGAGAATTCCGGATCTGCGCACCTTCCGCCGCGAGTTGAAGACGCTTTTATTTCATCAAGCTGGCCTCGCCTAAATCTTCTCCCTTTTGAGTGTAAATTCTAAATTTTTAATGTATTTTAAAATATGGGTATCTTAAATTTGGGTATTAATTCAGCCAAATTCATTTAATTCATTTTATTCGATTTTAAATTTTGTATATCTATGTGTTTTATCTCATGGCTGTGCACCGCCCTGAGTCCTTCGGGAGTAGGGCGGTATAGAAATTCAATAAATTCAATAAATAAAATAAAAATGTAAAGCCCAAAGCTAATAGAGATTTTTGCAAGAAATTGTCATAAAGGAGGTCATGTTGGAATGGTTTTATGACATCTTATAACAAAATAGTCAGCTATATCAATATATATATTATTTTAAAAGTAATATATATTATTAACCATAAAACAAAAATTCTTAATAATATTCCAGCCTCTATTGTAGCAATATTAGATTCTCAGATTGTTCATATATTACTATATTGTCAATAATTTTCTCCTTCCATCATACAGGAAAAGTTGGTAGGATTTAAAGAAAGATTCTTGGATTTTGTAAATTTTGTTCCTATAACTGATCCTATATTTGATCATGCTATTAATTAAGACACCTATTTGTTTGTTTGTATGTATGTATGTATGTATGTATGTATGTATGTATGTATGTATGTATGTATTATAAGCATTAACCACCAAAATTGCTGATAAAAAATAGCCAGTGGTTCCTATATCCTCTTTGTGTTCTCTTATTTTGAAAGAACAAAAACAATATTTTAATGTATTTAATTGCAATACATATCATTTTTAATATTTCAAGTAGTCTAAATTCTGGTATTTTGAACTAACCCAAATTATAATACCAATACAATATCAACTCAATCTGAATAAAAATATGAATTGTAGGAAAGAGTGGTGATTATACAGTTATCTATAAGCACATTTAATTTGAAAATGCTGTTTTGCAATAAAGATCCATCATTTGGTTTCATTACACTTTTCCCATTTAACATTTATTGTTCTACTTATGTTTACAGTATGTTTCATCTCAGAGAAAATTAAGCTACAGAATAATGGCTGCTTTTGTAAAGAAAACAGCATAAGTGAAAAAGTTTAATTCCTTCCACCATGCTGTGATTTTGAATTAACAAATTAAATATTAATATATTTAATATATGACACTAGGTTCTTTAAAATAATGAGATATTTTTCTCCTTGCTCTATTTTTTTAACTCGTAAGACAATGGAAACAATTGTTTTAAACTAACATGTCCAAAAATATAAATAAAAACAATACCTCTACATCCCTACTTCGAGCAACTTCAGCAAAGTTTTCTTGTTGTTCTAGTGTTTTATCCACTTTATCATCGGTCATGCAGAAACATCTTAGTCGGGCTTCTATGGGATCATGAGATTTGGCAAACACCACAAATTTGGCCATGTAAGGTACACATATAATTTCTCTATAGACTTGGGAAGCAAATGCTACAGATTCTTGTATCTGTCGACAATCTATCAACCAAAATCTGAAAGTAAACAAATATATTAAATTATTACCAAAAAAATCTAACAGGCGGGGAGGAAAGACAATAATAAATGTGATGAAACTTCTAAAACACTAGGAACTAGCACTGATTTCAAATACCTGATGTGAAAGACAAATTCAAATATTTACTATATTATATATTATAATATATTATATTAAATATTATATATTTCAAATATGATTCAGATTTGACAGTAATTGAACTGCCCCCTGGACTTTGATGTGAGGGTTGGATCAGGACTGAAATGTATCTGAATGTATTGCTAGTTTAGTCAGGATTATAGAATGTCTTCATTGACACTTGAACCTTAATTTAAACCAAAGTCTGAAAAGCTTTTGCCCCCAATACCTTTGTTTTTTCCAATGCTATCTTTTGCAATTGTTTATTTATTATTATTTATTAAATTGATATGCAATCCATCTTGCTACCCAAAGCACTCTATTGTTCTCCTCTTCCTGAATTTTTCATTACTATTCTAATCAACAGACTTTAAAAGAAAGACAAGAAAATCCTTATCAGAATGCTCAATTTTTGAAATCAGGGCCACATTCTAATGCCTTAGAACAGGGGTGTCAAACTCAATTTCATTGAGGGCCGCATTAGGGTTCTGTTTGACCTCGGGGGGAGGAGTGGGTGTGTCCAGGGTGGACATTGCCAGCTCGATGTCACCTGTGGCGGCCCGAGCACTCTGCCAGAGCAAACGGGCTCCCGAGCACCATTTTCAGCTACGGGCCATGTGCAGCCCTCCTGAGCTCTGTTTTTGCTGGCAGAGGGACTGTGAGCCAGTCCTTCACTGTTTCCAGGGCGGCCCCACGAGCCAAATCTAAGCATCCTGTGGGCCAGTTCTGCCCCCCGGGCCTTGAGTTTGACACCCCTGCCTTAGAACAACATTTCTAACACCTTCAGTCTATGGAATCCTAAGGGAACAGTTGTTTAGAATTCTGTCATAGGAGCAACTATCAGAGAACAGTAAGTTTATTTGCACTGTTGGCATTAGATTTTTTTATTTAGTATAGCATTCAAAGTTAATTATAATTTGATTTATTTCAAAATTAAGGATTCTATTATAAATAGCAGCAGGTGATTTATGGACAAGATGTTTATGCATAATACACTGCCAGACTAAGGTTATGGTTCTGAAATGCTCTTTACAGTTTTATTATTGGGTACTGTACCTGGCAGATACGTTTGTGGTGAAGGAAACACATTCATTTACGTATGTTAATGGCGTTGTTCCTGTTATGTCTTCCCACTGAGCAGGTGTTGTTCCACCTGAAACAAATAGGGATAAACAGTTAAGCATGCCTGCAAAATTGTAAAATTGAATGTATAAAATTACTTTTAGTTAAATTCCCAATCATGCAAAGTCTGACCTAAGAGTATTCCTAAGATTTTCTGTCATTAAAATTAATTCTGAGATTTGCCAGTATGACAGTTAAATATATATATATATTATATTGGGAGACTAATTAGTCTCCCAATGGGCAGCAGGGAGCTTGCTGGCTGCTGGAAAAAAAAGCCTAGAAACTAGTGGATTGGGATTTCACTGAACTAGGGCTGCAGAAAAAAATTATTCAAGTCATAGGAGCAATTTGTATCTCCATTCACATACAATTATAAAGTCTGTGATCTTCGGAATCCAGTTTTAGGGTACAAAATGAAAAAAATAGTAAATTCTTTACATGAGGAGCCCACGGGATGGATGTATCACGTGCTAGCTCCGCTCCCACCATGTTTAGCGAAGGGGAAAAAATGTCCAGATATGTCACGTGACACCGCCGTGACAATGCGAGTTTGACACACCAGCTTTACATTAATACTGTGCTAAAATCTGCACTGCACTCAATTTCTCTTGCTTGGAAAAACAGCTTCGGTTTTGTTTAGGATGCTGTAGAGTTTGTTTTGCTTTATTTTGGTGATAGTTTTGAGGTTATTTTTGAATTATGGATTGGATTGGAATTATGGATAGAGACTGCGACTGTTGTTTTCTGTTACTTATTATTTGTATTGTTTCAAAGCTACCTTTCTCACCCACACTACCTAATTGGAACACCCCTGATGAGAGAATTTCTTCATTATTATTTCTCTGAGATTTAATTCAGGCATGAGAAGTTAAGGAGACTGTACCATAACTTGCTGGCCAGATGATTGTAGAACAAACAGAAAATATTTATCTCCTCTTTGTTACTAAACAAAAACCAACAGCAACTTTATTTTCCCAATATTCTCTTCTCCTTTGAAAGACAAAAACTTTCTTTTTTGTTTAAGTGAATTAGAATTGATAAAAAAAACAGTTTGTTGTATATTTCAAACCTCTATATTCAAAGACTTTGACGGACAAGAAGAAAGGTAATGATTATATTTTAGAATAATTTTCACAATGAGGTGATGCAGATATAACACTGATTTTTTAAAATTGTCATTGAGAAATCTCAGAACAACAGAAATTTCCACATAATAACTACCACTGCCAAAAACTTGTTGAGGGGAATTACAGTAAGAGAATATACAGTGTGTCACCATCTTTGCTCCTTGTCAACTCTTCAAAAAAAACCTGTGGGGTTGAAAACAATGCTGGACAAAGATGCCTCTTGACCTGATCCAACAGGGACATTCTTCTAACAGAACAGAATAACAGAGTTGGAAGGGACCTGGGAGGTCTTCTAGACCAACCCCTGCTCAAGCAGGAGACCCTATACCTTTTCAGAAAAATGAATGCCCAATCTCTTCTTAAATCTTATAATTCATCAATATACTTATATTCTGACAATTTAAAACTCTGGAGAAATAGGTCTGTCCTTTGTTTTACAAGGCAAATAAATTATTCGGCTAATAAAACAAAACCAATTAAACATATTCATGTATTCATGTTATAACTAAATATTGGCTAGTATCCGTAATGCTTAAAAGCTATTTTTTCCCCACAACTCTATTTCACAATAACATTATCAACGACTCTTTCCATTGGACATCTCCCATTCTTAAACTACCTATTCTAGTCACCGAGCATATTTTTAGAATAAAGTATAGTTAAAATGGCAATTAGTTGATTATTTTAATGACAGTATTCATTGTTTGGTTAGACTGTGTATTTTCACTGTGTAAACCAATGCTCTTAAATTATGATCTATGGAGGTTAATTTACATAATTTTGTAACAGGGCTTTAGTGAAAATTTTAATGACTTAAACCACCAATATTTTATTTCAGTATCATGTATGAAATTGCAGAGAGATATGAGAGCTTACCTGTTATACTGCATAGTAGTCTTAGAGTAGGAGTCTCACCTCCATAACCATTTATCATCATATCACTGGAAGCTTTGGGAACAGGAATGGTCATAGTTATTGGCTTATGGAATTTTCTTCGCCTAGGTTCCAGTGTGACAATAGGACTGAATGTGGCTTTGTTGCCTAAAATTTTCTTTATAAGTTCACTGTGCATAGGTTGGGCCTATTGAAACATATGGAGAAAACAAAATGTATCTTAATTAAAATTACTTGAATAATGCTTAACTACAATAATATACTTTGTCCTATGTGGGGACAATTTCCCCTGATTTGCTGCTAACTGATGTCTTCTGTTGATACCCTCTCCCTTACTTGTTGGTCATGAGGTCACTGCTAGGAATTACCATTTACCAAAACTCTGAGGTATTATGATTTCACAGAATTATCAAGAAAAGAGAACTATGACAATTCTCTGACAAAGCTTTCAATCCATTTGAATTATGATGGGATAAATTTACTTATCTCTAGCCATTAGATAAGTACAAACTGAATATCTTAATGTTCTTATATTAATAACTGAAAATTATAAAATTATAACGAAGTCCTTTTATATTTTGTATATAGAATTTTTCCAGTGAAAAGTTTAATGCTTTTGGATTATTTGTGAATTAAATTAGACTTATGGCAAGTTGATCATAAGTTTGATAAAAGACAAAACTGGGAGAAATGAACCTAAGTTATTGCTCATAATTCAATCCTACAGTCAGGAATCTTAGTAAGTTTAATGAGACTCAACCCATGAAAAGTGGGCCAGTAAGTAGCCTAAATGTTTTAAAAAGGAGACACATAGCTTTTATACATTACTCATGCACATACATTATATATATGGCCATTAGTTTTAAACATCTGTTGTAAACTCAAAATAACATTTTTTTCCCTTATACAACAAGGGAATATAACAAGATATATTGTACATCTTGGCTATAAAATCTAGATGATTGTTTAATGTTTGTGTGCTATGGGGGGAAAGGAAGTGTCAAACATAACACTTTTTCGCAAGGTCCTGAAGACTTGATTTTGCCAACAGACCTTGGGAACCCAGAGTGGGATGGAGCCCAAGAAGTAACTTATTTGATTCCTTGTTGTTGCTGTGAGGTGGGCAGTTATTGCTTTAACTCTTTTTATATTGATTTTTTTATTTTATTTCTTGTAAACTGCCTAGAGTCACTGAAACTTGAGTGGGTGGCCATATAAATTCGATCAATCAATCAACAAACAAACAAACAACAAATCTGATAAGAACCATTTTAATGTGCCTCTTAAAGAGGACTCTTTATTTAAATAAATATTTTGAATCCATATCAGTTTTAGATACAATTATGGAGAAATTTTATTCAAACATTTGCTACAAATTTTGAATATATAACTTAGTTAATACTTTACAAATTATAACAGTGCCAGTTTCCCCCAGTGGAACTGGAATTCAGGAGACATAAAACACTGGGCAAAAAGAAAAAAAATACCATAGAGGAATGATAATGAAATAGAATTACAGGAAACTCCTCTTATCCACAACAGAAATGTTGGCTTCAAGGATTATAATATTTTGATTTGTTTTCTCATACCTGAAGGCCAACACGAATTCTCTTAGTTAATGCTCCCTCTGGAAAGACTGCTTGCACTTGTGGTACTACAGTACTGCTTAGTACACCACCCTCAGGTCCAATGAGATTACTGTCTTGTTTAATCCGAGATACCACTGCAAAGTACTGTGGGAAGTCTCGGGTGATAATACGGCAAATACGCTTCTTCTCTAGCTCTTCTGGGGTGTCAAGCACTGGGTGAAAAGAGCAAACATTACTTGAAATAGTAAACACTGGAATTGTTAAAAGAAAGACTTTACATTCATACTCTTAATACAGGGGTGGGGAACAATGGTCCTTTTATGACTTTTAGACTTCAACTCCCAGAATTCCTGAGCCAGCTAAGCTCAAGAATTCTGGGAGTTGAAGTACACAAATCATAAAGGGGTCATCATTTCCCACCCCTGTCTTAATATATGGCTCTCTTAATACTTCAAAAATTATTTTAAAATGAATGAGACCTCCTTCAGGTAACTTAATTTCTGTTCAAGCTTCTATGATACCCTAAAAAAGTTATAGCTGTTTGAAAGCACCTCATTAAAAGTAACACCATCTTATAACGGCCATTTTTTTTTCTTTTCAGGATCACACAGAAGTTAGACAAATATGTTCATTATAATAAACATCAGAAAAATGCTGTATTCTTCTGAGGTCACACTGCCCTTTCAACATAATTTTCAAAGCTTGCATAGTCCTAATATACATTTACATGCCTTTTTGCTAATTGTGCTTCTAATCCTAAAAGGTGAAGCCAGAATAACTTTCTTAAAATTTGCTCTGGGTAGATTCAGCTTCTGAATTTCTCATCAACAGAACAATTCATTAATTGCTGCTTACACACAGTTGCATCAGTTCCATTTAAAAGCTGATTATGGATTATCTCATTCATATATTCAAGATCATATTGGGTCTATTACTGGGTCTGTACTGATGCATACCAACCACCACATAATGAGAGCAAAATTTCTCTAACTAAGAACAAAAATTAGACAAGTTGCAATGACACAACCATCAAACAACTCTATCAGAATTACTAAGAATATTCATCGACATATTGCAATGCCCTTTGGGAAGGAAACCCCTGAGGCAGGAGTTGGTACATTCCAACGACTCTCTGCCTAACTGACTTGCTGACTGATGAAGCTGCTTGGATGAGCAACAAAACCTCTCAAACTAACAACAAGAATTAGTCCAGATACAATGACCCAACCTTCAAACAATTCTACCTGGATTACTGAGAATTTTCATTGATACTATGTAATATGTTTAGAGGAGCTTGGTATGGTATACAATATGAATTTCATCACAGATTTCATGTTTGCTTTTACATTGTGCAAATTTTATCAAAATAGTTTTATATAAAATACTAGTTTAAATATGTTAACAAAATTATCCATAGTACACACAATCCATGTCACTCCTAAATTCCAATTTATAATGGATAAACGCTCCAAGTTCCATGCTCCATTTACAGGCAATTAGACTTCAGCACTCTGCACCTAGCTGATTTCATAAAGCAAACAGGAACAGATCTTATGAATACTAAAATTGGAAACTACTAGGATATCTCTGGACTGGGAAATCAAGATCATCCCCAAGAAGTAAGATTATATAGAGTAGAAAGCTACATTTATATGCATTTATAGGTCACTAGACAACCTGTGCCCCATTGGGTCATCGTTTCAGAGACATTTCCTCTTCAGATTCTTAATGTAGTCAACAATGGCAGAGCTCCTAATATATTTGAAAAATACTTAAAAATTTAGTAAAATAGTCAGAGGTGTATCTTCCCATGTTGAACATAAATGCTTTATATGATTTTTAAATATAAAATTTGCCAAATTTCAATTTCACAGGAGTCCGGAGTCCCAGAATTTGGATGTAAGTTAGCTCATTAGAGATAATTTGTTTGAAAAAGTTTTGTTCCATGATGCACCGTTTCATCCAATTAAAGGTAACAGACATGAGAGTTTTACTAGATAAGGAACTTCATTATTGGAATTTGTTTTATATTGCATTTTGCTCTCTTTCTGAAAATCTATTAACTTTCTACTATATAACTATTCTCATTATTTTGAGTGTATAAGTAATTGACAGTAACTATATGGCAAATTAGAATTGTTATTCCTTCCAGCTAGGATTGCTACTTTGATTTCTTTTTATTGTAGCTTTAAGATCTTGTTTATAAAAACATGTACCTTCATCCATTCCATTTAGTATTTCATTCAACTCATCTTCCGTAAATTCACAGAAATGTTCTTTCCAGTTGTCCCCATTCTCACTGCGCAAAATCACCAGCTCTCTTTCTTTACCACGTAATGCCGCAAAGTGAGGGATTTCAACAATCACAGGCCTATTACAGCAACACATCGCGTTAAAAGATTGTGACAATAGAGAAACAGACAGATAGTTTTGTTTAAAGCCTGTAACAAAAAGACCTGGAACTCTGCCAGCTTCTTTGTTATTCCTTGCTATGATTGTGAAGAAAAAACTAATAGGATCTTCATACTGTAGCTAAGGATTATGATCAGTGAGTGTCTAGTTTTATTCTATATAAATAGAACCTTGCCAAAGACACAGATATGAATATTTATTTTGTTTTTAAACACTGATAAAATCCATAAAATTGAAAGTTATTTTGAAGTAGGGAATTGTATGCAGGAATCCTTATAACGTACGTACTGTGTGTGTAAATGTTAAAGAAAAAATATGTTTTATAATACAGGTAGTCCTCAACTTATGACCAAAATTGAGCCCAAAATTTCTGTTGCTAAAGCGAGACAATTGTTAAGTGAATTTTGTTCCATTTTACAACCTTTCTTGTCACAGTGGTTAAATTAGTAACATGGTTGTTAAAAGAATCTGGCTTCCCCATTGACTTTGCTTGTCAGAAGGTCGCAAAGGGTGATCACATGACCCCAGGACACTGCAACCATCATAAATATGAACCAGTTGCCAAGCATCTGAATTTTGATCACGTGACCTTGGGGATGCTGCAACTGTCATAAGTGTGACAAACTTTTTTCAGTGCTGTTGTAACTTCAAACGGTCACTATACAAATGGTTGTAAGACGAGAACTACCTGTAGAGGATAAAAGAAACCACTTTAAGTAACAGGATAACTTTGTGCTTCATTTGCATTGATTTTAATTGGCTCTTTATTTTAACTGACATTTTCGAAACTTTTTTTTAATATGGTGAATATATTGAAATAATTCATTTCAGATTATTTTATAAATGCAACATTTAAAAAATGTTTATTATGCATATTTCTAATTCACTGTCTTAAAATATGCTTTCTACTTTTTGTAAACTCTGTAAATACATTGTTATATTAATAATTTCACCAGAAGATTTGCATTATGTACAGCCATATTTATTGATCATGCTAAATGTTATGTTATATCCAGTATATAAGATATGTATCATACTGGGGACTATAGTAGCAAAATAATGATAGTAATAATCCAACAGATTCCTTTGCTTTCAGTCCAGGTTGCTTTGCTACAGACATCAAGCACATAACAGCAGAAGTGACTGGTACATTCTATAACTAATATTTTCTCATGCTAAATCAAAGGTGAGGTCAAGGAACTTTAAGAAAAAGTAGAAACATATCACCAAAACAACAATCACATATCACAAGGGCTAGAAATGGTCCACTAAAGGTTAGGAATACATACTATAAAATCATAGAAAGGACAATGTCATGGGCACAATGACATAAAAAATAATATTGCAGAAGGAGAAGAATGGGAAGGCCGGCATCCATCAATTTGTTTTAAGTCTCTCCTACCCAAGAAATTTGGTCCCTGGAGGCCCCAGCTGTAGGATTCGGCTGACCAAACTTTCTCCCTCATTAAGTGGGGGAGGAGCCGTAGGCAGGTGAAGTTTACTGAGTACATCCAAAGCAGCAGTGAAAGAAAGAAATAAAAAAAAATACCTTTATGTACTATTTTTTTTTAACCGAACCCCAGTGCCACTGTCTGCTCAGAGTGGAATTAGGCTTACACTGAACAGGTTTCTGCCGTTTGTTTGAAAATGACCCTCTTATCACAGCAATTTACGAAATAAGTCTCCCATAATAGAGAATCTTATAGTTTATTAGTAGGTCCAATGATACATTAGCATCACTTCTTGAAATTAATGGGAGCCACTCAGAACTGATGAAAAAATGCATGACAATATGGCAACAAGATTTGGTTTGGCTAGAAGTGTTCAGTGTCTCTGATTTCACTGCCAGGACACCACCCAGGAAAATGCCATGGTAGAAGATGTGGCCTTTAGGAAATTATATGAAAACTTTTCAACGTGTGCCAGTTTTCATAGGCAATCCTCACAAGGCCGAGAAAATAAAATAATCTTGGTCATTTTTATACTGGAATTAACATAAGAACCTAAAATATGATGTGTATAGGCACTTGATTTGTATCTGGTGCATTTTTTATTTAAACCTGTATGTAGTTTTGAATGGAGCTTCATTGAAATTCTAGCAGCAATCCTTCACTACAAATTTGCCCTTACTTATTTATTAAATTTAGGGATATTCTCGTTTCCTTGGTAAAATACAGCTATAACAAAATAATAAGATGGTAGGAGATTGATGCTTTGCCTAGCTATAATGCATACCAGATTCCCTTTAAAAACCCCAACTTCTATTATTAGAAAACAACTCAGACTTAAAACTTGGTTAATGGCCTTAGGTATGTCTAATTTGCTTCATAACAGATTTAAGCTGTTCCTTTTATGCCTTCATCCTTTGGTTTCCAGCATAAGCCATTCCTTCATTCTAAGCAGAGGGGAATTTCCTTTGATCATCCACTTTTGGATGCCACCACTGATAAGGGAAAATGTCGGTAAAATAAAAGTATTGAAAATGATAGTTTCAGCAAAAACAAAAAAACAGAAGGAAAACAAAAACAAAAATTGCTGAAACATTTGCAGCAAGTTTGATCTTTCTGTGAGGCCTTGCAATATAAGGATAAATTGCAGTCAGAGAAGTGGTTCTATTGCTTGGCCCCAGAAAAATCACCGGTTTCTGCTTCCCGGGAGGTCTCAATTACTGACAAAATACCTACTGAGAGAACACAAGTTCCTTGTACAGGGAGCGTTAGCTTGTGTTGCATTTTTCAACAGGTATTACATCTGTATGGACAACATTTCTGCTGCTATTTTTATTTAACCTTAAAAGAGAATAGGTAATTAATTGATGGTATATTATAACAAAATGGGTTATCTTTTACAGCTCAGCATGGCTTACACCAGTTGACTTCAGGAAGCGCAGTAAACCTGACTTGTTGCCTTAAATTAAAAGGTACACAAGCTGATTGAATTATCAGATCCTTTCTTTGCACTGCAAATCTTTTCACTTCTACTGTTAAAACGCCAAGCCACCCCACACTGGCTCAAGTGAAATTATTATTTTCTTGTTAATTAGTATTTGAGATTATTAAAAGAAAATCCTTACCCAAGAAACTGAGCACCAGAAGGCCCAACCTCGATAAGGCGACTGGCAAGACCATCTCCTTCCACCATGGGAGGCATTGTGGCGAGTCTATGGCGTTTGACCAACCGGCAAGTAACTCGAGTTGGAGCAGTGCATTTCCGAGGTGGAATAATGATTCGAAGCCCATTGTGTCTGCAACCCCGCATAGCACCACCTCGAGCATCAACCATAAAACTGACCAGAAAACTGAAAATTGGGAAGAAAAATTAGGCATGAAAATGAGTTATAATGCATGTTACAGAACATAAATATTTCAGAAGCAACAAATTTTAAATATGTGTACTAACCATTCTCAATGATCAAAATTAATATGTATATTATATACTTATGGTTAAACTGTAGTTAGAGCTTTTAATTAACTGCACAGACAAAAAGATCAGTAATATTTTTATTATTTTTAGGGAGTCAAACCAATTAGCATAATACTAACAAAAACTCAGTTGATTAATTTGTACAAGTTGTCCTGGATACTACAACAGAGTAACATCCAGCTCTATAACCTGTCCTATGCTAATAATGTTGATTAGAAAATTGAGGCTAATATCAGAATACAATTATTAACAAAAAAGAAAATATGGAAAATGGGAAGAAGTTTTCTCAGTGTCAATTTTTGTAAAAGTTGTATCCTTGCAAGGACTAAAATTTCTAGGATGTTATAAAGATGTTGGAATTCATGCTCATATAAGGAATCTGATGCACACCTATTATTTGTCATCTGATGTTTAAATGTAATAAGAATAACACCTGAATTTGACAACTAGCAAAATATACTGTAAAATGTATGGAAATGTAGCCATGTGTGGTTTACACATTTTTCATTGGGATCTTCTTGAAATTCTGTCCCTTAAGATAAAACTAATAGGTAATATAAATATTTTGTATGAAAAACAAATACTGAATTTATTTCTTTTAAAGCATCTACTAAGTTTTGAATTTTTCCCAAGTCAATATTACATGCAAAATATAAATAAGCAAATCAATGTGGATGAAGATGAAGAACCATGATCTGCCATCTTGAAACATGCCATGCATCCTAAAGACTTTCCTATATCTCCTCTGTGTCTTTACCCCAATGCATTGATGTTCCTCAATAACAGTAAAAAAAAACATTAGCAGTTACAATGCTCCATGTTTACAGCTACAATGTCAATCACACTTTCTAATTTATGGTTATCAAATATACAAGAATTAGCCTGCCCAAAGAAAAGTGGGGAGTTGCCAATTCTAGATCTTACCAAATGCAGTCGGGGGATTCAGGAAGGACATTTTATTTCTAGGTTTAAAGAGCAATGGACTGTAGACAAACAGTTGGTAGTAGAAAATTGCACAGAGAACAAGCAACACAAAGTTATGGAAGAGTGCATGCACTGGTGGTTTCAACAAGGAAATAATATGTTAGCTAAAGTTTATTTATTTATTTTTTATTAAGGGTTTTGAATTGTGTTTTGGACTTGGAAGTAAGTCCCATTTTGATTAATGAAACTTAATTCCTAATAAATTTGCCTGGGATTTTCATGTTTATTTTTAAATGTATAACTCTTATCTTTTCTTAACAGTCAAAGTTATATAACTGTATGTGCTAGGCCTATATCAAAATTGCATATAGTCATATAAATCCTTGATTTAGTAATTCTTAAAGCTTTCTGAATAATCCTAACAAATATTATATGACAATAACAGGATGAAAATAAATGACGCACTTGTCCCAAATATTTACCCCTGTCTTTTATACTGCTGATCCCCCAGCAAATAACATAATGTTCATAGATTCCAAAATTTTGTTAAATCTGAAATTTTCCCAAGATTCTGCTTGAAAACACCAAATCTTATACAAATCCACTAAAAAGTGACAGACATTTTGGTGCATTTCCTTTTTCAGATTATTTGTGTCATTGCAGAATATTTTATAAAATCCAAAGTCTGGAAAAGACTAGCCATAAATAGATCAATTCAATAGCTATTGGAAGAAAACACTGTGTCTCTCCTTGTGTTTTGTTTTTTAGAAGAACGTTTTCTTGCCATGAGACAAAAAGGCCTTTTTTATACTATACAAATATATTATTAAAATCCTAAAACAATAAATCAGCAGGACGCTTCAGAATCTAAGGGAAAACATATCCCTCTCCCCACAATTTTGTAGCAAGTATTCAAGCACCCTTAAAAACTATACTCTTAGATCAAGAGAAATGCTTACATTTCACATTTCTGGCTCATAGTCTAGATACAAGAGCCAGCTATGGATGTACATATTTTCATTTGTCAAATGATAAGACTATTCTAGGCAGAATAATTCTGATAAAAACACACACTTTACATAAATGGTATACTTTTGGATAAAGCAGAAAAAATAATATTAAAAAAAAATTCTACCAATGATTTGAGATTGTTCCAGGAAATTTCAATTTTAAACCTACAAAATATGGCTTCACAAAATAACTTTCTGGGAGGACTATCAAAAGAAAGAATAAAACTCTGCACAATTCAGCTTAGAAAAGGTATTTGAGGAGGATGGGACATATGTAAAAATATAAAAAAAGATTTATATTAATAAATATAAACTAGATGCTTTAGATGTCTAAATATGATTTTCATGCAAAGGTAACAATAGCCAATTAACTGTGGACGTGTATTTTTACTGGGGGAGATGGGAATAAAACACTCTATGCATAATAAGCTCACGTACAATAGTTAGTCAGACAAGTAGACATGCTTATCACCATAAAGATGGAAAGGACAATCTTTTTTGGAGTATTTCCACAATAACCCCATTCCAGAATTGTATTGTATTGACCATGTCAGGCAGGAAAAAGGAAGGAGCAGCAACCAGTTAGTCAAGAATGTGGAATAACTAAAGTTTGAATAATGGCCTCAGCATTTATAATCATCATCATCATCATCATCATCTTCAAACAGGGTATTTTGTATTTAAAGAAACATCAAAATGAAAAGACCATTAAAGTGCCCAATTAAAACCTAATGAGAGCAGTTTAAAAAATTGAATATAATTCAAATAGTAAAGCTGGATTTCCAGCTTATAAATATGTATAGTCAAACTTATTTTTACATACATCAGATTTTTAAAGTTTTTACTAAACATATTAGATATGGGCATATGCATGTGAGAGCTTTTGGAAAAGCTAAAGTAGGGCTGATAGTGTGTAATCCACACACTTGAACATCACTTCTTTTTATTGACTGAATATTTAACTGAAGGTCTAATTTTGTTCCTTCAGAAATGTTTCAGAAGAAATATATTTTAAAAACAAAGTCAATTACTTTAAATCGCCAAATTCCAGTAGCCACAATTTATTTATTTATTTATTTATTTATTTATTTATTTATTATATTTCTATACCGCCTTTCTCCCGTAGGACTCAAGGCGGTGTACAGTCAAGAAAAATATAGATACACAAACATCATAAAATTGCTAATTAAAATTATTATTATAACATAGTTTGGCCCAATTAAATAGAACCTAAAATTAAAATTAAAATTCTTGTGCAGTAGAGACATAAAAACTAAAAAGAGTGCATTTTGGTCCTTCCTACATGAATATTAGTCGATAATTGTATTGCAATTCTATGAAACAAAACCTTAGATCAAATGGTAAATATAAGGGGATCAATCTCCTACACTAAATAATGAATGAGATCAAGGAAGTAGAAGCATCTTAAAGTGAGTAAATTAAATGGATGGTAGAAGAAAGAAGGGAAAAGGAAGTTAGCATTAACATGAAATTATATATAAGTTCACCTGCTGTTTTCATGGTCAAAATATGGAGAGGAGTGGCTGCAACAGAAGAGATAATTTAGCAAAACAAAACAAAAAAGAATGAATGAATGAATGAACAAATGAAATAAAATCAGTCAGAAAAGATATTGATCTACAAATGGAGAAGTTGAAAACATTAAGCATACAGTATGAAGAGCATATGCAGTAGCTAAAATGAAAGATACATTCCTTTGTAACCTCTCTTAAATGGTAATCTTGCCCCTAAAATAATCTAAAAGCACTTTCATATGTGGAACATTTCCTATGACTGTTCTAGAATCTAAAAAGTCAACAGATGTCAAGAATCTGCTTCCTAGCCATACAGGTAGTCTTTGACTTACAACAGTTCATTTAGTGACCATTCAAATTGATAATAGCCTTGAAAAAAGTGACTTGTGACCATTTTTCACACTTACAACCATTGCAGCATTTCCATGGTAACATGATCAAAGCTCAGATGCTTGGCAATTGACTCATACTTATGACAGTTGCAATGTCCTGGGGTCATGTAATCCCCCTTTGCAACCTTTTGACGAGCAAAGTCAATGGGGAATCCAGAGTCATTTAACAACTGTGTTACTAAACTTAACATCTGCAGTGATTCACTTAACAACTGTGGCAAGCAAGGTTGTAAAATGGAACAAAACTCACTTAACAAATGCCTCACTTAGCAACAGAAATTTTGGACTCAATTGTGGTCCAAGGACTACCTGTATTTATTGTGGACATGTTTCAGTCCACTTTGCTGGCATGCATGCATGCATGTATTTATGTATGTATGTATATAGTTATAGAGCTTTTATGATATCACCATTATACAGCTGGACAATAATCATTTGCATCCATATGATAAGCCAACAATGTTTTAATTAAGCATGACGTTTCTTACTAAGTTGTTCTGCATTTAAAAAAAAACAAATTATAAAAAAAGAACAAAGGACAACTTTGCAGCAGCAAATTGCAAAGACCTTAACAGTGACTGCACAGATAACTTATAGCACAATTCTATCTGTGTCTGCTAAAAATTCAAAGTTTGAGTAAGTTCAATTAATTAATTAATCAATTAAGTTCAATTAAAGCCACCACAAGATAACTATATATGTTGCAACTTCTCGATTTAGTGGATATTAGTGAAAGTGAATTTAGAAAAATTATCTTCAATCTTACATCCCTTTTTAAATATTAATCCCCCCACCCCCAAATCTTCTCACTGGTATTATTTAATTACACATATCACTTCCTTTTCAGGTTATGATAATCTGAAAATATTTTGCATTTAGTTTTCCAAGTGTTTTTTCTCCAAATTTTTTTAGTTCAAATGCTGTCACTATTTCCCTGATCATTTTCATTCTAGGTTTATTGCAACATATGATTTTCCTGTTCGTAGAAAAGAGGAACAAAATTTTCATTTCTTTTTTCCATGGTGCTGATCTAAAATTAACAAATATGTCATATATACTTTGTTCACTTATCTAACAAGACTAACTTTAAAAAAAGTTTTAGAAACTTTATAAATACTTTACTACTTTATAAACTTTACTTTATAAATACTACTACTTTATAAACTTTATAAATACTTTACTACTTTGTAAATTTATTGGATTTAATATTTTTTATAAAGCTTGACTGCTAGGTCCTGTTTCTTATCAATCTTTGTGAAGATACTATATTAGGTGAAAGCAAGAAATATCATTTACCTTGTTAGCAATGATCCAATATCCTTTTTGGAAGACAGGCAGCTAAGAATAACAACTCTAATTATTTGTCAATTTTAAGTACTGGTCCCTCCATATACCTCCCACCAAAAAAAGAAGAAAAAAGAAAGAAAAAACAACTAATCAAAATTAGAAAATTTTCTAAGAAAGTAATTGGTGGGCTAATTTTTCTACAACTAAATATATTCAAAAAAGTGTACACTATTTGAAATTTACTATTATAATAACTATTATAGATCCATATGTCTATGTTGTATATGTTGTTACAAAACAATGAATTAGAATCTCAGCCCAGAATCCTCTTGCAAGAAAGAACTGACCAGGAATATCTGTATAATAGACTGTGCGTATATTTTCATGTATATGGACAGATTACATGGACAAAGCTGATGCATAAACACCTTGTTATAAACTATAGACTACAATTCAAAAAAGTGAAAGACAATACTGTAGAAGCAATCCCAGTCTAGCTATAATATACTAATTTTATACATTTTAATGATGAATTTTAATATACGTATAAAGTATACTATATGAATTCTGGTTAAATACTTTAAAAAATGTTCTTCTCCCATAGAAGACAGCATTGAATTTTTAATTGAATACATAAATCACTTGAATACATTAAATTTATATTCATGTTTCTTATTCCATATCCTTCAAAATATTTTCTATGTATCTTTTCCAGTATGTTAACACTAAATATGCATAGAAAAGACTTGCTAGTAGAAAGGCTGGCTACTGTCATGCTGTTCTAAGAGAAAACCAAGAAACCGTTCACATTCAGCATATGTCAGTAATGCTTTTGCCCCTAAGCTTTGCTGTCAGTCATTTCAAAGCAGGCATTTGTCTTAAATTGATTATAAGGGCGTAGCTGTTAACAAAATGTGCAAGATATCAACTTGGAATTGGTAATATAAACAATGTAAATGAGTTTTGCCCCACAAATGGTTCCAATATTTAGGTGAATATGAAGATTTCTTACAAGTCTGTTTAAAAGGCCATGAGGATATTTGCTTCTCACAATCCCCCACCTCCAATATTTGGTGAAAACTTACCATTAAATTAAATGCTTTATCACACACTATTCATAAACATGTTTTTTTTATTTTAAAAAACTTTAGCTTAAAATATATCTTTTAACTTTTTTTGTGTTTAAATCTCATTCTAAAAGTTGGCATTATGATACTTATACTAAACCCCAATAAGAACGGGTTTCGTTTTCACTTCATTAGCGAGCAGTTTCACCTCCACACAGATGTGGATTGTAAAGTTACTTTATCAGCTGAAGTGAAAAAAAGTTGGTTTGGTTTCAAGAACTTTTAATAGCTGCTGAATTAGAACCATACATTTTTAACCTTATCCTTTTTGTTCCTATTCACCTTGCTTCACTGACCCTTCACCTTATCATGACACCTGTCCATGTCTACACAATGCTACTAAGCACAATAGGGATCCTATGGATGAAGTTAATTGGTATAACTTTCTTGACAAATAAAAGCTTATATCTGAAACATTTATCACATGTAGGATGCTTCTAGATATTCAGAGGATGGAACCAGAGATGGTATTCAGCCGGTTCGCACGGGTGACGGAAATTTGGCCAAGGGCGCTGAACTGGTCCACACCCCTGAACCAGTCCCCTGGCCACTCGCCCCATCCATGTTCGTTGCTGCCATATTCTTTGTGCACGCGCATCCCATTGCTTTGCAACTCCAATGGGATGCGCATGAGCGAAGATTTTTCCGTGATCTCTGCTACTTTTTGGCGGCCTGCAGAAGGCTTCTTTGCCAGCTGCTTTCCAGCAGCAGCAGCTGGCTGGGGGCCATCGAAAACTCCAGTCAGGTTGCCTTCTGGTCTCTGGACCAGCTGCCACAGAAGGTAAGCAACCTGAACAAAGAGGCGGTGGTAGGGGAGGAAGCAAGGCTAGAGCCGGGGCCACTGAAGGGCTAAACAGGAGCAACTGGCAAAGGGAAAACGGGGGTAAATAGGTGGAAATTCCAAAAATTTTCCTACCTTTTCCTGTGGGCATGGCTAGGTGGGGGAGTTATGTGACTGAGTGGGCATGGGAGTGAGTGACATCAAATTGGTCATGCCCATTCAGTCACATACCCCCCTTAACCACGCTGACCGAACCAGTAGCGAAAATTTTTGAAACCCACCACTGGATAGAACCTATATCGTACAAGTCCACTGAGTTTAGTTCACTGTTATTTTTGAATGAAGATGTTTTAAAACAAGGGTCTCCACCTTTCTGGCTTTGCAGACTGGCAAGTTGCAGAGAAGGAATTGTTCCGCGGAAGCAGTGGGCATGCACGCTCATGTGTGCAGCTCCATTTGAGCAATAGGTGGGTGGGTGCGTCCCCTGCTCAAACAAATGTAGCTTTGTGTGAGGCCGCGAGTGCCTGCTGCTTGCACAAATGGAGTTTTCCATGTGACTGCAATGACCCGCCACTTGCACAAATGGAGCTGCATGGGCTTGCACACTGCTTGCACAGCTCAGTTCCAAACAGGCTGCAGGCCAGTACCAGGCCATAGCCCCGAGGTTGAGAACCCCTGTCTTAAAGAATTGTCTCATGGTACTTTGTGTTGAAATTTAAATTTAAAAATTGATCTGATCAAACCTGGTAGAATAATTAATATCACACCCACAAGTATTACAGCAAAAGAGCAATAAATCTGGATACCATTTATTAGCTAGCATAAAACTGTACCGTTCCTATCGACAATTTAACTCTAAATATTTTCATTATCTAAAATTCTATAAATTGTGAAACATAATCTGACACAATAACAATACCACGTAATTTCAGAAATTAATAAAAATATTTAGAAGTTTGATGTCTGCCTTGTTCAAATTATTGATTTAAATCCATTTCAAACAGGTTTAAATGGGATGATCATAAGAAATAATGTTTTGTAACCATAAAGCCATTATGATAAGAAAGGCTTTTCAACATTTTTAAGGATGACGTCATGACAAATATGATTGAAATTCAAAGTATGGTTGAAGATTTAAGATTATTATTATTTTTCATTAATGAAATAAGTTAATAAAAAAATACATCCAAAGAAAAAATTAGTATAGATTACTTACCCAGAATGAATAGGGCTGGCAGAGAGAGTTATGTTGTCCAGATTATCAGGACTCCAACTTAAACGATATGAATTTCTTTCACCTTCTTTAGTTAATGCAGCTATCTGGAAGAGCAGAGAAATATGTTTTTTCTTTGCAATGTCTCTAATCAACCCATTAAAATGTTTCTACATTTGGATAAAATATAGATTATTTTAAATTATTAAAACTCATGAGATAGAGTACTAGGAAAAAAATTAATTGTATTGAGTGATTACAATAACCTTAGAGTTGCAATACAATACCTTTCATGACTACTTGCAGTTTACTCCTAGGTAAATGTATACAAGACTTCAGAAAAGTCAACATTTTTAGAAGTATCAATTTTAATGTAAATTTGTTTTTTAATATTCTAGTATTCTATTATTTCCTATCTAATATTATTCTAATACTCCTTTTCAAATCCCTTTCTGCACAACAAGGATTATTATAAAGCTATATATTGATTAGAACTGAAAAATAATCTGAGACACCTTACCTGGTGACTTGGAATAATGACAGTGTCATCGATCATAGTGCTGTCCCTCAAGTACGAGGTATGGCTCAGTGTACGGGACCTGTCTGAACTGAAGGATCGCAGGCTGGTAGATTGGTATTTGGGCAACATTTTCAGCAGTTGCGATGGAGTGGTGTAGATAGGATTATGAGCAAAAGCACAGGGGTGAAAAAAGCATGCTATTAGCAAATAGTGTAACTTCCAGGGGAAATTATTTTAATATACCCTCCATTATTCCTTGGAGTTTGTTATGTTTCTGGGTTTTCTGTTCCAATTCAAATGAACAGAACCACAACATGTTCAATGTTCTGTTTACGAATACATCATGCATGCTGTGTGACTAATCAGTCCTACATGTTTTTTTTCCCCCGATAGAAAAATCCATTATTTGTCTTTCAAAATGTGAGGGAATTTTTCTAGAAGAAACGTAGGCAGAATCCCCTGGAAGGTACATAGATAATGGCCAGCCAACTGTTGTTACTACAGCGCAAGATTCTTCTTTTATATGCCAACAGCATTTAAAAGTTTGCAACCACAACCACTACTTATCTCTCTCTCACACAGACAAAACTATAGAAAACCATTTGCTGAAGCAATGAGAGATGCAAAGCAAAAAAAAGTGACTTACACACAACTAAAGTCTGAGCCTTATTGCCCTAGGCTTTGTCAAAACCAAACTACAAATATAATAAGCCCTCTATGATTTTCACATAATTATAGAATATGTATTTCAGATATCAATTTTGACATTTCTGCCATTGGAGTAATGACCAGATGATAATTCTCATTTTTCTAATTTCCTGAAATCATTGCGAACATAAGGTTTCAAATACTGATAAGCATTAAAATATTACCTAAGCAACACAATTTACTACTTCATCATGCTGAACTATACAGATTCTTCAGGGCTACATACAAAGCAAAATATCGCATAAATTGTAGAAAATACGTATAAAGCTTCTATTTTAATATTTCTTATACTGCATCAGTTGGCCAACTCTGCAGCCAGTAATACGTATGATCATCCTTCTAATTTTGATTAAATGAAACTAAACAGAACTATATTTTAATAAGTGGATTCATTTCAGAGACAACAGAACACAATTCATGTTCATGGAACCAAGTTTTCTTTTTTCTTTCCTCATCTCTCACTCCAGCATATTGGACAGCATATGGGAAACTGCTGCTAACATAAATCACATTTTCCCCTTATGTAATAAAGCCAGCTAAATAAGTTAAGAATGGCAAATTTGAAAACAATCTGACTAGAGCCAATGCAAAGTGTAATTATTCTCTTATATTCATCATTTTTTCTCTGAAATATTATTTTGTAACAAAAGAATATTAAACAGGAGTAATAGTGTGGCTTATTACATCACTGTGGCTAATTCCAGTCAGAAATCGTAGGGAGAAAGGATTATTTTTTTCTGTCCCATGCTATGATCCTAATATAGTTAACGAGTCCCCATGACTTTCTGCTCTTCTTTAAAATGAAAGATGTGAACCATATCTGATCATTGTTCCTAAATATATAAAACTTTGATAGGCAGTTAAATTGCCTGTGATAACATTTACCCTTTAAATAAGCAAATTCGAACCCATTTTTTATATTTCTCTAAATTCTAGAAGCAGTAACATAAATGGTTTGGAAAAGATTTTATAGCCCAAATCCATTACTTCTCTGTTAATGATGTGTTCCAATAAGTTACAAGCATTTACACATAAGGACTTTATAAAATTAAAATTGTGAGCTTGGCTCTTCGGCTTTGAAACGGAGATGAGCACCGTCCTCTAGAGTCGGGAACGACTAACACATATGTGCAACGGAAACCTTTTAGTGGTTTCCCTCGCACATAGTGGTAGTAAAACAAAGCCCATAGTATTTGTTTGATACATATTATAATATGGGAAATGTAGGGATTCTTAGTATAAAATAGGGATTTTGCTACTACAAAGATAGTAGAAATTTGTGATGAATTTGGAGAAAAAAAGAAAGTGCCGTCTTCTTTAGATACAAAATTAAGAATGCACTATTGTCATACTTAGAAACTGCTAAAAGGTTGGCAGTTCAGCAGTTCAAATCCCTAGTGCCGCGTAGCAGGGTGAGCTCCCATTACTTGTCCCAGCTTCTGCCAACCTAGCAGTTCAAAAGCATGTAAAAAATGCAAGTAGAAAAAAAAGGGACCACTTTTGGTGGGAAGGTAACAGTGCTCTGTGTGCCTTTGGCGTTTAGTCATCCCAGACACATGACCACGGAGACGTCTTCGGACAGTGTGGCTCTTCGGCTTTGAAACACAGATGAGCACCGTCCCCTAGAGTCGGGAATGACTAGCACATATGTGCAAGGGGAATCTTTACCTTTACTGTCATACTTAAGGTAAATTTGATCTGACAGAAAAACCTTCATTCTATTATTTTGTCTTCTTCAAAACTCACTAATATTTTATCAATATCTTTCTTCTTTACAACCCATGGACTTTCCAGCTTTGAGGCAGCACAAAATAAGAACATAATTTACTCCTGCACTGACCCAAGGATTTTTTTTTCATCAGTCATCAATGTTTTTCCAAAGAATTCATTCCTATTCCTCCATACACAGAGCAAAACATACTTTCTCTTCATTCTATTATTTTTTAATCTATTTTTATACACTTCATTTAGTTAAGAAAAGTAAAAATATCGGAACAGAAAATGGCCAGAAAGAACAGTATCATAGTATAGTCCTATCACTTCCCCCTGTAAGAAGTAATTTAGCTAGTAGTAATAAGCATTCGCATTGTGGCATTTTCTAAAGCTGATTTTCAATTAGCACTTTTCTAGATGTCATTATGGAGTGTATTAAAACTTTGGTTGAACTAATTACTATCTGTAGTCAGAACAGATTTTAGTTGTCCTGTAAACTTCAAAAACCCTAAAAAGCTTTTCCTTGGCAAGCTTGCAAAATGGAATTTGGGGGTGGGGAATGATGGATGCCATGAGAGAGAACAGAAAGCATTGCTTTCAGGCCTCATAATACCTACCTGGGCATAGTACTATTGAAAGCATAAAAAGGAAGGAAAATAGAAATAAAAAAAAAAACATGGAACACTTTTAAAGATCCTCTGAATAAAATGAAACAGTTCTTGAAATGTGGTTGTGTAGATGGATGGTAAGTATGAAATGTCCCATAGCAGAAACCAAGTGGCTTTGAGAACTAGCTTTGTTTTCTGTAATAATGATCCATTTTTAAAGCAAGGCCATTTGTCATGTAGAGGCTACATATCTATTTATTACTAAAATCTTTGGTCTGTAACCTTCAATTGCATGAAACAATGCATTACAGGACAACATTTTTTAAATTAATAAACCTCAAATGAGCAACTTAAAGAATGCATCTAAAATCCGGGGCCCATTACACTTGTAGGGTTGACATTTGAGGAGGTCTTGAGGCTTTCTAAGCTTGGTTGTTTTCTTGTGGATGCTTCATTATCAAACTAGGTAAGATCATCAGTGTTAATAGAGAGTGGGGTTTGCCCTCATTTTATATTATAGTGGCTCAAGTCATTAGAATATAAAATGAGAGCAACCCTCACTCCCTATTAGCACTGATGATGTTACACAGTTTGGTAATAAAACTATGTCTGCAAAAAAACAATCAAGCTCAGGGTATCAATGGCCCCTCATTTCAATCCTGAGCTACAAATATTATCCTCTATTGGCTTGAAATTTGGAAAAAGTTTAGCCACTTCAGCCATAGTCACATGATTACTATTTTCCATAGTCTCTGGCAACTTCTCACAAGAAAAGTCAATGAGGAAGTTGACAGGAAATCAGAAGTCATTCCAGCTTCCACTGTTGTTTTTTTTAACCTACCTCTTGTCACTTAGGTAAATTAGTATCTCTGAAACAATGATCCAATGGGTCACAGATTGTCTAGGATTAATATGAAATTATGGGAAGCCAATCTTGACTGGAAATTAAAAGGTGCAATACCAGTATATCTGGAAGACATAGACTGTCTTACCTCTTATGTATTCATTGTATATAGGAGCCTGTGAAAGTGCTTAAATAAATATATTTGGACTGTACAAACATTTGAACAAGATGCTTCACAATATGCAGTAGCATAAACAAATCTAGAATTGTTAAACTAGCTGCATCTTTTGTAAAACTCACAAAGTTGTTTTGTATATTGACTTGATCTGTCTCCACACATCTGTGCATACAGAATCAGTGTTTCACTGGGAAGCTGATTCTAACTAATATGCCTAAAAGTATTTAAAATGGTTATCCTAAGTAGTTTTTTTCCCCCTAAAGTCTTCTCCAACCTGGAGCATCTTTTAAACATCTGTGCCATGATTTGCTTTGATGTAATTTTCTTACTTGATGTGAAGGAAGATTGACAAGGTGAAATTTTATTATTCATGTTATTCTCATCTTTTTTTAAAAAAAATACTAGGTAGATGTTATATTTTTTTATCCAACAGAACCTATTACAATTTATTAAACATGTAATTGTTATAAATGCTTTTCTGGTTGCACAATCACATCTTCATTTATGAGCCTCTTTTTATTTATACAATGAAGTCAGTGTTGTACTTTCATTTTTAATAATAAAGGATGGAATTTTATTTTAAAATCCTCTGTTCTGAATATTTTTGATAATCTGCATTAAGTCTAAATTCTTAAATTAAGGCATTTACTGACACATAAAGAAGAAACTAGTCTGTTTTTATACTGTGTGATTGCAGAGTTCTGAAATTAACATCCCTATACCACTTTGTTTTAAGAGATTAGTATTTAACTGCGTGTTTCTAATGCAAAGGACAAATACATTTTTTGAATTTACAATGCAAGAACTTCATTACACATTGTACTCCTTAGATGTTTCTTTTGTTCTATGGTGAAAAATGCTCTTTTATAATCCAATACCTAAAAAGCAGAGCTCTCAGAAACTTATAAAAGAACAAATAGACTTTTACAATTGTTACTCCTAACATCTTTTCCAGCAGAGTTTATTTTTCTCCTTAATGAAGCATATTTAGTTTAAATATCTTCCTGAATATTTTTTTCCTCATGCCTTGTAAGAAATAAAACAGATCTATTTCATCTCTAATAGTCATCTGCATTTTGAGCAGCTGCTCAGAAAAAAAGAATACAGATAATTGCAGTCTGAAAATTCCTGTATTGTCCATAAAGTGGTACCTGTCAGAGTGGCCTCCTTCCAGGCTATATCTCAGGTAGTTCATGCCATCTAAGAACTGACTACTAGGTAAGGAATCATCGCCTAGTTCCTTCAGATCTTCAGGTCTCAGATATTCTCCCCCATCTCCTGTCATTGTGTCATCACCTTCATTCAATACACAAATTCCCAAAATCAGTTATCAATAGAATTCTTTTAGCGTTTGAATGAGACACATATAAAACAGACATGGTTACTGTCACTCTTGAAGCACAGCAAGCACAAAGAGTTAATATATCTTGAGGAAACACTAGTCAGTTTCATAGGATTAAATTAATATAACCTCTCTAAAAATAACATAATCATTCGTCTTGTGTCAGGGTGAATAGTATTAGTACGACTAATTTCATGAGTTTTACTTCATTTCTTCAACTCAGTGGGATTCTGGTAGAATCTCTGAATATTTTCAATATAAAAAAGGAATGTTGTGTCTCTATAAATCTATAAATCAAAAATGATATGACAATAATGACTGAAATATGGCATATAGTGTTATAATACCATAATCATTATTATGGGTTCTGGGTTCTGTGACATATTTCCGTATTTCCTAGCAGCGTAACAGTTACATACTACATGCATTTTCTGGGAAATTAAAATAATCTCACTGAGAACTCGTTAATATTCCTGGTTTGATGTGATAATCATATTATCGTCTTGCCCATCAAGTAACTGGTGTTAATTAACAGCTAAGTAGGGCATTATCTTAAAGACAGTGAAGATATTTCTATATTGGAAACATTACAGAAAGTAGTAGCTCTGGATTTGGGTATCTACTTTCACTCATTGTATAGTGTTGTTCTTCATATAAATTTTGTAACCATAGTTACAATTCAGCTCAAAGTTTTGAAAAAATATTACCCTACTGCTTTAAAGAGTCATGTAGTCTGGCTAAAGACTCAGAGAATTAGGAGTTAAGTAATTGCAGATGAACATCATATCTTGTTAGTCATGTATAACTTTGAAAGCACATCAGGAAGCTAGGAAAATAAAAGCCCGAACATCTGCTTTTACTTCATGATGAGAAGTGAGGTTGTCAAAGGCCACAGCCTACAAATGTCCATGTGGATCTTTTGAAAAGCAATAAATTTAGGAATTGTCTACATTAAATAAATGCATTGCATATTCTAATATTTTGCATGTGACAACTAGAATTTTTAAACTATTTTTCTGAAAATCTCAATAATGGGAATCGCTACTGTACCTGCTGTAATGCCAAAACTGCTTAGAAAATCCTGATATATAAGAAATGTGATGGTGTCTCATTTTGTTTTAAATTAATAACATGAAATTCAAGGATTATTCAAGTTTAATTGTAAGATTGGCACATTCCCAAAATGGTAACTCAAATTCATATTAGTAATATTTTAAGCTATTTTTCTCCATTTGGAGAACAGAGGGTGGGACAAACTATGAACATGCACAGATGCAAATCAAATTTAATGTCTAAATGTTAGGTGCTCAAATGTATTTTTAAACAAGGAAATCATTTAAGTTAGATTAAAAATATTTTCTTTGTTCTCCAATGGTTGTTTCCACAGTACCTGCATCACTAAAGGCTTCCTCGTCAGTGGAATGGTCATAATCAGAATGTTTTAAAGCTGCATAATACATACATTAATTTTAGGGGAAATTGTTTACTAAGGAACATATAAGGAACAAAGTTACACTATAGGCAATCCTCATTTAGTGACCTCAATTGCTTCCAGGGACTCAGTCATTAAGCAAAGCAATTGTTAAATGAAATTATTTCTCCACACTATACTTATGATTTTATTTCAGCCTTCAGTGTGAAACTGTCAGATCTTGTCAGTTTTAGGCAGCAGCTGCAAGCAGAAGTTTCTAGCCAACCAATTAAGGTCACTGAAGTGAGTTTGTTACTTGCAGTTAGCACATTGAGGGAGGTACCACACTGCTGAGAAAAGCAGCTCAGGAACAGGATAGGGAAACACATCAGGGATAGGATAACACTGTGATACAATGCTGACTGTAACGGTGAACACACGACTGAAAAACAGACACCGTGAAGGTCTTCAATACAGGCATTGTTCACAAAGTTACATTGTCATTACCTTCAAAAAGTCATGTTTGAGACAGTTGCTAAATGAGGATGACCTGTAATATGCTTCATTTGAAAATCATGTTGTACATAAACTATATGATCCATTTTGAGAACACATTAAGGAACAACAATGTGTCTATGCTTGCAGGTAGTTCACACTAAGGAAACTGGCATTGGGATAACTGATTTTCCCAAAATCGATACCCGTTAGTACCTCTGAATCAGTATTGTCTTCCTTTCCCAATTTTGCATGCCATAGCCCAGGGACTTCTGAAACATAGTAATTGGCTTCCAAATGGCAACAAAGCCTTTTGTAAACACAGAAATGTGGTGAAATTTTGTTTGCCTAGTTGTGCCAGCCATTTTAAAGCCAATTATTGTCACTATGGGTGCTGCCTATTCAAAACGTTACAGACATTTTACTTAATCAGAAACATGTCTACAGTTGAATATATATATATATATATATATTAGTAAGTTGGTACATTTTTCAATTTATATTTCTATTTTCAGTAAGATATAAATACTTTAACTTTTCTACAACTTTAGCAACTACCCATAATGAAAACAGTAAATATATTTTATAAATACATACCAGTGGTGGGTTGCCCCCAGTTCGCACCAGTTCTATAGAACCGATAGTAAAACCGGCGGGAGGCTCCCCTCACTGATCCTGATGTCATCAAAACGCTTCTGCGCATGCGCAGAAGAGTGCGGATGTGCGCAAGCGAAGTGGCCCCGTTGCGAACCGGTAGTAAAGGTAAGTAGAACCCACCCCTGATACATACATTAACAAACCAAGTGGTTCATAATGAACTCACCTTCCTCATCAGAAACATCCAAAATTTCAGTCATAGTCTCAGGTACGTTGAGCTTGTGCTTTTCGGTGACAGTCTGTAATAAGAAAAAAGAAAGGTCATTTGTTTGTCTATATGATTACAGCAAAGAAGATTGTGTTTAAATTCCACTCTTTTTTTAAACAAAAGTATTAATTGGTGAGATGCCCGATTTTCAGATACTCAGCTGCCTAGGCATAAAGCCACACCAAAAAGATATTCAAGCTGGGAGTAAATTTGTTCAAATATGACATTTTCATGTCAACAGTAAATTCTTTTCCTAAACAGCAACTCTTTGGACTTCATTTTAAGAATCGTTTGCAATTTCTTTATTTCATTTTTTTTTAAGTTATAGAGCAATAATATATAAGCATTATAAATATATTTGTAAAAAATGTCCCTCCATTTGAATACCTATTCCCTAACATAATTTTAAACACAATGTTAAAGGTATTTGTGAACCTTAACAGTCTGTTCTACTTAAAACTGTTCCTCCTTTATATTTTTCTGCTTCTCTATAAATATCAACAGTCTTGTCACTACCAAGCACACGAATCATGTTTGCATCTACTATTAAAAGGACTAGATTAGTTTTGCTAAATTATTTGTAAATAGTAGGCTTCAGTATGCTCCATTGAATTTATTTATTTTATTTATTTATTTGTTTCCATTTCTATACCGCCCTTCTCCAAACAGGACTCAGGGCGGTGAACAGCGAAAGTAAAAAACAGAACATAGAAAAATTAAAAACAGTTTAAAATAATTAAATATTTTGGCCGTAAATTAAAACAACCCAATTTAAAATCAATTTAAAATTTAACTCAAGCCAGCCCAGCTAGTTGAAATAAATAGGTTTTCAGGGCCCGACAAAAAATCCAGAAGTCTGTTATTGTACGTATCTCTGGGGGGAGGTTGTTCCAGAGGGTGGGCGCCGCCACAGAGAAGGCTCTCCCCCTGGGGGTCGCTAGCTGACATTGTTTGGCGGACGGCACCCTGAGGAGGCCCACTCTGTGCGAGCGTACTGGCCGGTGGGAGGCTATTGGTGGCAGAAGGCGGTCTCATAAGTACCCCGGCCCTAAGCCATGGAGCGCTTTAAAGGTGGTCACTAACACCTTGAAGCGCACCCGAAAGACCACCGGGAGCCAGTGCAGCTCGCGCAGGAGAGGTGTCACATGGGAGCGCCTCGTCGCCCCCATAATCCCCCGCGCGGCCGCGTTCTGGACCAGCTGGAGCCTCCGGGTGCACCCCAGGGGGAACCCCATGTAGAGAGCATTGCAGTAGTCCAGGCGGGAAGTGACGAGTGCCTGAGTGACTGTGCGTAGGGAGCCCCAATCTAGAAAGGGGCACAACTGGCGTATCAGGCGAACCTGATAAAAAGCCCCCCTGGCCACGGCCGTCAAATGATCTTCTAAAGACAGCCGTGCGTCCAGGAATAAGCTTGAGGGGTGGAGAACCAAATAATTTCAATATTTTAAAATACTAACAATTATAAGATGAAGAACATTTCTATTTTTAATCCATCTACTTCTGCCTCAAATTCCTTGTTTGTACCAAAGTCATTATCATTTCTAAGCTTGATCTCTAATAAATCCAAACTCACTTTCATATTTGATGTAAATATGAAAATAGCCTTACTAACTAACTAGAGTAACTAAATATAATGTGCGAGATGGAATCAAAACTTTAACAGGGATATAGAATTGCCTCTTCTTAATTAATAAATAAAATATTCAAAGTAAGCAATGAATGAAGCACCTAATAAATACATCAAAAGTATTATTTAACCAAAACTGTATTACCTTCCTAGTTACAAAATGTTTGTTCACTTCTTCTTTGCAATATGAAAATCTTTCTATAATCAGGGTACAGAAACTACAGGTTCCTATACTGCCACAGGAACCCTCCCCCAATATCAGAAAGAACAGATAATGAAAGATGACCAAATAAGTAAATATTAAAGACAATGCACAATTGACATGGAATTTAACTGGAAATGTTTGTAGATCTATAGAAAAGGCATAAAATTCCAATATCACAGTGAACTATGTTTTAATACATTTATGAATATGCTTAACACTTCTCCGTATGGATATGCCGATAAGTACTGAATTACAGTGGACATAATTAATGTATCCCTTTTAAAAGATACCTCAAATAAACAAAACCAGATTAAAAAATGGAAAAAATGTCTGCTGTACTCACAGTTGTAGTCGTGATTACTTCCTCTGTTACAACCTTTAATGTATCTACCACTGAGATGTATCCCAGACGCTTAGCAATCGCTAAGGCAGTGTTGCCATTCTGAAGGAGGAGAGAAGGAAAAGGAATACTGTGATATGAACCAATGAGATCACACCCAGAACTAAATGAACCAACATTTCCATCCAAAATAAGTCATTCACTATGGAAAAACCCTTTGCAACTTTGCTCAGATTATAGCAGCAATTGCCATAGAAACATAAACTCAGAACATCTGTCTGCTATACTGTATTTTTTTAAAGTGCACACTTTTTAATAATTTAACCCACAGCTTTCTGTATCTCATTAGATTTTTTTTATTTGCTACATGTGTTTTTGCATAATTTTGACAATAAGCTTTGAATTGGCAGTGATTTTGATAATAGTATTAATAGAACCCAGATACAGCAGGAATTTAAGAGGTTCCAACTCAGAAATATTACATCAGATATGGACGGGGTGCAGCTGATGCACACTCAGAAAAAGAAAAAGAAAATCAGTATATTTTAAACATGTTTTTATACATTCTTTCATTTAAAAAAAAACCAAACCCAAATATACAATATTCAGACTCTAAAGTGTATTTTTTTTAACTTTAGGGAAAAAATGACTAACTTTGTTTTAATTGCCAATATAGTAAGTTAATATAGAAGTGATAACTATTGTTTCCTATCTGTATTATTGTTTAGCATCGTGCCCTGTTTCCTCATTGTTAATTAAGGGAAAAAATAGTAAACATACTAGTATCACAATATTATCTAACCAATCTGAATTCCTGTAACTAATTATCCATGAATTAAAAAATTGATATATATAATCAATGTTTATAGAATGATCAGATAAAAGAAACCAACCAAATTTGGCTCTGCTGCAGGAGAATGAGTGACAAAAATATGTCTGTAGCTATAGCAATAGCAATAGTAATAGCAATACCAATAGTACTTAGACTTATATACCGCTCCATAGAGTGTTACAGCGCTCTCTGAGCAGTTTACAAAGTCAGCATATCACCCCCAACAATTTGGGTCCTCATTTTACCAACCTTGGAAGGATGGAAGGCTGAGTCAACCTTTAGCCGGTCAGGATCGAACTCCTGGCTGTGGGCAGAGTCAGCCTGCAGTGCTGTTTTCTAGCCACTGCACCACCATGGCTCATGTGATAAAGTTCTTGTTTCACTATTACCATTGCATCATGTTATGTTTTTCAGCAGCTGCATATTTAATCATAAACTATGACGACATGCATACACTGTATGTGCAATGATATCCATTCTATAGTTTAAAGACTTCGAGCATACAATGCATACCATTTTTTCTTATTAAATTATTAATTATAATATCTTTTTAGTTGACTTGTGTATCTTACTATAAGTTCTCCAAGTAGTCACATCTGATCCCAGCTGACTAATCTAATTTACTTTCTAAGACATTTTGGAGTTCAAAACGTAAAACAAATCATTGCAAGTATATGAGTAAGTACTCTACAATCTTACCGCAGTGATTGCATTTGGTTTGGCGCCATGTTGAAGAAGAACATTGATGATGTGAGTGTGACCTTGCTGAGCAGCTTGGTGCAGAGGAGTGTATCCATTCTGAAATTAGTGGTAGTTGGCATGTTTAAGAATGTAAGGAGGACAAAAATCCTAAAATACAGTTATTTTAATATTCTCCTGATTTCACAGAAGTATTAATGTCAGTGATGCCAGCTGTTTTCATCAGACAGCAAACATCAATAACCAATTTTTTTCATATGGCATTAATGATAGAAGGTAGGCTAACACCTATCAAATGCCTATTAGTTTTTCAAAATTAAGGTTTTAAAAAAGCAAACAATGGGTCAAAGAAAATAAGATTAAAAAGACCTTAGGTTACCATGAAATTTGATTGCTTTGGTGTTCTGTAAAATTATAAACTATATATCTTTTATTTGGGCGAATATAACTGTCTCTTCAAGTTGCTGATGTTTTATTTGGAGTGAAGGAAGAGAGATAGGAAAACTAAACTAAGCATTTATATGTTTTGCTCCATGCTACACATATTCTGCTTACCTACAACCCTGCAATTTTCACACAGTTTAGTCTTAAGTCTGCTAACAATATCCCTGTTAAATTCTCACTATAGTAATGTGATTGAATTTATTCTAAGTTATATTGGAAAAGATTCAAATGAGCAAATAGGGAAGTGAGCAATGATAGTTTGGTGGACATACATGTTTTGGAGCAAATTAAATTCAAAAAACCAGAATTTTAATTCTAATTTTCTTATGCATATAACCATGGACTGCTTTTCAACTCAAGAAGCAACCAGGTTTACATAATACAGAGGTAGAATAATATTAACCATATATAACAAGAAAGTGAAATTTTATGATTCTTGTACATTTAAAATTTAAACTACTTAAAACTAATTAAACTACTTATGTTTATTTATAGTACATTTTTTTTACAGTCATACAGTTGTTTTCCCCAGTAAATTTTTTCAAGCAGGCTTCTCTTTTAAGGGTTTGGCACATAATAGTGGTATGGAAAATTCAGAAATAAACACATATTTCCATAGAAGCAGCTCTACAGTCCAGCATTTTATTTCTCACAATGATAACCCTGAAGTACTTACAAACACAATATGGAGGCAAACACCTTTCCTACTGTTTTTCTCCTACAGGTGATATTTGAAAGCATGCTATTGCCAACCCAGAAGAAACCCTCGGTTAAGAACAATACTTTTCAATTCGTATACTCCATGGTTTTATACTATCTCCTTTCAAGCCATCCAGGTTAATGGCCATTACTATACTTTATAGTACAGTACAAATTACTTATGCACTATATTAGTGGTCCCCAACTCCTGGTCTGTGGACTAGTACTGGCCCATGGCCCATAGGGAACCAGGCTGTACAAATAGTGGACAAGCATGCAAAGCTCCATTTGCGTACGTAGTGGGCCCGTGTGCAAAACCATCCCCTCCCTCCTTTCCACCACCAGTGTGCTAAGCTGGAACGGTTAGGGTTGCTGTACTATGTGAAAAGGCCTTTTTTTGTTCATTTCAAATCTCCTTCAAATCAGCTTTTTAGATGGTCCTGATTTTTAGAGGAGAAAATATTTTCTCTATGTATAGACTTCCTCTCTACATTGAGAATTCCATACATCTCAGTCACTTCCCCCTGCTTTTCCCCCCCAAACTCAAACATTCTAACCCTTTTTTCACGCAGAAGATGTTAAAGGGCTCTGATCATTTTGGCTGGTCTTTTTGGCACTTTCCCCCGTTATGTTATAATCTTTTTTAAGTGTAGCAGCCAGATCTGTACCTAGTACTTTACAGCCAGACATACTGTAGATTTGTATAATGGCATTCTGTTTGAATTTTTATGATTAGTTCCTTTCCTAGGGATCCCTGCATAAAATATGCCTTTTTCGCAGTGCTCTTTACTTTGTTATGCACTGTGATGCCTAGATCTTTTTCTGTCATCAATATGTATTATCTGAGGAACTATCTCACCCACACTGCCCCACCCACACTGACAGAAGAGGCATGCTGTGGACCCCATCAATCAAGGAATTTCAACTGGCAGGGTGCAGGAGAAAATCCTTTTCTGCCATGGTTCCTGCCTTCTGGAACATTGTGCCCCCAAGATGAGATCTGCACTCACCTTTCTGGTCTTCTGAAAGAGCCTGAAGACCTGGATTGGACAATTGGCCTGGGGCCCTAACTGGCTGTCCCCCGGGTCATACTTCAGGTGGTTAGTGGACTGAGATAAGACCTCGCCTTCTCCTCTATGCACCTTGCCATATTTTTTAATTTTTAAGTCAATTTGAGTATTAGTATTTATTACTGTAATGTTTTATCCTGTTGTTTGTATGGGTTGTAAACTACCTAAAATCACCTCGAAGTGAGATGGGCATAATATAAGCTTAATTAATAAATAAATATGAAAGTAGACTTTACAGAACGCACTACCACTTTACACTTATTAATTTAAAATAAGTATAACACTGTACCATCTGGTTTATCATTCATAACACTTTTATTTTTAATTGAATATTTTTAGAATAGCTTTCCTCAGACTTACGCTAATGAAATGCATTAGCATTGTCATTTAGAGAAGTCCAAAATTTCAGAATTCCATGGCCATAATGATAATGATTGGCTATGCATTATTATCTGTACATACCCAAATACATTATTAATGTTGCATTATTCATAGGTTACTGCATTGAAAAATGGACTCTTCTTCTTTCATATATTGCAAATTTCTTGCAAATATAATATAAATCTCTTAAATATAAATTAATATTGATGTGCTTGTTTGTAAATGAGAATGGAAGGAAACAATTAACATTTACCTTTGTCTTAGCATTGACATTAGCTCCTTGCTTCAGAAGGAAGTTCACCATCTTGATGTTTCCATAGTGACAAGCCACAATTAGTGGAGTGTAACCCAGCTAAATGAAAAGGACCCCCCAAAAGTGTAAGTAGAGAATGTGATAAGGTATTGGAAAGTTATTTTATTGTCTTGGAAGTTATTGTTTGTTATACCTTAGTCTGAGCATCTTTGTTTGCTCCATGCTTTATCAGTATATCAGCTACATTTACTTTATCTTCTTGAGCTGCTAAATGTAAAGATGTCAGTCCACTCTGAAAATTAACAACATAAGTATTTTAGTAATACAAATTAAAGAAGTAATTTATTTTACACTGTAATAATTAAAGGTATCCCCCTGAAAACTGGGACCACATTGCCTCATGGAACTCAAACCTAGCAAAGGCTGTAATGTAGTATGATATTCCTAAATATGTCATCTCAGAAGTAAGCCAAATGAAATTCAATTGGCTTTATATTCAAATAACTTCTTTCTAACAATTATCATGAAATCTTCAGACTGTCACCTCATTCATATTGTCTTTCCAATTCTTGTTATATTTTGGAGAACACAAAGGTTATAGGTAGGAACAAGACAAGAGAGAGAGGGAGAAAATAAAACTTGGTATTATAAAAGAATTGAACACCATGGCTAGTGGCCTCCTACACGTACTAGAGAAGAAAGGCAGAAAAAAATGAAATACTCTGCAAGCAAATAAAATTGAGATGAAATTTTGCTCTCTCTCTCTACTTCAGCATGGAAATCACAAAATGATCTAACAGATTTAACTGCAATTTCCAATTAACAGAGATCAGACCCACACAAACTTCTATGAATATATTATCTACTATTGATGTTATCTACTATTATCTCCTATTTAAATAGATTTAAAAAATCAAATCCCACTAACGTGGGTTTCGCATGTTTTAGATAAGATATTAGCCAAGTACATTTTTACAAATTTTCCTGCTTTTAATTCTCTAATATAACTTAATATTTTGTATTGATTTGTTGAATACTTAACATCATTTTCTAAATCACAGTTCAAAAATTCATTCTTAGTAGAAGGAGGGCATTACCTTTGTGGCCACATGAATATTGGCTCCCTTCTCCAGAAGTAAGTTCACCATGTCAGAATGTCCTTCTTGAGAGGCCAAGTGAAGTGGAGTCACTCCTTGTTTGGTCAAAATGTTGGTCTCTGCTCCATAATTCAGCAGGGTTGTGGCTATCTGCATCTGATTCTTCTTAGCAGCAATGTGTAGAGGAGTATACCCATTCTAAAACCAGTTACCTTGTATTAATATAAGTTTTAATTTCCTTTTCTTTCATAATAGCAATAGCACTTAGACTTATATACCACTTCACAGTGCTTTACAGCCCTCTCTAAGTGATTTACAATGTCAGCATATTGCCCCCAACAAACTGGGTTCTCATTTTACCAACCTCGGAAGGATGGAAAGCTGAGTCAACCTTGAGCCGGTCAGGATTGAACTCCTGGAGTGGGCAGTGAGTTAGCCCTGCAGTACTGCATTCTAACCACTACGCCACAGAGAATAGCCATTATTTTCTGTAGCTTTCACCTAAATAATAATATTAGCCATAGTTTCTTGCATGAAATCACAGTTGCAATCCAGGTAAGGCCAGTGGTGGGTTGCTACCGGTTAGCCCCGGAACAGGCATACCGGTAGCGGCGGGAGGTTCCGCCCACCTGCTTGGATACTTCTACGCATGTGCAGAAGTGTTGCGTATTCCCAAGCCCGCATGCACCCATGAGCAAACCCGTAGTGATGGGTTTTGAAACCCGCCCCTGGGTAAGGCATATGTTGGCACTGATATTTCAAATGTCCAATCTTAATTATAGAACACATAACCTTTATAGAGAATAGTTAAATGCTTTCCTTCAAATGTATTATTCTTGATTAGAATTCATATAACTTGTATAGAACTAAAGGTGAAATTAAGAATAATTTGACATGTTGGACATATCCAGACTTTTTCTAGCAATAATATGGAGTGGTTTGCAATTGCATTTTTCCAGAAAGTATTTCTTCATATTCTTCTGTGCTGATATTAACCAAGCCTTCCATGATCAGACAAGGTCAGCTTAGTGGAAACAATACTCCAAATGCACCTCTAACATAATTCATAGTTGTCTTCCTTCAATGGATTCCTTCTGGACATATTGGATATGCAGCAATTAAGGCGGAAGATAGTTATGATCCTACTAGTCTGGAAGATTCTAGTTTGTTATTTTAGAAGTGTTTTTCAAACTTCCCCAACTTACGAACTTCCGCATATCACACATCTTAAAGTTGCCAAGTTTGAAAAAACACTGTTTTAGAACAACCAGAACAAATTTACAATAAAATGGTAAATCTCACCTTGGCAGTAGCATGAGGAGAAGACCCTTTCTCCAATAATAGTAGTGCCACTTTCTGATTGTCATAGTGAGCAGCAACATGGAGGGGAGTGAGACCATTCTGGAAAGGGTGGTTTATGTTAAGGCATTAAGTGGTGGTTAGCTTTGTTTATACTAACATTAATTAGAAAACAACAGTATAGATTAAATAAGCAATTGATCAGGAAAAAAACCCCACAGCATGTTTAATTCAAAGTGAATTATTTCGTATTAGACATGTTATTTAAATCAATAACAATAATATTAAAAAATAGTATTAAATCAATATTAGATAAAAGAATATTGCTTTTTTAAAAAAAGAACAAGCCATTTCAAATTCATTAAATTTTCTGAAATGATATAATGTATAGCAGAGCACAAAATAGTTTGGATTTAAAATGTTTCAAGCTTGAAATACCCTATTTTGATTCATACCATGTGTTTTGTCCTTATTGAAATTTTTCTGACACTTTTCCAACTACCATAAAAGTATCCTCTGCTTAAATCAGACCTGTTTTCAGCTCAGAGCACTTGGAGTAGGCACAGTTAGCAAAATAAGACTTTTCCAGAGTGGTCAGAATATTATCAAAAGATGTCCTTCACTATGATTAAGACAGCAGTTTCCAACTCAAAATATTTTATACAGCCCTGATGTATTGCAATTCTAACCTAACCATATACTTTTACTAACAAATTGCAATCTCCAAGTACTTCATAGCAAAAAGTAAAATAAATCACTTCCATTTTATGTATGGGATTTCTGGTCATCTCATTGAAATATTTTATTATTATTATTACTTACAAATATACTCATGGTAGAATTACATGCAAGTGTATTTGTAGAAAATAAAGAATTGTGGGATCCCCTAATCCCACTCACTGTACGATAACTGCAAAAGCTAATCATTTGTCACTGTGAGTTGTATTGTGTTGGGGGGGGGTGCATTGAGGGAGCTCAACCAGTCTCATTGTACATATGTTGTCCACTGACAATAAAGATTTGAATTTGTCAGGGAAATGTTTCATTTCCAAGCAGTTGCATTGTTGCTGAAAGAATTACCCAGAAGTTGCAGTTGAGGTCAAACTGGGAAGCAGAAGAATGTGAGGGAGGAAATTGCTGCAAAGTTATTTAAATCTTTGCCAAATAAATCCCCAAAGTGTTTATAGAGAAGAAGGAAGCCAAACTGGGAGGTTCAGAATGCTATATTGATTGGGCAGGAAAGCAAGCTCATCTCAAACCATCAAGTTGATCAAGGCTGAATTTGTAAGGAATGACGGGCAACCAAGTGCCTATCTGAGCAAGATACCCAACATGGAATTATTGTTTAGGGAATTCCATGTTAGCCTGAAGAAAACACATTTTTCCTCCCTTTTCAACTCTTAGGTTAGAAAATTAAATGTGTATTATCAAAAGAGGTAACAGAATATTGACATTGAGATTGGCACTGAGTGACACATTGCAAAGTACAGTCTATTGATAAATATATCGATTTCCCCATCTTCCCTTTATACCTATTTTTGTTTCATCTTTTCTTGTCCCATGTCATTAAATATAATTGGCATGAACATGTAAGACTAGATCATATTAGATCTTATGAAGTATGTGCAGAAACATTGATATGTGCTAGCTATAATGTTCTGGCCTTTTTATGACATGCAAACAACCATCTAAAAAGGAAGCCTTCATGTGATAATCCTATACAAAGTCAGTCAATGAAATCTATTGAAATTTGCCCTTTACAATAGGATTTAAGCAATATCCGTAACAAATAATAGTGGGAAAGCTTCTGTAAACATAGAATAGGCATAATATTTGTGTAGTAATATAAATGATATTTTTATTTCAATATCTTATTTAACACTTAGAACAAAAATGTCTTGGTTATTTGTAATTCAAACTGGAATGAATTCTTACCTTCCCAGATGAATCAGCAGGTGCACGACGCTGCAAGAGGAGCTTTGCCACATCAAGGCTTCCATACTTTGCTGCCACATGTAGTGGTGTGAATCCCTTCTGCAAAATATAGAAGTAGAAAATGTGTGTGTGTGTGTGTGTGTGTGTGTGTGTGTATGTATCCCCCATACATTGTTACTACAATGGACCAATATAATTTCAAGATCATTGCTTCTAGTTACCAAGATAGCCACAACAATCTATTGATAAAATTATAATGTTGGTGCTACTTTGCTAATATTGGAACATTAGCAATTGAGAATTTACCTTGGTAGCCAAAGAATGTGCTGCACCTGCCTCCAGTAGAACTGATGCTACATCAACTTGGCCTTCTCGGGCAGAGATGTGTAGTGGTGTATACCCATTAGTTGTTGCAGCATCTGGGTGTGCCATGTGTTGCAGAAGTAGCTGCACAATTTCTGTTTTACCCAAGCGAGAAGCAATATGCAGTGGTGTCTGTTCCTCCTACAACTCAAAACAGCAAAGGAGTTATCTATCTATATATCTATATCTATATCTATATCTATATCTATATTTATCTTTCTATCATCTATCTATCTACCTATCTATCTATCATCCATCTAGCGATCAATCGATCGATCGATTGATCGATCTATTTAACTATCTATCATAATCTAATCTAATATTTTATCCATCCATCCATGTATCTTTGAGTTCTTCTCACTATAGAAGATTGCTAGAAAAAAAAATGAAACCTCTTCATCATAGTACACCTAGAATTGTTCTAACTTTTTAAAAAATGTTGCATGACATGTGAATACATACCCTGGCTCGTGCATCAACCAAAGCACCATTCCTCAGGAGACAGCGCACCACTTCTACTTGTCCTGCACGAGCCGCCATATGTAAAGCAGTTTCCCCACGCTGAAGAAGAATGAATGGGTCAAATTTGTAAGCCATCTGAATAAAACCTTCAAATTCATTTCATGTGAGTTAGTCTTGTATATCATAAGTACCTATTTTCCACATAGTGTGAGTTAAAACTATTATTCTAATGACAACATATAAAAAGCCCAAGAGAGAAATCTAATGTCAATTTTCCTCTGATAGAACTCTTTCCTACATGCTGCCACACCTAATTTGGAAGGAAAATGTGAGAAACCATAGCAACAAGAATTACCCCCTCTGTTCCTGCTATTCCTAGATAGCAGAAAATTGCTAGAAAATTAACAATTTTCTAAACAGAAAACAAGTAGTTGGACTCAATCCTTGGGTTATAAAATCAAACATAGACCTTATCTACATATGCCAGGTATGGACATCAATCTGACAAATATATTTAAAAGTGAAAAAAATAGTAAATAGTATAGATGTCATAGTTATTGTTTATGCTTGAACATAATGTCTAGGAAAAATTATTTATATTTATTTACTGAGCATAAAATTAGTTTGTAGCAATTGTGCAAGATTTAGATTTCAGTCTATACTCAATTTTAGAGAGCTTGGGATGCTTGTTTATCATTGGAAATTTACTAGCACAAACTTCTGAGCATGGTCTATCATATATGGGCACCCCGGCATAACTCTGCTATTATAGCAGTCAAAATTGAAGATACAGGAAGATTGAGGTGTAGATAGAAACAAAAGATCCTGAAATTATTTATTTAGGAAATTGCTTTATTTAGGAAAGTAGACATTGCGTTGAGATTTTGGAAATAAAACTGTGTTTTAAAAGTATTTACAAGACAAGCAGATAACTGAAAAACAGGATCATATTCCATTTTGAATGTATTCCAGAAAGAAGGCTAGATAGAAAAATTTTACAAAATACTAATATTTAGTGTAGCTTCTGGTTAAGACACATCACACCCAGCTATCCTAGGATTATTCAAATCCAAGCCATACTCACAATGTTAGTGACATCTGGAGAAGCCCCATTTTGCAGTAGAAGGAGAACTATGTTCAAATGCCCCATAAATGCAGCCACATGAATTGGCGTCAGGCCCGACTGTGAAATAAAGCAATAGCAATTTTACTCCTCTGCAAAATGCCTTTAAATTCTTCCGGATATATATGTGTGTATATATATATATATATATATAAAAAGGAGAGTGTGAAGAGAAAGAAGAGATGGCCATAAGAGATGGCTCTTTGTGAAATTTCTCTACCTCTGTTATAGCTTGGATTGAAGCCCCATATTTCACCAGCAGTTCCATTACTTTAATGCGATTTTTCTTGCAAGCAATGTGCAGTGGAGTAAAACCATTCTGTGCAAAAAACAGTCATGTTAGTTAAAGCATGCACCTTTCATTGTCAAATAGATAGGTTATCCCCTTTTTAAAAAAAACTCAGATTCTGACATACTGAGAAAAAAGCACGACCAGGGCCACTGGAGCAGCTGTTGCAATGACTCCAAAAGAGAATTTGTGAATGGACATTTTAAGCAGACAAAATGTCTGATTGGCAGTTTAATGTGTGTGATACTCTTCACTCTTTTTGCTATAATAGTAGCTACAGAGACCACAGTAATGTAGCATTACCCACCATGTGTAAATAATATAAACTCATAATCACCAACATCAATATACAACTGCACTGCACTAAAGTAGCTTCCATGCTGCTTAAGAGTATGGAGGAAGGACATTAGAGTAAGAATGTTCTGTTTATATTGCCACCATTTTCTATAGCTCAACATAAGACAGCTTCCATTTAATATCAGACTATGTTTAACCATAATGGAATGATTACATCAGTCGTTAATTTGACCTTACCTTGTATAAAAGTCTATTTGTAAATCTAAGTATTTTGAACAATTGTAGGAAATGCTGAAATGTTACCTTTTTTGCAAAGAAATAGAACATAGCAAGACATGTCTGATTAATTATTGAAAGACCCTATGAGACTTGAATAATGGCATTTATGACAACCATAAGAAGTATCAGTCAATTTGTAATTTATTGGTTTTAACAAGAAACCCAAATAAGCATGATCCTACTCTCACTCTTACAGCCTCTCTGCTCCCAAGAAGCTTTCTAAAGGTTCAGAATTGCTCTTGAACACTCTGGGTGGGATAGGAGGAAGCTCTATTGAGGGGCAGTATTTGTTCCAAACTGGACAGAACTCTATGACTAGCCCCCAATACCTTTTTCTGTAGAAAGCCAGGGCTGACCATATGACATTATTCCATAAGAATCATATGTCACAGAAAAGCGCCTTGGAAACCCAAAAGGATAAGCTGCCCAAAGTCTCCGGAGAAGGGCGGCATATAAATTTAATAAATAAATAAATAAATAAGACAAGTAGGAAACTCAACATCCATGAACTTTCCTGTCTGCATATTTTTAAAAAACAGAACACTTTAATCATCACTATGTACAGGAAATACAAGTTTTGTAATGGGGTTTGAATGTACTATTATTGACACAATATCCTTTATGGTATTTTAATGGTACTTTTGCAGAGTGATATGCTGGGATAGAGAATCATGTGAAATTAACTTAATCCCTATGATATTTGTAGTTTTCATGATCAAGTGGAAAATCGTGGTTCTCTCCTAACTTGGAGGATGCACACTAGAGTGAAAGCAATAAATCCCCTTTCTTCAATTTGTAAAAATGCTATTTGTTTCAGTATTGCCAATTACTTATTGCCTGAATTTTTAATACTTTTTAATAATACAAGTGTTTCTAATTCTAGCTAGAACAAAGCACCAATGCCTATCTTTCCCACTTCTAAGATACTCCTGAAATGAAGTTATTTACAATGATACTATTTAGAGCCATTTGGGAGTAAGAAAAAATAGTCACAGATTGATTTCTTTTAGCTCACATACTTGGCATATGGGCTGGCACAAATAAAATCTTAGACTTTTTAAAAGTTGTTAGAATGCTTAGTAATTTCTAAACTATAAGAATAAATGGAGAGGGAGGAAATGTTCACTTTCTTGTCTCAGTTCTAATACAGTTCATCCTCTTTTGGCTCATCCTATTCTTGGCCGCAAATTTTCTCTCCTCCATTTGCAATCTGCAAATAAAGGGAATAAACTGAGGATACTATTTCAGGTCATTCCTAATTTGTATCCATGATACCCAAAAGCACATTCTATAGAACACAATCACAATATATTACATTCCAGAACTCCATTGACTAAGCTAAAAAACAGTGTGATTTGTGTGCTACAAAAATGCACTATTTCAACAACACAGGCAAGTCGTGCAAAAACAAATGCATGGTAATTGAATTCATGGGGAGACATATACAATGTCCAAAATAGAAAAATATAAAGTATGGGCATCATAGGAAAGGATAGATGTGTTTTGATATTACAACACAAACTCCATTCCTTGTACAATAGTGTACGATACTGTATTGATAATATGAAAGGGCAAAACATATGTCATGTGCATGTTATATTGCACATTTCATTATTAGGTCATTATCATGGTTAAGTAAGGGCACTTATGCACAGAAGGCATATATTCAGGAATAAATTATTTCTTTTATCAAGAACAAAAAAAGAGACTTGGGCATCTTAAAAGTTAACAAATGTCCTATGTTACTAGCTTTCATGGATTGTAGTCAATTTCAGCTTGATGCTCTTATGCTCAAAAAAAAAAACTATTTAAGGAGCTTAAAAACAGTAACAGAAAATCTTGTTTTCTTAAGTTTCCATTTTCTTTTTGGTTCAGTGGCTGAAAGGCAATCTCACCCTTTACCCCTATCCACTGACACTAAGCCACTAATGGTTGACATTAAGCTCTGGTCTATTGCCTGGTATCTTGTTTAATCTTAATAATTTGAAATGTTAATTCTGCCTAAAAGTGTTACACAGTGTATTTCCAGGCAACATCAAATCGAGAAGTGTTTAAGGTTAAAACTTGAATCATACATTGTGTATGACTGAATTCATATCTCATAAAAAGTAAAAGTTTCCTTTAGGTGGAACTTGATTTTTGATAACTTGGTCATTATATGGACATATCCATGTGTTTTCCTTAGTAACATTTTAGCTGGGTATTTCCTTGCCTTCCTATCTGATCTATAGTTTTCCACCAAAGATTTAACAAAGTTTAAGCTTGCTTAGTATTTTTGAGCATCTAAAGATTCATGGAAGACTTTATGCATTATGCATTTAACAATGCTGTGAAATCAGTAGACATGTACAACCAACTATATGGAGATATATTAGATAAGAAGGTTAAGTTTCTCAGTTTTATCAAGATAAGCTACTTATACTTCATAATTGGTGGGTGTGGGAAACATCACACTGACTTGCAGGGCAATCTCTAGAACAGGGTGTCATACTCACGTCATCATGGCAACGTCATGTGACATATCGGGACTTTTTTCCCCTTCACTAAACACATCTGGCCTGCGGGCTGGGAGTTTGACAGCCCTGCTCTAGAAATGCATGAATAGCCTTGGAGTAAAACTTACTTTGGTTATCTTGTGGCATATTGGCCAAAATTTCCCAAACCAGGTATATCCTTATCATTAGTTAGGAATGATGCAGATGACACTGATATAACTTAAAATGGTGATCTAGTCAATTGGGCGCTCCCATGTGACTCCTCTCCTGCGCGAGCTGCATTGGCTTCCGGTGGACTTCCGGGTGCGCTTCAAGGTGTTGGTGATCACCTTTAAAGCGCTCCATGGCTTAGGGCCAGGGTACTTACAGGACCGCCTTCTGCCACCAATAGCCTCCCACCAGCCAGTTCGCTCCCACAGAGAGGGCCTCCTCAGGGTGCCGTCGGCTAGACAATGCCGGCTGGCGACCCCCAGGAGGAGAGCCTTCTCTGTGGTGGCACCTACCCTTTGGAACAATCTACCCCCAGAGATACGAGTGATCTCCGACCTCCGGACCTTTCGTCGGGCCCTAAAAACTCATCTCTTTCAGTTAGCCGGTCTCTCTTGATTTTATGATTTTATGGTTGGTTTTAAATTTTGATATGGATTTTAAATTATGGGCCAAATTTAATTATTTTAAATCTATTTTTAATCGTATTTATGTATAAATGTTTTTATTTTGGCTGTTCACCGCCCTGAGTCCGAAAGGAGAAGGGCAGTATAGAAATTCGAATAATAAATAAATAAATAAATATCTCCTTTCTTTTGCTAAAAAAAAAATCTTGATTGACCAAACTTGTGATGGGCAGAAAAAAAATGAGAACCTGTGGATCCATTTGATGATAACCATGGCATATAGAAGATTATAACATGTAAAGTGAATAATAAATGATAAAGAACAGAAATTACTGAATAAACTGAATAAAATATATATACTGGATATCTGTGAAATTAAAAGAAGGGGGAAGATGTGGCACCCATCCTCTGGAATATTATTCCCCCTGATATTACACTTGCCTGAACCCTACTGGCATTTTGTAACATATTAAAACTTGACTCTGCCATTTAAGCTGCGACCATGACAGTATGGTTCATCGCTGATTTAAACATTGGATATTATTGATGTTCTTAGAAGCTATTTTTATACTACTGATTAGTTTTTAAATTTTGTTTCTTTTTAGTTTGTTTTAATTGTTAGCCATATACATGAAATGGGTGGCCATGTAAGGCAATAGATCTGAATGAATGAATGTGGTCTGATTTTGTGAAGTTGATGAATGCATGCAAGAAAAGGACAGGAACTTGAAATGGAACGGGTTCAAATAGAGCAGTTGGAAAAAGAACTTCTGTTCTGAAACAGATGAGTACTATTTATATTCTGAATAGAAAAAAGCTATGAAAATGCTAACTCAAGTAATCAAATATAGCTAACAAATCAGAATTATTAAGCAAATAAATATTGCTGACCATCTACCAAACATATATTAGCTCAAACTTCCCCAAATGTTGGAGAAAATGTTGGGACTACAACAGTTAGGTTTTGCAAGCAGCATAAATATAGTGGCTAGAAACTACTGTACCATAAAGGACTTCCACACCAACACAACTTCATAGCACCCATGAAGAAGGCTGCATTACGCCGATGTCATTCACTATAACACACTGCTTATGGTGAATAATATAATATAATCTTAATGTAGACTGTGATGAGGAAACCCTTAGTGTTTCAAAAAGTCTATGACTGTAATTCTGTGCTGAAGCTCCCCTTTCTCATGTATGCTGACCATTCTGTTTGCCTCACATTCTCATCACATGCCACTGTATCCATTAGATATCTTTTAATGTTCAATTGCCTTATTAACTACATGGATTTGTGGCAGAGTTATAGAGTATCCTATTGAAAAGGCCAGCAATTCTCCCCTTTGTCTTTATAGAGTCACTGAACTGAATGTGTGGAGTCAGTATATCAGTTCCCTTTATGCTCCACCAGAAATCCATGAAAAGTTTACCAAAGCACGGGCATTTGGATTTGCTCTCTTATCCAACAGAAGCTTGGTGACACGATAGTGACCACAGTGTGCAGCAACATGGAGGGCAGTCAGGTAATCCAATGTAACATCATCAACAGGAGCTTTGTGCTGCAGTAGGTGTTTGACACACTCCACGTGGTCACCCTGGGCAGCCATATGAAGTGGAGACAGTCCATTCTGAAACGAACAATGCAAAACATTACACAGTGACAACTTGTAAATGCACGTGCATGCACACACAACAAATTTAAATTTAAGTCTTGAAAAACAGCCTATAAAAATTAACAGATTCATCCATCAAGTTACAATAATGCATTGCCTAGTTATATTTCAACGTTGGTTTTCAAGATATTAAAAGTCTTGGTGGAGCAGCAGACTAAAGTGCTGTTAAATAGCACCAGCTGCCTGCAATTACTGCATGTTCAAATCTCACCAGGCTCAAGGTTGACTCAGCCTTCCATCCTTTCGAGGTAGGTAAAATGAGGACCCGGATTGTGGGGGCAATAAGCTGACTTTGTATAAAAAAGAACACTGCTTAGGGGGGGCCAAAAGCCCTACTAAGCAGGCATATACAAAAGTATGAAGGCTATTGCTTAACGCATTGTAAGCCGCCTTGAGTCTCCAGAGAAGGGTGGCATATAAATCGAACCAATAAATAAATAAATAAATAAATAAATAAATAAATAAATAAATAAATAAATAAATAAATAAACAAACAAACAAACAAACAAACATACATACAAACTTATAGTTTCACTTATTCACTTGGAAAACCTCACTCTGTTTTAGAAACTCAACGGGTATTCATGCATTTGCGCTTTGTGTCCAATCCATTGTCTATTGTAGTATATTAATACTGTGTTCCCTAAATGTACATCTAGTTTGTTGATACCTTCATTTTGTCTGCACATGCTCTGCTTGTAGAAGTTTATGATTGCATTTTTACATAAAAAGCAATGGAAACAGTGCAGAAAGAGAAGTGAATGAGAAAATAAATAACCACATGATACATATGAGAGCAAAGATGTGTGAATTTTTAAATATTTGATTACACCTTTATCAATTTCTCTACTAATCATTATTTATTTTACTGCTATGGGTTTCAATAGCAAACAAACTCCCTTAAAATACTAGTCTGAACTGTAAACACACCTTGGTCCTGGCAAGCAGTGGGGCACCTCGTTCCAGGAGAAGCTCTACAACTTGGTCATGTCCACTTCGTGCAGCACAGTGCAGTGGAGTCAGCCCATCCTTTGAAAACAGCAAAAACAGAAACCATGCTCTTTTATATTGGAGTCAAACAATTATTTGACTGTACTGCTAATACAAATCTTGCAGAAAAATTAGATCTTTAGTGGCAATGATGAAGTATTTGCTTTAGGTTCTCTCCAATAGGGACTCTCAGAAATCAGTCAGGAAGCAATAGCACTGGCATTAATAAGTTTATGCAACTCAGGAAATTGGCATTAAATTACAAGTATTTCTATATATTACATCTAGTAATAGTTCTCACTCATGCACAGAATTGCTGCTAGGAGAGATAGTTCTGTTAGGAAAGATATTATATATATTTCTACATGCCAGCTGTAATTTATTAGCAATGAAAAGAATAATAAGAACCATTAAGAATATGTCTCCTTCAGAAATACCCAATCTGTCTACGTAATAGAAAATTATAAAAAATCTTTTTAAAATATGTAATTATTTCTGAAGTGTGGGTGGATCAGTTTGGGACATACGCATTCCAAATTATGATGCTTGAGGGCCTGCACTCCATGCAAGCTAAGGAAAAGAGGCTTAGAAGACAATGTGCTTCTGTTTGTGTTCCCTTCCTGTGGAATGGCTAGTACTTCCCTGGCAGTTTTTGGCAAGAAAAAAACAGAACTGATTTTCAGAAATGTTAATTCATAATTTAAATTAAACTGGGCTTTCTGGCTTTTCTTTGAAGATGTTTCACTTCTCAAATAAAACAAGTCCAGTTGCCTCTTGAAAAAGGAACTTTGGGACAACCATGACCTGGATGACTGAGAATCTCCATAGACAATTTAATTTAAAGTTTATGTAGCTGGATTCTGTTCACCTGAGGTAGTTGTTTATTGTTATTTTATTATGCATGGTATACTGTACAAGTAGTCCTTGTACCATTCATTTGGAAAATGTTCAAAGTTACAGTGGCACCAGCACTTATGATCATCAAGCATCCGCATGGTCATGTGATCAAAATTCAGGCCCTTGGCAATCATCATGTTTTCATAACAGCTGCAGCATCCCACAGTCATGTGATTGCCATTTGCGAGGGTCCCATTTGGCTTGCGACAAGCAAAGAAAATGGGGGAAGCCAGATTTGCTTAATTGTAAAGTTTATTGTCATTGTATGTATGTATGTATATACACAGTACACCCATACAACGAAATTCACATAACACCCAGAGACCAAGCCCAACACACATGACAATCCCCAGACACCCACCCACCCACCAAAAATTCCCCACCCCTAAACCACCCAAGCGTCCACACAACAGACCAAGTAATGCTGTCCAACAGCTCACTGATGTTGGCCCTTTAGTTCATTGTTGAGTGCAATTATAGCTCTGGGATAAAAACTATTCAGAAGACGTGTGGTCCGAGTTTTAACTTTGGCAAAAAAGGGCATAAAATTGGGTGAGCCTCATTTAACAGCTACCTTACTTAGCAATGGAAATTCTGGTCCCAATATTGGTTGCAAATCAAAGACTATCTGTAACTTATTCTCTGTTCATGGTTAAATTGCAAATTGCCAGGAGACCATGTGAAGTCAGCATTATACAATAATGCATGGAGACATTTTGTTCCATGGTAACAAAAATTGTGGAAAAGAACAATAAAAAAGGATAATAAGAATGTCAAAAGAGAGGCCCAGAATCTTAAGACTGAGATGGCATCGAAATGATGCTAAATAAATAAAAAACATAAAATAGGAAAAAAGATGCCAGTCAAGGAAGACTAAAAAGCATGTAAGCATTGTTGGATAAACTTGCTATCAGAACACGATCCTTGCATTATTTTATTTTATTTCTTTTTTGTACACAAGATCCTGTCTCAAATCACATGAAAGGCTTTTCTAGCATGAAACTCGCTAATTATCAAAAGGGAAGCCAATAAAAAATTTACTGATTCTGGATAACCAAGAACAAGTGATGGAAAAAAGAAAAACAATAAAGCCTTAAAATAAACCAACTACTGTACTCCTAAATAAATGGGGGAAAAAAACATGCAAATTGTACTCTTTGCGGACACAGCAAACATAATAATTATCTATGTAGGTCAACATCCAACCAGATCAGCACACTGAGCTCTCTAGCTTATAATTTATTTACTCTTTTAAAGACCAAATGCAAATACACACATACACACACACACACACACATGCCTGCATGTATGTATATGTACATGGTGTATGTATGTATATGTGTATATACATAAAACTGAAACTGTTTACTGTTAAAACAATATAGTTTATTTTTCCTTTTCTCTATTGTACTTTTTACATTGTACTTTCTATTGTACTTTAAAGCACTTGTTTTCCTTTTTTTCTATGATAATATATGTATTTTTATCATGATTATCTCTTCGTTTTGTTCCTTTTTAATTTTTCTGTTATTTAAAAGCAACAAATAAATAAATAAGACCTGAAAACTGTAACTTTAAGTTAAAACTCATTAATATTAATGTCACTGTGTGTAATGTTTTATATGTACTTAAGTGGATGGTATTCTTAAAATTTCCCACCACAGAAATAAAGCAAGTCATAATATTTGAAAGTAGGAATCAGTTTCTAAATCCCAGAAATGCACTGAAGCATTGGATGACATAATAGCTTGTTAATCCACTTTTAGCATCAATGGCTAGGCAGGTTTCCTCATGGAAGACCACACAGTTGTACACAGAATTTTCTATTTCTAAATGGACCTCAACTGTTCTACATTATTCCTGCCCAAATATTACATAAACAAACTGCATTTTGTAATAACACACCTCACTGCTCAAAGAATGACTAAAATACAAGAAACCCCACTCCCCTGCAAAATTTAGCTACTTTTCAGTTCCTTTGTTTGTGTCCTTAATGCTGAAAGAAGAAGATTAAAGGAAAACCATAGTGTATTCAGTTGCATATGTGAAGGAATCAACCTAAGTAGAAAGTAGGACTTACATGTTATCTCTACCATTCTCTCACCAGCTGGAAGTCTGAAGGAGAACATGAATGTATTTGTTTGAATGGAAGTATAGTCCCCTGTGTGCTCCAGGGCCCTACTTTATTGTAGTCCTCAACTATAAAAATGGATCTGTTTACATTCAGGCCATAGGCAGCAAATGTCTTTTTCGACCTCTAGCATAACTCACGGAAGACAGAAAATGTCCCTTTAAGCAGATCTCAACCTAGAAAAAGTTGAATGCCTTGCTCTGATGCATTAACCAGACACAAACTCCAAAAACCCAGGAGAAATCAATAGACACCATTATCACCATTGGATAACTGATAATATTCATACAAGAGGGCGATCTAGCAACTTTCTACCAAATATAGAGCACCTGGGGTCATCTCTTAATCCAGGGGTGTCAAACTTTATTTCATTGAGGGTTGCATCAGGGTTGTGTTTAACCTGGGGGGGGCTGGGTATGGTCAGGGTGGGCGTGACCAGTTTGACGTCACTCGTGATGGGGTGCCTATGGCAGCCTGAGTGCTCTGCCAGCAAAAATGGGCTCCCAATCTCTGTTTTCGGCTGGGACGGCCTCCTGCAACTCTCTGGTAGGGAAAACAGAGCTTGGGAGGGCGACCCTCATGAGCTCTGTTTTCATTGGCAGATGCACCGTGGACCGGTCCGTCACTGTTTCCAGGGTGGCCCCCACCGGCCAGATTTAAGCACCTTGTGGGCTAGATCTGGCCCGTGGGCCTTGAGTTTGACACCCCTGTCTTAATCTATGTACAATCTGAAATTGTATTCTGCAACTAAGTGAAACACAGTGTCAACTTCTTAGCTTCTCAACTAACAGAAGTAGTCTGTGCTAAGAGCCCAGACAATTTGATGGCCTAGTCTTCTTTTATGTCTCCAACCAGTAAGCAAAGGCTACACAGTATTGTAATAAATCCCATTAAGGCAGATAAACTTTGCATGTAACAGGCGAAACTTTTAATATGGTTAGTAATTATCAAATGTTTATCAGAAAATAATTTTTTATACTAAGAAGTAGAGAAGATAAACAAAAGCGGAAAAAACCACTACTTGTATGACTGTTTTTTGTATATGTAGACACTTTTTTTCACTGTGCTCCTTGACTTTTATTAGTAGAGCTTGGAGATCCTTGTGTTTTCAGCTAGCAGTGTAGTGTCATCAGCATAGTCTGGGTTACTGGCACTTCTTCCAATTTTCAAAACCACACTCATCTTCTTCTGCTCCAGCTTCCCTTAATATATATTCCTCATATAGGTCAAAAAATAAAGGGAAAATAAACAATCTTGCCTCATCCTTTGCCGACCTGGAACCAGTCTGTTTCACCATTTTCTGTTTATACCATGGCTTCCTGACCTGACTTGTGTATATAGGAGGACATATGCATGAGGACAGTGAGATTTCCACTTTTCTAAGCCCATTTCCGAACTTAACATGATTGACACAATCAAAGGCTTCTCCATAGTCAATGAAGAAGCATATACTGACTAATTTTTGGTATCCTTCGGCTTTCTCAATTATTTAGCATGCATCAGCAATAACATCATGTGTTTCTTAGCCTTTTTAAACATCAGCTTTCCATGTAGGGTTCTCTGTACGATATTTTACACACTCTGCTAAGTCTCCTTTCTTTGATACTGATATGTAGATTGACCTCTTCCAACCTACTGGCCATTGTATTATTCTCCAGATTTGTTGGCACAGTTTGATTAGAACCCTTATATATTCTTCTTCTATTGCTTGCCATAGCTAGTTTCTATATCTAGTTTGTCAATTCCTGTAGCCCTACAACTTGGTAATCATCCGCATAGTGATCTAACTTTGGTACCAGAGATCATGGTCTCAGAAGGTCTGCTTTGAGGAGAAATGTTTGTGCTGACCAGTGTTAATGAAGCTTTATCTTGTAATTGACTTAGATAGATATAAGTGGTTTAGCACAGTGTTTCAACTTTTCTGGCTTGGTGGACAGGTGGTGGGAGAAGGATGGTTCTGTGTGTGAGCATCTGCCACTTGCACAAATGGAGCTTCATGTGCGAGTGCCAGCATTCACAAAAGTGGATATGCGTGTGCATGTGTGAATGCCCACTGCTTGCACAGCCCAGTTCTGAATGACCCATGACCCCGTAGTGGGATCCCTCATTTAGCAGGACTGATTTAGCAGGCAACCTAGCAGTGTAAGCTTCACCTTTCTATGCTAGTCTAACCTTGCATGAAAGCATGTCCATTTCTCTCTACCTCTAAAATTGTAAAATGGAATCTTAGAAGCATATCAAATTCTCTCTATTATATCTTAAACCAAAAAAATAATAATCAAAGGTTATTTTTTATTTCTTGCTCACCCCCTCCTTTTTTCCCTGACTTTCCCTAATCTTTTCTCCTCCTTTAATTATTCATATTTCTTTCTCCCTTCTGAGCCAAGTCTCTATTCATTCACAATTTATTAGGTTTTACCTTAAAGATAAAATATCGATATTGTTTTTATGGTTTTGTTTTACCAACCTGGTATCTTCCTGTCACAGAATAAAAATAATTTCTTGTTTTCTAAATTTTGGCTGTTGGGGTAAAGGAGGTTGCATAGTGACATGGCAAAATTGATTGTTCCTTACACATACTTTTTGGGCACTGCTGACTTGATTGAGTTACGCTGGATTTCAGGGGCTCCTAGCAACAATGATAAAAGAGATACGAGACTCTTTCTTTCTTGTTTTTCCTGTAGTTACTAATGCAATCCATTTCGGCAATATATATTCTATTTTTCTACTCGACAATCATATCTTTAGCTGTAAGGCTTTTATATTATAAATTATGCAAATCATCATTATTCACTTACATATGACCATGACAAAGTAGACAAAGCAAGGAACAAAAATGATGCAAGCTGAATCAAAATTGGACACAAAGATTTTGCACAGTCATATGACGCTGACAAATGAAACCAAAAGTCTGGAATCTCCCACACTGAAAAATGTCTTGAAAAATAGGCAAATTATATGCAAATTGGATGCCAGTCATTTCAGGTGTCAATGTCTCTGTGCTGGCAGTTCAGAGCAACACTCTCATCTGATGTGGATGATAAATTAAACAATAAAGTCATTTAAAATCTTTTTCAGAAGAGTAATCTTATGGAAATCATAGAATCTGCGATTATATTTTCATCAAGTATTGTTCCCTGTTTGGTAGAAAGAATAAAATAGAATAGAACAGATCTATGGAATGTTAGATCTGTTAGAATACTTCTATCTGTAAACATATCCCAGAATCTTGAATTAGAAAGGCCATTGATAGCTACTATATCAGCTGCCTAAATAAATCTTTCATCTTCTTTATAGAAGTAGATATTCCCTTGGTTTTCTTTTCCAGTCTCTTTCAACAGCTGTTTAGCTGGGTAGCACAAGTTAATCAGACTTTTCTGCAGAAAGCTCTTCTTGAGCTTACTTTCCCCACAGCTTCATTAAGGCACCTCCACTGTCAGCTGTTAGGGAAATTTTAAAGACCTGATGATTTTCCCGAGGCTTATCTTCAATGGGTTCTATTAACCTGCTCTAGAATTCAAACATAATTGAATTTAAAGTAAACCCACATTTTAGCAGAATTATTTTATTAAATCAAAACATTTATATAGCCACCATCTTAAAACAATTCTGGGCAGCTTGCAATCAATAAAATCATGTAAAGCCAACAACAACAAACTAAAAACAAACAGAACCCCCCCCACCCCAGATCTTGTCATCAAGCCACACCTCCCTGGTGCATCCATATTCTAATCCTACCCAGACCTCACTCTATCCCAAAGCCTGGGGAAAGAGCCAAGTTTTAAGCACTCTAGGCAAAGACAGAAACTGAGACCTGTTAGATGTTAGCAGGGAAAATGTTCCATAAAGCATGGGCTGAAATGGAAAAGGCATACTGCCAAGGTCTCACAAGCTGGCAATGTTTAAGGGAAAGGAACTGGGATGTTCCTATCCAATTCACTCTGGTGGTACAGAAAGATAGCCTTAGAGAGAGTGACAGTCCCTCAGATTACTTGGTCCCACACAATGTGGGATTTAAAAAAAAAGTACCTAGCATCTTGAATTGTACCCAGAAGAAAACAGGGAGTTGGTGCAGCTTTTGATAGGGGTGCAATGTACCACTACATGCACCATTGCATTTTGGACCAATTGTAACTTCTTCAAGGGGAGTCTCATGCAGAACACTTTGCAGTAATCCAAATGGATTGAAGTTTAATCCAAAATTTTCTTTTATAAACTGAAAGCAAGGCTCTGTGCACTTTGAAAATGAAAGCATTAAACAAAAATTAGTACCATCTTTTTCACACAATAGCTTAAAAAAATTTTTAGGCCATTTTAATGAAAAACAGAAAATCGGAATTTATGTACAAGTATAGGAACACTTTTTCAGAAGGGTTTTCTGATAAGAACAAATGCTACAGAAAGAGTATCTATTAAAAAAAAGAGAGTTTTCACTCATGGAAGGAGATATATACTCACAGAAGGGTTTCTTCCATGAATAAAATAGCACTGTGTGAATTTCCTTCTGCTCACAAAGACAAAAAAAAAAAAACTTCTAAAAGAATGTGTTTTGATGATTAGAGTTCTAGCCCCTACCAAGCAAAAATGTTAAATGCATGAGAACATACATTCAGGGAATAAAACACTCACCCTGGTTTTGGCATCGATCTGCCCTCCACGATCCAACAAGAGCTTCACCATGTTAGTGTTCCCCCTTTTGGAAGCCACATGCAGTGGGGTGATCCCATTCTACACCATGAAAAGAACAAACAAAAGCATGATGGGGTTGGAGACGTTCAATGGGAATGGTTTTGCATTATGACACAAAACAGTACAGAATATAAACACAGATGTATCACAGAGTACATTAAACATTTAAAAACAATTATATCTGATTCATAAAGGCTGCTAATGAAAACTCGACTCTAGGTATATAGTATGTCTACCTAAACATGACACAACATAAATGTTGTTATATTTCTGATAGAGATGTGTATTAGAAACGTAACATTTATGTTGTGTCGTATTTAGCATTTCATTAGAATGAACAGGTGATTGATAAAAGTAAAAAGACTCTCAAGTTGTTTGTATCATTGCTCAGATCACGGCGATGATATGAACCGATCTGGATAGTTTTCTAAGCAATGTGACAGAAGTGATTGGCACTGCTTGCTTGCTTGGTTAGAAAAAATGTTGGATCCAAGCATTCTGAATGAAGGTTTATAAAAGAATATATTTTGATGATCAGAGTTCTAATCCCTAGCCCTGGGATTTCCTTATACCTTCCCATCAAGTCCAACCAGGCCCAACCCTTTTTAGCTTTTTTGCAAGATCAATTGAGGTCATTCAACATCCTCCTCCTTTATTACAGTGTATGACTAAAACAAGATAATTTTAAATAAACTAAACATTATAAAATAGTGTTAAAAAGAATTTACTCTACAATCTACTTCTTTCTGGATAAGCCATGTTATGAATAAGGCACACAACTTAACAATTAAGAAGGTATAGGGTTTCCTGCTAGAGCAGGAAGTTGGACTAGTAGACCTTCAAGGTCACTTCCAATACTGTTATTCTGTTATTATTTAAAATAAAATTTAATCAGGATAGCCGGACAACCTTTTCCATTAGAGGGAAAAATCACTGAAGCATGAACTATGAGCGTACAACTTTGAAAAACATTATCAAAGGTTTGTTAGATGTCTAAGTGTTACAGGGTTTCCTTTATTTCTGCCATTCATGACTGCGGAAGGGAGGCATTCAAACATACCCTGGAGAAATGGGTGTAGGATAACCTAAATAAATAATGTGCAGGTTGTTAATGATGCCACCTGCTAGCATTTCACCTATTTTCAAGTCTTTTGAGAGACATCTCTATCTAGTTACCTCCCCATCCCCTCAGATCCAACAGGACGGTTGATCCCATCCCCAAGGAGGTTACCCAGAAGGAAAGCATTTTCTCCTATTATCTGAAGCCTGAACCCTATTGTCTGTTTGGAAGGCCCTTAAAATATTATTTTGTCATCAAGGCTGAGATTCCAAGAAATATGGAGTCCACTGAATGATATTGTTTGTAAGTTTGGAATGCATTCCCCTATAGTTTTTATTTTAGGTTAGCTTTAGCTGTTTTAATTGTATTTTAATTGTTGTTTTAATTGTTTTGGGTTTTTATTGTTGTTGTTGTTTCAATTGTGTGTACCTCCCAGAGCCACAAGCATTAGAAGGGGAGCTACATAAACTTAATAATAAAATAATAATAATAATTCTTGAGAACTGGAAAAGGATGATAATTGTGTCATTTAAGTGTGTATTCAGATTAATTAGATGTGCAAAGAAATAATAGCATTTAGCATTAAGGCTTAGAGTACATTTGATTAAATGTAATAAAAGCAATGATATATCTCCATGTGTTTCCTTTGGTTCATGCAAGTAAACACATGATTATTACATGTGCTTTTAAATATATGCTTTTACATACTCTTTTAAATATACATTTGGATATTGCAGTGCACTCCTATTTAAAAGTTTGAAAGATCAAAACATCAAAAGTTTTGCTGCAGGCATACACAAACAAACAATATGAAAGACAAAATGACCTTCAAAGCTATATTCATATTCTATCAAATACCTATATACGCAAAAACAGTGAAGCCAATTATCATAACAAATTATTTGCATTAAAACATCTTAAAGAGGTCTGAAGATTTTGCTTCATTTCCTATTCATGAATAGTAGGTAAGGGTTTAGCATGATGGTAGGAAATAGAAGGAAAAAAAATATTAAAAAGCACTTTAAATATATGAAGAAAACCAATCCTAACATGATATAGAAATTAAGCAGGGGAAAAACATTTGAGCTGAGCCCATGCAACTATCAGACAGTTAATAATAGCTGCTCTGTGAAGGATATATAAGTAGTGTCTAAATATGACAAATAAATAAAATAGTTAGATGGTGAGTTATGAGATGTTCAAAATTAACAGCACAACCCTGTGTATACTGTATCTACTCCAAAATTAATCCTACTGAATCAAATAAAATTTATGTGTAAGAATATGTAGGATGCAGGTGACTTCCTGCTGAAAAGCTGTATTGTTGTTCTTGTTTTTTAAAAAGTAAGATTTTATTTGCACGATTTCAAGAATTAGACAAAGTAGAAATGAGTACACATTTGTAACTATATAAATATTTATCCAGCTTGTTCAAAATATTTCTAAATTTATTTGAGGATATTATTCTTTAAAAAACCAATATCTATTTTAAAAAATACAAACCAGTTTATCAAGAATAATTAAAACATCTTGGTCATCACAGAAATATAATTCAATGATTCCTAAAACCTGCTGCAATAGGAATATGTTTATTCTTGCTGAAATAAGAGTTAGTTTGGTGTACTAATGAGGTGAATTTGATCATCATGAAATGATTCATAGAGATAAATGGATTCAATTGTTTTCCTCAAAATATAGCATTCTAGATAAAGATAAGCTTTAGTGGATTTAGATCTTATGCTGATGTAAAACAAACCAATCACTGTATAGTGAGAACAAAATAAATTATGAAGTGACAGTAACATGACCCTAAAGAAGTAATATGATCCATATGAATATCTATGTGGGAAAAATGGCTTAATAAAGCTAACTTTCCCAATTTACTATCTTGAGATAATTGCTATAGCCATGATGATACGTGGGAAAGACCTTGGGAGACTGGGACACCGCTAGATTCTATCAACGTAGCTTTACAATAAAGTAGAATTAATTTGTCTGGTTGTGATTCAAAGATAATCTCTCAACTCTGAAAGTGCAATCCTCCCATCCCTGCCTGCTTTAGAGGCAGAGACACTATGGAAGGTGTCTTCTAAGCCTCCTGCCCTGCTCATTATCCAGTTGTGGGCAATACTGACTCTTATCTGACCATTCCCTTGGTATGATGCCTTGGCCAAGTCCTCCTAAGGTCTTTCCCCACATATTCTCCTAGTTCTGCTTCAAATAGGTCTGTAACTAGGTCTGTAACTAGGTCTAGTTCTAGTGTCTGTAAAAATTTAAAGGAAGCTTTCATAAGAGAAAGTCTGCTTCCATCTTCATCTGTCAGCGATATGGGTGGAACAAGCAATACTTTGATGATTGAGAGAAAGTAGCAGGTGCGTTAAAATCTGTCGAAGTAAGCATGCTATAGATCAGTGATGGCTAACTTTTTCCGGACCAAGTGCCCAAAGCGCGCATATGTGAATGCATGTGCGTGCGCCTGAACCCCCAAATGCAATGTGTGTATGGCCCCTGCGCATGCGCTCTGCGGCCCCTGCATGCCCCCCACACCCTACACATGTGCCCGCACCCCCTGCACACGCCCCCCCCCTGTGCATGCACACTTGCCCCCCCCACACTTGCCCCACCTCCTGCGCATGTGCGGCAGAGACCCAAAGACCAGCTGGCTGGCGGGAGGTATGCGCACATGTGCAGCAGAGCTGAACTGGGGAGACGGCTCATGTGCCATCAGAGAGGACGCTGTGTGCCACCTCTGGCAACATGCTATTGGTTCGCCATCACAGCTATAGATTAATAAAGCTTTTGGTTTTGCTACCATACATTTTTTCTCAGATGCCCAATTCATAGCAATTCTTAAATTGCTCAGTTAAAATGAAGCAATATACATATTATATCAATAAAGGTAATCTTCGACTTTGTTTAGTGATTGTTCAAAGTTACAATGGCACTGAAAAAAAAGTGACTTATGACTGTTTTTCACACGACTGTTGCAGCATCCCTGTGGTCATATGATCAAAATTTGGACACTTGGCAACTGACTTATATTTATGATGGTTGCAGTGTCCGGGGGGTGTGTGTCATGTGATGACCTTTGTGACCTTTAGACAAGTATAGTCAATGGGGAAGTGAGATTCAGTTAATAACTTTGTTACTAACTTAACTGCAGTAATTCACTTAACAACTGTGATAAAAAAGGTTGTAAAATGGGGCAAACCTCGTTTAACAATTGTCTCGCTTAGCAACATAAACTTTGGGCTCAATTGTGATCATAAGTTGAGAATTACCCATATTAGATATATTTTTTGTTCATGTATAGTGGTACCTGTAAAAATATAATGAATGCATTACAGTCAACTATTTTCTAACTATGAAATATGATATTATTTCTAAAGGAAAGGGGGATGAAGAATCATTGCCTTTAAATAAACAAATCTGTGAATAGATTTACTGCTTCCTTTCCTTCCTTATTTCCTTTCCTTCCTTATTTCCTCCCTTGTTTTCTTCTTTACTTTTCAATATATTTAATGAAAATTTCCTTGAAAATTCACTTGTTATTTCTATGTGCAGAAGATGAGAACACATACCCTTGCTGTGAAGTCTACAACAGCTCCTCGGTTGAGTAGAAGTGTTGCTACATTAACATTTCCATAATGTGCCGCTATGTGCAAAGGTGTGAAGCCACTCTGCAAAAATAAAACAGTCTTAATTAGAAAATCCAGTTCTTTTTTTTTTCTACAAGACAATGGTTAACTAAAATTTGAACACTATAAACCAGAATTACTCTCCTACTTCTGGACTATTCTAATTGTACAAGAATTAAATGTTATGGTTTCTTATTTGCTCATTTCATTATTTATTCATTTTTCTTAGTTCAGATGCAAAACTCATTTTCTCTGTCTTTGGAGAAAAAATTAATTTTTTATACTTCTTATCAAGTACCGTATACTACTGGCATGCTACTTGTTGACTCTCCATATAATTTAGAAAGTGAGGGATGTTGCTAACAAAATATGGATCCAAGAGTTGATAAACTATAGATGTCCATGCTTAGCTAGCCATCTTCTCTCGCAAATTTCCATAGTTGTCTACAGAAAGCAGCTCTGTAAAATTAAGAGTTAGCTTCTGTAAAGTGCTTTCAACATCCAATTGTGGACATTTTTATCATTTTTTTCTTTAAGAAAATAGAATCTGAGCTCTGCTGAGCTGGGAATACTTTTAAATTGGAACAGAGTTCCACTGATTTCAGTATATTAAATTACCCAGCACTTGAAAACATAATAAATTATGAAGAGGGAAAGAATCTCGAAAATTTAAAAATGCCATTTGCAAGCAGCAAACAATCCAAACCAATTGTCCAGATGAATATTTTGGAATGGATTTACACTGCTACAGAAAATTCATGTTATAGGCAATTGTTCTGTACTTAATAATTCCTCTGCAGGCCCACTATTTTAGTTCCCTACTCTACTATGAAAAACAAATACAAAAATCTTGAGCATCTCAAAGCCAAAAAACGAAGCAAAATAAAATAAAAAAGATGAGACAGTATATATTTCTGCCAAGAGTACATAAAAATGAAATGTGATACACTGTATGGAATGGTGGTGGCGATGGAGGGATCATGAAATGATTTTCAGTAAAGGCCTGGCAAGAATAGGTTAACAAAACTGTTGGTTTTGGTACCTCAGTTGTTCTATTCACCATCATCTGTTGAAGCGTGTTTTGGAAAAAAGAGGAAAGATATTACAGATTGGTAGAATGACAGAAAGCTCACTTGTTCACTAAAATGAATTACAATCTTGTTACTGGGGAAAAACTCCTATACGCATGATTAATTTCTAATGTCAGTGTATGGAATATCACATTTCCATGGATTACACAGCCCAGAACCTACTTAACAACAACACTTTTTAACAGTTGTTTTCTCCCTAGTAAATAATCAAAAGTCTAAATTTTATATTTCAGAATCTAAACCACAGTATTAATTGGATTACATTTTCAAAGATAGAAAGTGCTGAAAAACCGCAGGTAATCAAAACAAGAAAAAGGAATCTGAATAATGAATTATGCCTTTAAATCCATATCGTCTTGCAGCTGTAAGAAAAAAGGGAAGGTTTGTTGCAGTGGTGGGTTTCTACCGGTTCTACCTGGTTCGGGCAAACCGGTAGTGGTGGGTGGGTCCTGGATGTCATCACGGGTGCTCTGCACATGTGCAGAACACACCGAATCAAGCGAGCGCACACACACTCACATTTGCAAACCGGTAACAAAGGTAAGTGAAACCCACTACTGGTTTGCTGGATATATCAGATTCAGCATCCATGTTAGTAACTTTTATAGTGCTGTATGCTTATTATCCACATTAAGATATAAATATGCTGTAAACCATAAATTAATAAATATATGAATCATACAAAAGCTGCAAATAGTTGCACTTCCAATGTCAGTGGTAAAAAAGCAGTCCTTTATCTTGCTCATTGGGGGAAAAATAAATCCTTGGAAACATCCTATTTTTGATACCATCCTGGAAAAAAGAGGTAATTTTGTACCTTAGACTGAACATCAGCATTATGATCATTCTGGAGAAGAAGTGCTGCTGATTTTGTGTCATCTTTTCTGGCAGCAATATGCAGTGCCGGCAGTCGCACTTTCCCCTTAGTGTCATTCTCCAAAAGAATAGCCACTGCCTGATTGTGTCCTTGCTGCAATGCAACTGCTAGTGGAGTGAACCCATCCTGTTAGAAGGGAAAGAAAAGAGATGCTGCATTAAACTAGTTTGATGCTATCTAGACATGACTACAGGAACCAGGAGCACTACTCAGGTGACCCTAAGGACACAGATAAACCTCCAAGTGCTTCAACGACCCTCTAAAAGGATGCAGATGACCAGCTGTCTGCAAGGAATATAAATCCTTCCTTCCCCACCATCCAGTCAGAGCTGAAGAAGCTTCTTGGATGAAGAAACGTCTTAAAAAGAAAAAAATATCAAAGTCCAGTTGCCTCCTGAAAAAGCACCTTTGGGAAAACCATGATCTGGATCACTGAGAATCTCTACAGACTTTTATCTAGGCATGACTTTGGAAGAAAAGTCTCAAGTTCCATTCAGTGGAATAGGCTTGCTTACAGCTACCACAAATCAAAGTTGACTTACCACTGAGGCAGTGGTGGGATTCAAAAGTTTTTACTACTGGTTCTATGGGCGTGGCTTGGTGGCGTGGCATGGCTTGGTGGGCATGGCAGGGGAAGAATACTGTAAAATCTCCATTCCCATCCCACTCCAGGGGAAGGATACTGCAAAATCCCCATTTCCCGAGCTGGGATTCGGGAGGCAGACAATAGATGGGGCAGAGAATATAAGAAAACATGGACATGTTGAATTCATGCAACACATAAAAGGAAACATTAAGAAAATGCTGACGCCAAAGTGCCTTGTGGAGTTCTTTAAAATGATAAAGAAGAGTGCAGATAATCTCTCATCTTCAGATGTGTTTGTTTCCTCTGGGAATATTCTGGGAACAGAATATTAAAGACCTAGGAACTATGTGCAAACACTGAAACCTACAAGGTGGGATCAGAAACAGAAACATGACAGAAGCAGTATCATGATGCAATCCCCAGCCTTTTTGAATGTGTATTGATGCAATTACAAAAAGAATAGGGATTGAATTGCAATGCTGCTTTGACTACCTGTAACTTGCCTTTTTTGATATAACACACATCCCAGCAAGTGCCACTATGTGCAAAGCCTTCTCACATTTAAAATAAATTACAATCTAACAAAAAAGAAGTGTTACAACAACCAAAAGCTAACAATGGATTCCTGGTTTGGGCCACCATTTTGGTCGGTTTGGTTGGTATGGCCCAGCAAGCACCAGTATGTGTAAATCTTCCCTTAGGCTGCCATTCAAAACAAACTGCAATACAGCGAAAGAAGTTTTAGGACAACAGAAGCTAATAATGAACTGTTGGTTTGGGGTTATATACTTTCTTCTGTTTAAAAAAGACAGGAAGTGAAATAGTTTCATTCCAAATCTAGAAACACTCAGTAATAAAGTAGGTGGTTTTCGAATTAACAAATAAAAAGTGTTATCAATCTCATCCTGTTCCATGTATTCACTTAAAATAGAATAATGCAACTGTTACTCATTCCTAACATAATATGAGCGCACTATCAATTTCAGATCCTCCCAAGAAATGAATTAATGTACGTGGGGAGATAACTATGCAATATGTTATCATCATCACCATCATCAAACAGAGAAATGTAGGCACCAAGATCATCTAGTGATTCATTCATTTGCCCTGTTGTTTCTGTCCAGTTGCTTAGTAACCACACGATGTTTCATATCCAGCAAAATTGCAATGGGAACATGGCTTCTGTCCATCCCAGCAACAAAAAGCTGCAATGTAACATGACCTCAATCCGTTCCAGCAGCAGAAAGGTTTATTTTAAAAGCCACTGTCAAATGGAACAGTATCCACCCAATGAAAGGATAGTAAAACAGCTGTTAACAAAGGCAAACTTGGCTCCTCTATTAAATACTGTACTATCTTGGATACCCTGCAGTGGGATTACTGCATACCAAGAAAGGTGACAAATTAAGAAATTGACAAGAGATTGTTTCACATTACACAAATGCTAAAGGTAGAAGATTGTTTTGTAAATAAATTTATTCATGAATGAGCACTTTTGCAATGTTAAATGTTATCATTGCACTTCAGTATCAAAACAGTTGGGAAATATTTAACCTAGAAGTTTGGAAGGCAGAGTCCTCGGAGAGTGGGTGGCATAGAAATATGACTAATAAATAATGAAAACGAGGTAGTTTGCAAAGGCAGAAATATATATAGGAGTTTTAAACTAAAGTTACCATATTTATCTTTGTCTTAATCATGATTTTAATTGCTTTGGCATACATGTACTCCTTGACTTACAACAGTTCATTTAGAGAGCTTTTGAAGTTACAAGAGGATTGAAAAAAGAGATTTATGACCATTTTTCACACTTATGACTATTGCAGCATTCTCATGGTCACATGATTAAAATTCAAATGCTTGGCAACTGACTCATATTTATGATCTTTGAAGTATCCTGGGATCACGTGATCACCTTCTGTGATCTTCTGACAAGCAAAGTCAATGGGGAAGCCAGATTCACTTAATACCGTTGTTACTAATTTAACAATTTCAGAGACTCACATAACAACTTTGGCATGAAAAGGCATAAAATGGGGCAAAACTCGCTTCACAAATGTTTCATTCAACAACAGAAATGTTGGGCTTAATTGTGGTCATAAGTCGAGGACCAGCTATACCATTTTCTCTACTTTTGATAATGCTTACTCTGAAAGAGAACTGACTGTTGGGTATGGTTTGTGTTTTCAGAAAACCAGGATAAAGTCGGAACCATGATTTTAAAGAAAAGGACAAGCAGAAGAGGAGGAGGAAGATCTGAATACTGTACCTCAGTAGCAGTGCTCTGATTGGCTCCATTTTCCAAAAGATATTTTACTACATCGATATGGTTCTCCTGTGCTGCCATGTAGAGAGGTGTGAAGCCATTCTAAGGGAAAATAGTAACATGTAAACCATAAATATTAAAAGCCAAAGCAAATTACACACAAAATAATGTGATTCATGAAGCAAGCTCAAGTAAAATCAAAAGGAAAAACAAACAAAACATTCCACTGAACAACTCAATTCTAAGAAATATCAGGTGCTTTCAAAACCTTCTTTTGGCAAAACTATTTTAAAGCTTGTACCTTTTTAAACATTTAATTTATTAAAGTAAATATCTTGTGAGCCCTATTAAATATGTATTAAGCATGAAACATAAGATTGTAGTGATTTAGAGACTTTATGTGGTTTTGTAAAGCTTAAGATACCCTTCAGATTCTTTATGCAGCACTTAAGTTAATTTAGCATATACCGCAAGAAATAGGATTTTCAAATAAATAATATAAAAGTTACAATATTTATGAAGAAAAGAAGAAATCTATTATTTATTGCTGGTGTTTTAATTAAAAGTAACTCACTGTCCAACATAGAACAGTGACCTTAATCATGGAAGATTTATGGGCTGGAACAATATATATTCCATGACACTTTAATATAAGGAAAAACTGTTTTGATTATAACAGGGCTGCAAAAGAACTTTTACAACTTAATATCCTAACCAGGAGTCAAAAATGTGAACTCAGGACTTAAGGGGAAGGCAAGTTTCATATTTTCAAGGAATGCTTTGAAGAATAATACAATTCATCCTAACTATCAGATTTAATTCTTATAATGCCACAGTTTACAAAATAGAGTTGTGAGCAGGCTATTAACAGAGTCAAATAAAACATGTGTTGCTTTCATTTTATGTATATCTTTGAAAATGACACTGAAGCTTCTCATTAATTAAAAATAGAAACTAAGTAACTTTCATTCTTTTTGTTTAATTCATCCAAGAATAAAACCCAAAGCAATATATGCAACAGACATTTTATTGGTTTTGAGACATCTCATTAAGTTATATAGATGCAGTACTATGTATATTTTAATATATTTTTATTAAAATGTGAATATCGTTTTTCAATTATTCACTGTGTACAGAGCATATAACATCAGAATTCAGAACAGCTTGATGGATTTTGTATTATGGTTTTTGAACACTAAATCTTGCTATTTTTGTTTCAGGATTATTATATAGTTCTTCACTTCTGTTTTGAGGTCAGCATGCATTTCCTGGAAATGCATAACATTATGGTAATAAAAATGCATCATTAAATGAATTCTGTTTGTCATGCCATTTCATTTTAGCTCAATTTTTAAAAAAACCCTCAACCAGTCATAGCATGTGATATCAAGTGCAACTTTAGTGCACCATGAAGTCACAGGTTTGCACAGACATTCATTTTAATATATAAAATATCAATCAAAAACAAAGAAAATGTATTTGCCAACCAAACTGGAGTTCAAACAGTTTCAAATATGATAACACAGTCCAAAATCTATTCAAAACAACTACCAGATTCTGAGCAGCACATCTCAACCGTTAAGTTCGAAGTACATAGAACCAAACCAACCACATTATTTCTGTAAATAAAATGTCTTCCATTCCCTGCAGAATTTTTTTTTATTTAAAAGCTAATCTTTTATTTTAAAACATAATGAGTTCTGCATAATTGTACATATAATATCTAACTACAAATTCTAATTTTGCACCAGGAAACCATTTTAATGCAATCAGTTATGAGTAGAACACAGGTATATCTTCATCCTAAGTAATAGCCACATTTGAATAAGGCCACGTATCTGAGACTACCGAGTTGCTTGGCCCTGTATGAATTACATATCTCTTAAAAGGACTATGGAAACTGATAATATCCCCACATTTAAGTACTAAAAAAACCCAAAAATTCTCAGCCTAGAATATGAAAGAATGTAATTCACTTATAACTACTGCTATCTCTGAATTCTCAAATTATTGATTTGAAAAATATATATATACATTTTTGGAATGCTTAACTGTTAACAAAAGTAATCAAAAGAAATTGCAATGATTTACTATTAAATCAGTAGGCAGTAAATTCCAAAACCAAGCTACCTTTTCCTGTTGATTTCTTCCTAACATAGATCTGCAATAAATTTCAGTTGCAAAGGTGTAATAATGTTCTACAATGCCTGCCATTTAATGTCTGAGTCAGACTATCATCATTTTCTGAATCAACTGTATGTGGATCAAAATTCAAAAATTGAACATCTGTTATAATGACTGCAAGCAGTGCCTAGAACATTAAGTGCTACCAATAACTGAGCTGAAAAAATGGAATAATCATTTAATCTGGGAAAGATCTGTTTGCTTTTTTATGCAATTACAATTCAATTTTTTCTTTAAAATGCATTTTAAAGTTAATTGAAACTTGCATTTCTTTTTCATTTTCTAATTACTAATTTTTGTTTACTGTATGCCAAAATCAATATATATATGTAACCCTACTTTCAGTTTAGAAGCTGTAGGGGTTTGCTGATGACAAGTTAAAGAGCTTGTCGAAACGCTGCCAAAAAGAAAACTTTTAAAATGTTGGTTAGGATTTTAGCCAGAGTTTCAAAAGACCTTACAAAGTGTTTTGTTGGATTTTGGAGGATCTTAAGCTGGGATCGGGTTTCTCCCACGTAAAATTGGAGGTTTCTTGGCAACGTTTCGACGAAGTCTCATTCGTCATCTTCAGGCTGGTGTCTTCGGCTTCGTGCTTCTAGGAGCAATGTGTGTGATCGCAGCTGTTTCTTCCTTTTAACTGCCAGTGGGGGTGTGAACTGATTGGGTGGGAGCTTGGCTGTGTTCTGATTGGGTGGAGGTGTGTTCTGATTGGTTGGGGGTTTGGCTGTGCTCTGATTGGATGGGGGGTTGGCTGTGCTCTGATTGGTTGGGTGTGTGTTCTGTTTAGGTGGGGGCTTGGTTGTGCTCGGGTTAGTCTGAGTAGCAGGGGGATTTGAGCTGGTGAGCTGTGTTACTAACCCAGCACAACCAAGCCCCCACCTAAACAGAACACACACCCATCCAATCAGAGCACAGCCAAACCCCCAACCAATCAGAACACACCTCCACCCAATCAGAACACAGCCAAGCTCCCACCCAATCAGTTCACACCCCCACTGGCAGTTAAAAGGAAGAAACAGCTGCGATCACACACATTGCTCCTAGAAGCACGAAGCCGAAGACACCAGCCTGAAGATGACGAATGAGACTTCGTCGAAACGTTGCCAAGAAACCTCCAATTTTACGTGGGAGAAAACCCGAATAACCAAAGATCTACATACAAACACCCGCGAAAACCTCAGAAAACATATATATATATATGTAGGTCTTTGGTTATTCGGGTTTTCTCCTGTGTAAAATTGGAAGTATCTTGGCGACGTTTTGGCAATGTTTCGACGAAGTCTCATTCATCATCTTCAGGCTGGTGTTTTCAGCTTCGTGCTTCTAGGAGCAATGTGTGATCGCAGCTGTTTCTTCCTTTTAACTGCCAGTGGGGTTGTGACTGATTAGGTGGGAGCTTGGCTGTGTTCTGATTGGGTGGAGGTGTGTTCTGATTGGTTGGGGGCTTGGCTATGCTCTGATTGGTTGGGGGTGTGTTCTGTGTGTGTAAATTTATATTTTGTTGATAAAGAAATAGTATAGATCTATTTAGCTCTCATCAGCTAGCCATACCCTTACTTGGATTCAAACTTGGGCTGCCTGCATGTTAGGCAGTTGTATTAACCTCTGAGCCACAAATTCTCCTCCCTTCATCAGTTTAAGCCAGGGGAGAGATTATGTGTTTTTCTATCGAGACATCTGGTCTACCCCAGCATGTGGGAGGGAGCATACTGGATCCCTTTTGCTTTTCAGATCCAATCCAGGAGCCCTGAAGCAGTCGCATTCATGACAAACAATTTTATACCAAATTTATCTATTCATTAATTCATTCACTGGGAGTAAAGTGGCATGCAAATTTAACAAACTATTATTGATGTATATTTGTATTCATATTAATGTAGTACCAAAGGTATGGTATAGTGATCCAACAAAGCAGATATTTAGAATTTTTTAAAAAAATTAGAATCTGGAGAAAAAAGGATCTAATAAACCACTTTTTACTCTTCCATTTCTCCATAAATTTATTCATAATATTTACATATATTAATGTTGTGCAGGCATGCAATTGATATATGCAAGTTTGTTGCCATTAATATACTGTTGCAGAAAACAAGTAATATTGTGTATCTGGAAGATGCTGTTCTATTCTTTCTTTGTTTTATTTTCCTTTGTCATTCAGTTCCTTTGCATAATATGAATCTTCAGTGAGTCTTTCTATTATGTAACATTGCTGCCTGTGAAGCAGTAAAAAATATGTAGGATCCAAATCTATGCAACATGGATTTAATACATACACTCATACTTAAGTTGAAGTCAGCCACCAATGATGTTTACTGTAGTCCAGCTGACCACAAGCATATTAATAAAGTATCATTAAAGTGTATATTTGTGTACTTTATAATATACTTTGTTTATAGATACATGTATTTGTACATAGCATACATCCCATACTAAATATACTATGTCAGTTTAAGCTCAAAAGCAGATAACCTATTAAAAATACAATTATTTTTAAATCTTGCTGTTACCTGAAAGTTGTCTAGACTAGAGAATGTACAATTGTAAAGAACTTGTTCATAAAAATCAAGAAACAATGTAAAACAATAGAACACTAATAGAACCACATTAAAATTAAAAGGGGACAAATTAGCCTTGAAAGCCTAAGTTATACAGTATCAAAGTTTGTAAAGTGAGAGATCCCAGTCTTGAATACCTACTAAGATAGTTTCCATCAATGGTACAACATGACTAACAATAAATTAGACAGCACTTCACAAATATGGAAGATGCCATTCTTGTATTCCAGCAACAAATGATTTAGGGATTTAGCAACAAAATAGCAGTTTCAAAACCATCCAAACTGGGAATTGCTTATTATAATGCCTGACCAAAATCTACCTATCAGATTTTACGTAAGTATATCTTACCAATGTTTAACTGTTCAAAGATAGATTCTACCTAGATAATGTAGGGTTTTGTTCATTTGTTTTTGAGCCTTCAAGTCAGTGTTGACTCCTGGTGACTGCCTGGAGAATCCCTGAATTTTTGTTGGGAAGGTTTGTTTAGAGGTGTTTAGCCACCACTTCCTTCCTAGGGATGAGAATGGCTGGCCCAGGGTCAGGCAGTTGGCTTCACGCCCAAAGCAAGACTAGAACTCATGGTCTCTTTCTTTTATGATGCTTTAACCACTACACCAAACTTGAAGTATGGCCAACATTTTGAGGGCCAAGAGCTGCCCTTAATGTTGTATGAAGCATACCAGTTATAATTACCGGCACAATGTTCTGTAAATTTATAATCCCCGAGCTACTTAATTTTATCTTAATTTTACAGCCATCCCAGATAATTTTGGGTAAATTACACTGGTGGATTTGGATAGAATTCCAAGGATAATACAAAAGAAGCCACCTACACATATAAATCTTGGCTGCAACTTGTCCACCTCTAAGTAGCCAAAGCAGAATCTAGTCCTAATAATGTATGCATTTTTTTGTTGAAAAAACTCTGATTCAGCTTTTAAAAATTAACATCCCTTGATTAACTTCCCAGCTATTCCAACATTTTGAAACAGCTTATCAACCATAAGAGAAGAGAAGAGGGTTCAGACTTTAGAGTTTGATGCTCTTTAGACCAGTTCCCAACCTTTCTGACTTGATGGATTGGCGGGGGTGGGGTGGGGGGTGTGTGTTCCGTTGAGTTGTGTTTATTTATTTATTGGTTCGATTTATATGCCGCCCTTCTCCGGAGACTCAGGGCGGCTTACAATGCATTAAGCAATAGCCTTCATACTTTTGTATATACCTGCTTAGTAGGGCTTTGCCCCCCACCCAGCGGTGTTCTTTTTTATACAAAGTCAGCTTATTGCCCCCACAATAAGGTCCTCAATCCAGGTTTTGGAGTTTCGTGCACCAGTGCCTGACCCTTGCACAAATGGACCTTCGTGTGAATGCCCATGGCTCATGTAAGTGGAGCTGCACTCATGCTCGCCCGCCACCAGCAGGCCCAGTTATGAAGAGGCTGTGGCCTGCTGGTGAGCTGCAGCCCAGGAGTTGTGGACACCTACTTTAGACCATCCATAGTAACATTATGCAGATATGAAATTGGTGTGTACATGTTTGTTCCTAAATGTATTATATACAAATGACTTTGCCAATTTCCCAAGTAAGTGCCAACCATGTGGGATTTCTTGAGATTGCTTTGCCATGGGAACATGATCATTGCACATTAATGCTGTAAAAATACTGATGCGTGTAGAAATGCCTTCATATATTTTGAAGGAAATACATACTTTATACCTTATATTCCTTGAGGGCCTTTTTATATGATGAACCTTGGTAGTATAATGCACAGATTAAGTATTTTCATCTGATTATAGATGCCCTTTTATTTAAAGACTTGTCAGTTCCTTTCTGTTCTTTCCCTCCCTCCAGAACAGGCGGCCTCTTCTGTTTTGCTGGTGTGAGTCAGCAATTACAAAAATAGATCAAAGAATACTGTCTCAGATACCAAGGCATTTCCTGAATATAAGGGGGTGGGTGAGTAGGAAAGCATTATTCCAGATGCTACTTTGTAGTTATGGCTTGTGAATAATCACTGCTCATTATTATGGTAAAACTTTAAACTTTTAGAGAAAATAAAAACATAATAATGCTATACTTTAAGTCTGTATTTTACATTTGCAAAGGTGTAGTCCTTCTTAGGACGGACAGGCAAAAAATTAGAAGCATATTCTTTGGTCACTTCTATTGATAGTTCCTTGTTCATTAGACATACAGCTGTGTATGAAATAATTTCTAACATTTTTAGGAATGATTATAAATGTTATTGTGTTACTAAGATATTTTTAAGCTATATCTAAAATTTAGGGGGGAAACCCTTATGCTTGGTATATTGCAAAATGGGGACTGCTTTTGCAGAAGGATATGTGAATACCAGATTATAAAGGATGTCTTAAATAATCTGGACATTATTATTTGATATTATTGGTGATAATATGCATCATTTATAAAATAGTTTATTCATCTGCATCTGCTGGAAATTGTTAACATCAATCACGATACTGAATAAACCAGGGGTGAAATGCTCCTGGTTCGGACCGGATCGCTCGATCCGGTAGCAATGGAGGCAGGTGGTTCAGAGAACCAGTAGCAAAAATCCTTGCCCCCTTCCATGCCCAGCTGAGCTGCACAATCATCAGAGGCTTTTTTTTTTTTACTTTTAAAAGCATTTTTTCTGCTTTTAAAAGTAAAAAAAAAAGCCTCTAATAATCACGTGGCTCAGCTAGGATTGTCAAAGGCTTTTAAAAGAAAAAAACCTTTTTTTCTTTTAATGCCTCTGACGATCCAAGTTGAGTTGCCTGATCGGCAGAGGTTTTTTAAAAAGAGGTTGTAAAAAAATGCTTTCAAAAGGCTCTGCCGATCCAAGATGAGTTGCTTGATCGGCAGAGGCTTTTTAAAAAAGCCTCTGCTGATCAGGCAACTCAGCTGGGATTGTCAGAGCCTTTTGAAAGCATTTTTTTTACAACCTCTTTGCTGAAGAAGTTGTAGAAAAAATGGTTTTAAAAGTAAAAAAAAAAATTGGCCATGCCCACCCAGTCACATTACCCGCCCCACCAAGCCACGCCCACAGAACCGGTAGTAACAAATTTTAGATTTCACCACTGGAATAAACTGTGTACTTCACTATATATATCACCAATTAACCTTGAAACAATTTTTATTTAGATTAAAGTGCACATATATGTGCAGAAAGTTGCACATATATGTCAACTTACCTGAGACTGTGCATTAATATTAGCTCCTTCCTTAACTAGAACTTTGACCACTTCAGCTTGTCCCGCCAAGGAGGCAATGTGTAGTGCAGTATTTCCCTTCTGCTTTGCACAAAATAAAAATGCACAAGTTAATTTAAGCTGTACCTAGAATTCAGAGCAACATACAATACAATCTCTGTAATATTAATAAAAATATGAATTAAATGCTGAAATTTCTCCATTGTAAAATGTTCAATACCTTCCATTTCCTTTATAATTTGATTTAAATTAAGATTATCCAAACACATTTCTAGGAAAGCAATATATTTATTCTTTTTTAAAAAAATAAAATAAAATCAGTACTGTTGGTAGGAATTTTCATTAGGAAGCACCACAATTTGGGAATAATTTACTCAAATAGTTGTTTCTAATTATGAAATTCTGTCAACAACATGAACATTGAAATATAGTTATGCACCCCAATTCCTAATAAATCAGAAGAATTGAGCTACTTTAGAATGTCCGCTGAAAGAAAACAACGGTTCTAAACCATAATGAAAGAAAGTATGAAATTAATTCAAAATTTACTGTTGGTTTATTTAACAATTAACCAATTCTTGGTTTCTTTAAAAAATAATAGAAATTAAAAATTCTACCAGCTGCACATAAGAAGGAGCAGGGAATGGGGAAACAAATGAGTTTATACTTGTTTTAGGCTTGCCCTGCCTGTCTTAAAGGTAAAGATAAAGGCTCCCCTCGCACATATGTGCTAGTCGTTCCTGACTCTAGGGGGCGGTACTCATCTCCGTTTCAAAGCCGAAGAGCGCCGTCCGAAGACATCTCTGTGGTCATGTGGCTGGCATGACTAAACGCCAAAGGCACATGGAACGCTGTTACCTTCCCACCAAAGGTGGTCCCTATTTTTCTACTTGCATTTTTTATGTGCTTTCGAACTGCTAAGTTGGCAGAACCTGGGACAAGTAACGGCAACTCACCCCATTACGCGGCACTAGGGATTCGAACTGCTGAACTGCCGACCTTTTGATTGACAAGCTCAGTGTCTAAGCTTGTGCCACCACGTTCCTTCTTAGTTAAATATTAAATTCTGATTTTAGTATAATAAATTCAAAACAATCATTACTTGCAATAAGTCTTGCAACGTTTTACGAACTAAAATTGTGATTCATGTGCAGATGAAATTTCATTCAGGATTAGGAAGAGAAAGCAATGTGTAGAAATTATTGGGAAATATACAAAGGCCATAATTTAGAAATAGTGCCTAAATAATCTTTAAATCATTAAAACATTTATTAATAGATTTTACCATTCATTCCTTTGGTTTAATTATATTTTTCTAAGCACCTGGACAATAAATAGTACCTTGGTTGCAGAATCAACTGCAGATCCTCTTTCCAGCAATTCCTGAACCAAACCTACATGGCCTTCTTTGGCAGCCAGATGTAAGGCATTAAGTCCATTCTGTATACAAATAAATTATATTGTTAATTTGGAGGTTACATTGACTTGTCGGAATGTCATATTAGTTTTTCTCAACTTCAGTATAAATCATAGACCCGGCAAGATGGGAGCAATAATTCCCAATGTGGAAAAACTATTAAATTAGCATAGAGAAGGTACTGTCCAAAGCAAGAAAGAAAACAGTCAAATAACATTCATAATTTAGGTATGTGTGTTTAATTTATAATTTTTCTACCTTTTCCAATCTTACAAGAATCTGAAGAATTCAACCAGAAAAACAATACAAATATAGATAACATCTATGTAAACGGGGCTGGACTGGTAGGCATTGCTGGGTGGTCATGTGACTGGGTGGGTGTGGCTAGGTGGTCATGTGACTGGGTGGGCATGGCCAATTTAGCAGTCATTAAACAATACACACAAATTACACTTTAATTTTTTATGCTCCTGGAAGTGGAAAGTAGGTTAGGGAAAGGATGTGGCTGCCTTGAGGTGTATGTGAGGGACTTCTCTCTCCCTCTCTCCCTCTCTCATTCTCTCCCCCACTCCCTCCCTCCCTCCCTCCCTGGAAGCTGGGGAGTACTGCCGCCCAAAAATGGGGCCATTTTTGGCTTCCCGAGGCATCTACATGTCCCATTTTTGGCTACTTCAGCCTCCAGAAGGCGGGTGGGGGCTGGGTAGGTGGGGCGATGTGGGTGGGGCAGCCTCATGGTCCCACATGGGCCGGATTAATGGCTTCGGTGGGCCATATCCGGCCCACGGGCAGTAGTTTGAGGACCCCTGCTCTACAGCATCCTTAGTGCAAAATAAAACAACCAGTTTCAAAATCTGTGTGTCCCCAATCACTTCCCAGATCATGGATAAACACCAGACTCTTTGCTTAGTAATTTAAATAGTATGGCATGCAGTGACTGGAATTATAGGGCTATCAGAGAATACTTGAAAACTAACATATTTTGTGGAGAGGATTCTGCATCATTTGCAGAGAGCAGACAGGCAAGTCCATGAAAAGATATAAATGTAAGTGTTAAGTGTGCATGCTTTAAATCACACCTTCTCCTTTGACTATAGAACTCTGCGTAGATTTGCTATATAGATCACAAGCTTGTTAATATATTTATTAGTATTTAATATGATACAGGGCACTATTCACCAAATATATTGAAAAAATATAATAGCTCATTCTGTTGAGACAGTTACGTGGAAGTTATTCATATAGGCAAAGGTACTGAACATTAAATAAATTAACACAACACTACACGTAAGTTTAGTTGTAATTATCAATGGAATCTGCAAAAGGTCAGTTGAGCACAATCAAATCTATTTAGAAGAAACACTGGCTAGAAACCAAATACTGCTTAACTGATTAAATGGATCAAAGCAGGAAAAAAGACACTGATGGAAAAAACTCATGTTGATTTTTCATTATCCAGAGGTTTTTCTAGGGATCAGAAAATAGAAGATCAGTGTTTTTTGAGCTTTACACTGAAGTGTCCTATTTAATTTTAAGAAAATACTGCTGTGAACCTACATGAAAGATATATTTATGAAAGGAAAATAGAAAAGCAGGCCCTAGTTAAATAATAGTTGTGTCTAGCACAGGGCCGGATTTTCCTATAGGCTAACTAGGCTTCAGCCTAGGGCCTCAAGATCAAGAGGAGCCTACATTCAAATTGTTAGCAAAATTAAAATTACACTTTCACTATAGGTGAAAGGGCCTCATAAGTGGAATAGCCTAGGGCCTCTTTTCATCTAAATCCGGCCCTGGTCTAGCATTAAGATTGTCTCTTAAAAACTTCAATACTGCATTTCTTTATACAACCAAGAACCAGATGCACAATTAAAAGAGGTCACATAGAAAAGTGTGACAGGAATTAAAGTATAACACAACTAAATAGTGTTTATTTTACCACGTTCCATTACTATCACTGTAACATGAAATATGTGTAAATAAAATTGTTTATTCCTTCTTTATCTAAGGAGATTTAGAAGGGCTACAATTCATTTATGGTAGCTAGCGACAATCTCTAAATTCAGAAAATTGTAAACTTCTTTGTTTATAAAATTATCAGAGCATCTGCTTTTATTGGCATTTTAAGGATTATATAATATTACTAACATTCTTTATTTTTTAATTTAATGACAGACGGGGACATGGAAGGGAAGGACAGAGAGAAACAACTGAGTGTATTTAAGCATTTCATTTTTCCTGCAGTTCTTAAAATGTAATTTTTATGACAAACATCCAAAAGGAAGGTATTATTGGGTATCTCCATTCTGAGGTAAAACATTCTTAGAAAAACAGGATATCAACTTGGCACAGGAAAGAAATAAAGATGGAGTCTATTCATTTACTGTGCCAGCATATAATTAGAGGAGCACAAGTATATACCACGATGTCATTTGATCACTGCTTGCCTCACAGCTGGTCCACTTGTTAATACATTGTCCCAACTGTATCAATCAACAATTGTAGATCAATTAATGTGAGATCAGTTTATTGAAACATATAGGGAGGCCATTAAATGTTTGATGGGTATAACCTACTATGAAGGTTGGAGTCTGTTTTTTATTTATCATTATGTAGTCCTCCAGCTGTCCCCTCTCTTTGAAATAATGTCATAATTTTCAATTTTTAAAAAATATATTTCTGGTCTATAACTATTAGACAGATGCATGGATGGAGTTAGATTGACAGATGATGATAGATAGATAGATAGATAGATAGACAGACTGACTGACAGATAGATAGATATAGATAGATGATAGTTTTTCATTTTAAAAAGATATTTTGAAAGATAATGCTTCACTAAGTTATCTGTCAAAAACAGATTTTAATATACATAGCAAAGCTCTCTCACTTGATTAAGACTTTATTAACCTACAGAAAAGCTTCAGCTGAAGAAAGTTCAATATTACTTCTTCAGTGAAACTATAATAAAAATTATTTCAGACTGCATTTCTTGCAGCAACTGCATTCAGGAATGCAGATTTATTTATAATTGTTTTTGACGGTCTGCATGGGCATTCGAAATGTAAAACACTGTTCCTTAAATGCGTTCTACGAATCCTAATCTGTGGTATCTCTAATAGTTTTTCGAGAAACATCCTCTTTGTCACACAATATATAACATTCTGACATCGATCTGTAATTGCTATGGTGGCTAAATTTATATGCATTATACTTTGCAAATTTTGTTCCAAAATTCTATCAAAACATTCCACAACAAAATAATATTTAAGGGCTTAGGGTTGGGATTAGAGTTAGAGTTCATGCCAACTCTGCCATTTTGTATTTGAAACAAAATAGATATAAAAGTTATTTAGAGCACGGAGGTAAAAGGGAATATGTAATGTTTATAGGAAGTGTAACTTTTGGCAGTATGATAATTTCAAGCTTTTTTATAACTGGAATTCCCAGGCCAAAAAGATTTGAGGGAATTGTGCTGAATAATATTGCTTAAATCCATACATATGACAACATTTTAAATATTTTTATTTGAAATATAATAAATAACGTTTACTGCACAGCAGTAACTAATTATATAGTAAATATAATTATAACACCCCTGATAGTCTAGCTTACTGATGCTCTGTGCTGTAGATGGAACAACGGCATATAGACTGATCACCTGAACTAGCATTAATCAACAACCATAATCAACAAGAAAAGTATTTGTAGATTTGTTCCAAAAAATTGACAATCTGGCTGTAACAATATTCTATCTTCTCTCTACATATAATGAACAATTCAGAAGACCTTCAGTCCCACCCCTTTGGGAATCATTTCAGGTCTATGTATTTTTATCTGTGATTGCCTTCTTTAGCAAATGGGAAACACTGGAAACGATGGTTCCCCTTTAGTTTTCAATATTACAGTACAATCTGGAGCTTGTAAAACATGAGCCCACATATGACTTCTTACTTACCTGGTTGCATGTACTGATGTCTATTCCTCCTTTTAGATATTCCACTACTTTGTCCAGATTGCCAGCTCTGGCAGCTCGAAGGAAGCTTGCATTGCTATCCGACTGTGAAAAGCAAAACAGAATAATAATATTACTGAATGTTCTGAACATAAGGAACAGAAACACACTACTAAAGGAAAGTTTTTTGTTATGTTACTGATGTTTTTCCCAATTCGGGTTGATTCAGTTACCCTTCTATTACTATAGGTGTCTTTTTGAAATCCTTGGAGTTGAAGACTGTGCAGAGATCTGGCAGAGGCAATCTTATCCAGCACTCTGGCCAATTCCACATTCTGCAGATCAACAAGACATTAGCAAATTGCTGTCAACCTAAATTATGAATTGTTTAATTCTTGCTTCACATTTTTTATACCACAACTAGACTCAAAATCAAGCCACAAAATGCATAATATATATGTAGCTGCATGGGAAGACTATCATTAAATTTATTGCCAGTAAATAAAGTCTTAATAAATAAGAAATTATTTTTAATTATACGAAAGCAACCAAAATTTGAGGAATATTTTATTATAGACTTGTAAATGTGTTAGCTATTTGGGATGCCTTCAGAAGATACTCATATAGTTGTATTATTACTTATGCTTCATGGGGAAAAATGAAAAATTAAAGAAGAAAAATTAGGAGAAAAAATTTTAAGGATTTAAGGACCATTTATATATAAGACCAACACTGTCATTATTTATTTCTACAATAAAATATAAACCACTTTAATTATTTCCTAAATATCTAGCATACAGTGTTGGAATATTTATACTAATAATGAATTCCTAATGGTTTAAAAAATTATTAGCTATGTGCATTAAAATACAAAGAAACATTAATTCAGCAAAAATATTGTTTGTAATGCTTTCTAGACATTCCGGATAATGTTTTTTAAAAAACCTGAGCTTTAATTTAATTGTGTCATAAAAATAAAGGAATGTTTGCTCACATGATACTTGATTGTGTGGTCTATTGCTCCATTTTTATTTGAGACGCATACATTTGTTAATATGATGCTACAAAGAGCAGTACAGGTGAAAAATGTAAAAGAATATTTAGAATCACAGACCAAAAGTATTATGGAAAGAATTATGGAAATATCAAGACTGGGGAGTGGGGATGAGGGATGGACAACAAAAGATCACTATCCATCATGGTAAAATTATAGCTATTCCACATGTACAACCTTGGATTACAGATAAATGTTCATTTTTGTTTATGATCAAGCTTTTTAGCAACAAAATGGAAAAAATAATTTATGTAGGCAAGCTTAAATCATTGGTTAAAAAACTAGATTTGATATGTTTTATACATATCTACTTTTTTAATAAAGAAAACAAAAATTAAAAAAAATAAAATTGTATCTTCACCTATTAAGTATCCAGGAAGCGAGAGAAAAAGTTAACATAAGTTTCTGTATTCCTGGAAAATTATAAAATAAAAAGCAGAAATTGTGGTCACAAAGCAAGGACTACCTTTAGTAAGTTAAAATGTAAAAAGTGCAAATTTCTTCCTTGGCCTACCTAGATGGTTTCATATCCAGGTATAAAAATGTCCAAATAACTTGCAGAGCTACACAAAACTATGTTTCATGTTTAGACTTATTTTATGTTCAATTTATCTGAACACTCTTGGAAACACTTTTCAGGACTGGTATTTGACTACACAACAAATTCATGTTCATAAGAGAGGGAATGAAAAAAGGCTGTCTCCTCTTCACCCAGTATCTACTGTCTCCAACATACCAAATTGCTAAAGATTAGCTATACATATGAAAATTCAGATTATAACACAAAAAAATATGACAGAGGAAGTGAAAATGTTAAAAAATGTACAAGAAGATATCTTTTAGGATAGGAAATGCAATAAAAGTAGATATTTATAAATCGTTATCCCTTAATATTATTAGTCTTTTTCAATACAGTATTTTGAAATTGAATCATTTTTATTTGTGGCACATGAGATCTGAAGTTCTTGAACTCAGAGAACTAACTTCTGTAAGAGCAGAGAAACTTATTTCAACTGGAGCAAATTTTCAGTTTGCTCCAGTTCAGTGAATAGAACTGAAGTTTCCGAAGAAACAGAAAAACAACCAATAATAAATAGAAAGGCTTGGAAAATAAAACTAAACGAGTGTTTCTCAACTTTGTGCACTTTAAGATGGATGGACTTTAAATCCCAAAATTCCCCAGCCAGCTATAACAGAGCTGGTACCTTGGTAAGCCAAACTACTACCCTGCATTAGCATTGTGGTCTCCTGGTTACTGTAACAATGCCATACACTATGTATTAATAATAATGTACTTCTTTGTGTTCACTCCACATTCACTGAGCACCTATGCATTCTTGGTCCCTCTTTTTTTTTTAAGTTTTACCAGACACACCCAATTATTATTTCCATAGGATTATCTGGTTATCTGCCATCAAATCATTTTCAACTCTTAGCAACCACATAGGTCAGGGATGTCAAACTTGCATCGTCACAGCGGTGTCATGTGGCATATTGGGGCTTTCCTCCCTCTTCAATAAACGGGCAAGGGTGTGGCCATTGCATCCGGCCTGCAGGCTGTGAGTTTGACATAGATTATACTTGCATATAAAAAAACCAGAAAAAGCATGTTCTTATACTATTTTTTTCATATTTGTAGGCATTTATACTTTATAAAAGAAAGTATTACCGACTACCTTTATTTGTACATTTTATTTTTACATTATTAAAAGTCTACCAAGATACACAAATCATCTATTTCCTTGATATATATATTTTTTTGTTAACTTAACAATCGTTTCCTTGATTTTTTTATCAAGTATAAATTCCTTGGTCTTTAGAATTGTAATTTTCAGATTCATACTTTTTGATGACTCACAAAATCTGACATTAGCTATGAATCAATTGAGTTCTTGGCCAATACACAGTATAAATATCATATGTACATGTAATTTGAATATCAGCAAAGGCACTAAACAAGAAGAATCACATGGCCCTGATCATCGTTGAACCATTCACTTAGCATTTCAATTATTTTCATACATGTACATACATACACTTTTTATCATGTATAGCTCTGATCACATTCAGCATCACATTCATACTTCCCAAACTTTACACATTGTTATCTTTCCTACACTGTGAATCTGCTAAATACTTTTCCAGGTACATTTTACTTCCTTATTTTACTGAGATTTTCTAAGAGATGCCAGAAAAGACACATAAAATGCTATTGGAGGAAGACTCAAAGTGAATCTGACAGGACACCAGTAAAAGCCCTATCAGAGATTATCTCATGATGATTAAGGTAGTAAAATGTTAATATTTCTCCACTCTTATAACTGTTTAGTGGCCAAGAGAGGCCACAGGATCTTCTTCAGGACTACTGAGAGGGTTATTCTGACTAAATAGTGAATAAAGTCATTCAATCCCATACCAGGTTAGATTCTGATTGGCATGTCTAGCTAAACTGACTAGGCCTCACTCTTCGGCTGTGATCTCAGATAGTATCTAGTCTCTTGAGGAAGTAGACAGAATTTTCTGCACTGTTTACCCCCTCCCACATCCTCTTGTTTAACTCAGGTTCCTTTAAAGTAGCCAGAGACATGACTTGTAGTTGGGCCCATGTTGTGGTGATGGCTTCTTCCCTAAAAAGGGATGGTTATTGAAAAGATAGTTGTATTGCTGTTTTAAAAGAAAGCGAATTATCTAAACATGTTTTAGCTGGGTTTCAGGCCACGATATATTACAGATACAGCCTTGGTCACATTTGTAGATGACCTATGGCAGAGCCAAGAGTCATATCCTTGTGTTTCTTGATCTCTCAGGCTTTTGATACTGTCAATCACAATATTGTTGTGGTTCAACTCCAGGGATTTTGGGATTTGATTGCACAAATTTATGGCAATTTGTTTCCTTCCTTACATTGCAGTACGTTTTGGCACCTCCTTTATGAGGTGCTATAGAGTTCACACTCTCCCCTCTTGCTCAACATTATAGATGAAAAGTAAAGTAAAGTAAAATTCATTTCTGGATTGGGAGGCCCTTCGGACACTCACTCATTCCCTAGTCACCTTACAGCTTGACTTTGCAATGGCTTTTAAATGGAGCTCCTTGAAACCACTTGAAAACTTCCCCTTGTCCAGAATGCAGTGACATGGGCAGTGGTAGTCATGTTTCAGTATATCCATATGACATCCCTGTTTCTTGAGCTGCACTGATTACCAGTATGTTTCCAGTATAGTTCAAGGTGCTGGTTATTACCTATACATTTCTTTATGACGTAAATCCTGGTTATTTGACGGAATACCTATCTCCCATGGTGCCAGCTCAGTATGAGCTCACAGGATTGGCATGCTCCAGGTTGTATCATCTATGAGGACAGAAAGCATGTTTTTCTGTTATGGTACCTGCTGAGATCCATGTGGCTACCCACCCTGATGGCAATCCATAAAGACCCATGTGTTCTCTTAAATCTCAGATTAGAGTGGCCCTTGTTGGATATATTTGCAGATGTGTGTGTCGTTGGCCAAATTTGCCATCTTTACTCTTTTTTATCATTCTATTTACATTGTATCTTCTAGCTTGTTTAGTTCTATTTTAAGCTGTCCAGTGTCAATATGGAGTTGGTCATTGCCTAACTTGAATAAATTAAACTTTCAACATTCTAATAAAATTAATGATTTTATTTCATCTTTATTTTCTTGGACACTAACATTGTATCATTTGTTTTAATTACATTCTTTGACAAAATAGTACGTTCTCCATACAAAACTCATACATTATCACTAGCAATTCTCATCCAATTTTTCCCATATTATTTTAACACGTTTGTATTTCATTCTATTCACTTCTTGTTTAACACATGTCCTCTACTTATGGAACAAATCGTTAACTTACATAAAAGAACCCTAACCCAATACTACTGAAAGAGTGTCGAAACATTGAGTATTAATAATAGTTTATTGCCTCCATTCTAGGTATATATTACAGTCAATAATAATATGTCTGCTCCTCTTAGTAGCAACATCCAAAACTGAAAAAGTGGGACAAATATGCATAGCAAGAAAGG